TTTCTGTGTAGTAGCTGGCCTTCCCCAGAGTGAGTGCTCCCAGAGAGAGGGAGGGAGAGTGTGAGCTAGAGCAGGCAGGAAGCTTCAGTGTCTTTTAGGGCTTAGTGGGCAAAGTTGCCTACTATCACGTCTGCTTTTTTCTATTCATCAGAAGCAAACCACTAAGCCCACATTCAAGAGGTAGCAAATTATCCTTCAAGAGATTGCAAATTAGGCTTCAAAGAATCTGTGGATATTATTTAAACTAATAATTTAACCTGAATATTTTACTATCTATATATATATATATATATTTAAATATTTATTTATACAAGAACTGGGGTATAGGCCAGATGCACGAGAGGGTGAGAGGATTCACCAGAGACAGAGCGGGGAACAGAACAAGTAGACTGACGAAATACACTGCTGAGGGGAGCAGCGGGAGAGACAGGAGAGGTCTGCCGCGCCATGTGGGATTCTCATCTGCCAGCCGGGATTGAACCGGCGCTGCAGAGGCTGCGGACACCTTCACAGTGCAGTGCTCAACCACCTGCGCCACCAGGGAGGCCCCTCACTATCTTTATATTTTAAGCAATTTCTTTCTGAATCTACTACAAGTTCATGAATTGTATCTTCTTCATAAAGTGTCTTTTATTGTGATGTGATGTTGATTTGTGATCCTGTTTAGCACTTTTAATCTTAAATTCCACTTTGTCTAGTATTAATATTTGCATTTTTGCTTTCTTTTTGTTTCATCTACCTTGTTTTTAACCTCCCTTTATTTTTTTCATGTGTATTTCTCATAAGCTATATATACCTGAGTTTTAATTTTAATGTAGTCTGGTAAGCTTGATATTTTATTTTTTTTTTTGAAGATTTATTTATGTATACAAGAACTGGGGTACAGGCCAGAGGTCGGGGAGTGAGAAGGGGGGGCAAGATGATTCACCAGAGACAGAGTGGGGAGTAGAACAGGCAGATCTACTGAAATACACTGCTAAGGGGAGCAGCGGGTGAGTCAGGAGAGGTCTGCTGCACCATGTGGGTTGCTCCCTGGCCAGGGATCGAACTCGTGCTGCTGCAGTGTCTGTGACAGCTTCATAGGTTGCGTCTTAACCCCTTACACTACCACGGAGCCCCCTGGCGCAGCGGTTGAGCACTCAATTGCAAGGCTTCCCGCAGCCTCTGCAGCGCCAGTTCGATCCCTAGCCACTGGCGAGGGTCCCACAAAAAAAAAAAAAAAAAAAGCTTTGTATTTTGAAGGAAGAATTTAACCCATTCACATTGAATATTCATGGTTAGTATCACAATAGATGTTTTTGAAAAATGACCTTTTATTCAACTTTATTATTTCCCTTTTTGTTCATTATTCTTTTGTTTTTGCTGTCTCGGTGCAGTTTGCGTTTTTATTATTGTTTTCTTTGGCACTTATATTGTACTTGTCCATTCCTGAATGATTATCTTCCCATTCATGAGATTTCTAATAAATAATGTATGTGTGTATATTTCTCAACTAGCTATAACCTTATGCTTCCACTCCTTTCCTTTCTGTCCTATGGTAAGATTAAATGCACTTATTTTCACACTTTCCATGTATGTCCCTTCATTCAGATGAGGTATGTAGAAAATTTTCATTTTCTTCCCTTACCTCCCCAGCAAATCCTAGCTATTGCTCATGCCATAATTTTAATTCTTGACCATTATTGGGTTTTCATTTCTAGTATGTTTCTTTTATCTGTGACTTATATTCAAGCAAGGTTTGTTGTTCACATCTGTATTATTTCCTCTTGGTCTTCCTATGACTCAAGTACTTTTTAGTGTTACTGCTGTTATTTGGTTAGAATATTTCCCTGAATGTTTTCCTCTGAGATATGTGGATGTTGTTTTCTCTGAATCTTGAATATAGGAACTTTGTAATGTTTACTTTTGTATTTCTAGCACCTGAAATTGTGTCTAGTACACAATAAACAGTGCATGTTCATTGTTTTCATGGTACTAGATCACGACCTATTTACATATATCTTTCTTCTATCGGAAGAACATTTGTATTGGTGGTATTTGATCACTTACAGATCTGCAAATATTTTCTATCAGACTAAGAAGTTAATGATGTTTAGGTCAATATAGAATTCTTGGTTCACAGTCCTTTTCTCTTTTTAATTTATACATTTTCTTCTACCCTTTTTCCTCCCACTATTGCACTTGAGAAGTTGGATGCCAGGCTCTTTTCCCTTTGTAACTTGTTCTTTTTGTTTGGCCACTTCTAAGATTTCTACCAGGTAATGGGGTATTTTTTTCTCCATCAACAGAGCATAGGAGTCATGAGCTCTTTCATACTTCAGGCTGAAGTCTTTTTATAACCATAGAAAATTCCCTCTCTTATTTATGTAATAATTGCTTCTTCTCCATCTGTTCCTTTTTCCTGATTCCAGGATGCTTATTATTGGCATATTAGTCCTCTTGGCTCTAAACTCTAATTTCTTACTCATTTCCTCATGATTTCTGTCATACTGCTTTTTGCTCTGTGAGAGTGATTTTTCATCTGCCTGCTCTCTCAGGTCAATAATGTATTTTTAAGCAACTATTTCCTTTAGTTCTAGTCTATTGGTATTTTAAATTTGAGTGGTGTATTTTTAATGCCAAATTATTACCTTTCTTTATTTTATGGCCCTCTTATTATTTTAAAAACAAAGTTGTCCTCTGTCTCCTCTTCTCTCATCAGTGGACAGGATTTTAGCAAATTTGATTGGTCTACCTCTCTCTGGTTACAGAATCTCATGAAGTAGAAAAAAGGTTATTTCCATTTTCTATTTCCTGCTTAAGCTAGGTTAAGCATCTCCATCGTCAGAGGCACAACAGTTTTTACTTCCGCATCAAGAGTGTAAGAGGAAGTCTACGTTTCTAGGTGCCCCTAAATGCCAGTGTTAGTGTTCTTTTGGCTTCAAAGATATAAAGAAGTTCTCCTATATTTATTTTAGTAAGATATAGCTCCCCCTCCCCAAGCAGAAGTAGGGCTTCCCTTTAATCAAGAAGTCCATGGGTCCCCTCAGGCCTGTCTCCCATGTTCTCACCCTGGGGCTCTCTGCTGCTGCTCCTCTGTCCCCCTTCAGGCCTGTACATCCTGCCATAGCTTGTGGCCTCTGACACCCCTCAGACTGCTCCAGTTTACTTATCCCAGCTAGCAGAAGGCTGTGGGAAAGCAGAGTATTAGAAATGCAGAATCCTTCCCCTTTTCTTTGTTTTGATAAGCAATAGCCTATATTTTTGCAGATGGTTCATACTCTCTCAGCCCAGCGTGAGTGAGATTTTATGAATTAATATATAAGAAAATGTAAAATTATGGGATGTTAAAATCAGAAATAACAGAGGTCATGATAAAATGAATCTCAGTTTGTATGGTGCTTTATTTATGGTTTTCATGCAATTTTATATACATAATCTCATTTGAATTTCAACGAAGCCCTGTGTGGTAAGTATGGAAGTTATGATCCCCATTTTACAGATAAGGAAACTATAATTTGTGAATATTAAATAACTTGTCCAAGTATATCTGGGTAATAGTGGAGCTGCACTAGAGAACAGGAACATTCTATGAGGCTTGCTTATTTGTTTGTTTCTAATTGCCTTCCTCACCTATTAAATTGCATAATGATTTTTGGAATACCTAAGTTATATGTTGCAACATGTATTATATATTTTTAACTCCTTATTATATCGGTATGAACAATTTAAAATGTATATAAATTCTGGGCCACTGAGTATAAATTAATATATTTTCTTATATAGCCTGAAATCTAACAAAAGGGGAATTTGAAAATAGCTTGCAAAAGATTAGTGTAACTAGAATTGTATATTATTTCCTGAAGGTAACTTTTTTGAAGGAGGACGTACATTTGGAAATATGAGTACTTAAATTTTTTTCTTTTGTAATGTACTTCTTAAGCACTTGAATTTATCTTACTATGCAATAGAACTTCACTCCATCATTTCCCTCTCAGGTGAGATATTGAGAAAATGTAACGATGCTACTATGTGTGTTTTATTTTAGAGTTTTGTAGTATAGAAGCAAACAAATCAATGGGTGTTATAAAGACCTTACCTTTGACCTGATCCCAGTTCTTTTTCATGCTAACACTGTATTTCAAAATTATTAGCTCATATTCAGGAGTAATGATCCAAATATTTAACAACTAATAAAGCTTGATCAGTGAGAAGACAGAATACACACCCACATGAGCACTTGGTGTGATAGTATCAGTATGTCTTGTGAAATGTCAGTCCTGCTCACAGTTGCATGGTACTTTATCCTTTCCTGGGTCCTGTCATATCCATGCTCTCATTGGATATGGAGGGATATAGTATCATCCCCTTTTGCAAATTGAGGAGATCACAGCCCAGAGAAGTTAAATGTAGGACCCATTGGAATGGAATTTTGGCTTAGTTCAGTATTTCTTCTCGGGTAGAAGTTACTCTCTTTCCAATGAGACCAGCCATTTTTGATAGCACTAGAATGGGCAATCCCTTCTCCCCTCCATCTTCCTGTGCCAAGCTAATTCTTTTTTTTTAATTAAAGATTTATTTATACAAGAGCTGGGGTACATGTCAGAGGTGTGGGAGGGTGAGAGAATTCACCAGAGACAGCAGGGAGCAGAACAGGCAGACAGATCAAAGACACTGCTGAGGGGAGCAGCAGGAGAGACAATCTCTTGTCTGCTGCACCATGTGGGTATCTCCCTGGCTGGCCGGGAATTGAACCCACACTGTAGAGGCCGTGGACAGCTTCATAGCATGGCGCTCAACCCGCTGTGCCACCGGGGAGGCCTGCCAAACTAATTCTTCACTTCCGAGGTCCCTTGTAGGAGATGCCTGCTCTGAAAGACTGAAACACTCAGCAAGTGAGCAGATTTTTCTCAGTGGAAGAACTCACTCAGCCTCTTTACTCCATATTTACAAAGATATTAAGTACAAAGTCTTACTTTAAAGGTGCTTTCTTTTAACTGCTTGTTTTTCTCTTTCCACAGAATGGTCTCCCCTCAGGAAGCAACCCCTATGTCTTTAATGGTGATTTTGTAGATCGAGGAAAAAATTCCATAGAAATTCTCATGATCCTGTTTGTGAGTTTTCTTGTCTATCCCAATGACATGCATTTGAACAGAGGGAACCATGAAGATTTCCTGATGAATTTGAGGTAACCTAGACCTTTAGATTTCCTCTTTTGTTACCCATTCTGGAAAATGCTGCCATGTGTAGTTCCTAGCAAAGAGAGGTGAATGTAGAAGAGTAGGGACAAGGGGGATCTCATGGAAGACCCCAATTCTTACCCCTGTTTTCCTCACCTGAGTACAGTTTGCTCTGAAGTTCCTTTCCTCTCTTTTCTTCCATTTCTGATCTTCCTTCCAGCTTTCCCAGGTCAAATTGTGTGTTGGACAGATGTGTCAAGCCAGGTTCGAAAGTGTGGTAGGGTCTATTAGCAGAATTAGATGGAATCATTCTTTTGCTACTCTTTTGGCTTGCCTCAGATGTTGTCTCTGCAACTAGTACTATGTTTTTCAGTGATGTGTATATTTTTTATGACATGGTGATTGCTTCTGGCATAGTTGTTCATAAACATATTTGAGAACAGCTGTGACATAGCATTTCAACTATCTGACTCACTGGAGAGTTGAGGAATAAAGATTAGTTGAATGATTTACCAATTTTTGCTGACAGGCCTAGCACATATCAATGTTCCCCTTTCTCCTTCTTTTTCCCCTTCCTCTTCCCCCTCCTTCAACTCCTCCTTCTCTTCTTTTTTTCCTGTCTTTTTCTGTCTTTTTAAAATTTCTTATTTTATGAAAAACAATTTCTTGTTTTATGAAAAAAAATTGCTAAGAGAAGTAGAAGGCATGGCATGTTTCATACTTTTTGTCTGCACTCTGGGGTACCTTGAGCAAAACTCAGCAACAGATTAGTTTTGTATTTTGGGTAGTTTTGACACTTGGCCCAAGTACAGACTTTTGATTCTGATTCTCAAATGTGAAAGCAAAGATTATGAAGGAAGAAGTCTGAAGACTATTATCAGAGATCCATTATATATCATATAGCTCAGTATATTTATTTGGGCATGCCATTTATCCTTTCATTTATTCAGTTACCTAATCATATGTATGCGTACAATGGTTAGTGAAAGACGCACAGTTCCTGTCCTCATAGAGTTTACATCTAGTAGAGAAGACATACATTGAGATGGTTTTTCAAATATGATGAGTCAACATTTATGGCTGGGTAGAGGAGAATTTGCAAAGGCAATCAGAACAGTCAGACAGGTAGGAGGAAAACCAAGAGGGTGTACTGTCACACAATCCAAGAAAAGAAGTTTTTCAGAAGGATGGTGTTGTCAGCTGTATTAGTGTTTCATGGAGGCAAGAAATGTGAGGACTGCAAGGTCCTTTGGTGAGTGCAGGACTGTCTTCATCTCGGAGAGCATGTTATGCTGTAGAAGTCTGACATGACATGATTTACATGGAAACCTGGAGTGAGTATGCTGTGTCCTAGCCTCACCATGTTGGTTATTAAATATACATACTGTTTATTGAAAAAAGTTTCCATCTCATTAAATCTCCCTTAGAGACTATTATTCAGGCATTAAAATTCCTGACACATTCTATTAAAGTCTTCAAAACCATTATGTGAACTATATCAGAGACAGTATAGTCAACTTGTTACCTTTTAGGCTTTTCTCTGTTTTTGCTTAGTCTTCCCCTCCAACCCCTTATCCACTTTCTCTAAGACAGAGGCAGTCTGAGAAATTCTATCTAAATGAAAGGCATTCTCTCACAGTTTCCCCCAGCTACCACAGCACAGTTCTCTGAATACTTGCATTTACATAACCAGTGCCCACCACATTTCTTAAGTTGCCTTGTAATTGTTTTATGAAAATTTATCTTCTTTCCCCAATTATACTATATGCTCTTTGAAGATAGGGATGATGTTATTGGCTGCTTTTGTTCTTTCTCATCATGCTGAACAAATACTTGAGTAAGTAGTTGTCAGTTTCCACTGACGTCTACTTACTTGAGTTCTTGATACTTGTGATAATTAGATGTCCAGGGCTCCCTTTTTGCATAGCTCATGTAGTAAGAATTATCAACATTTAATTAAATATTTTAAATCCCATTGGAGGGGCCTCCCTGGTGGCACAGGGATTAATGTCTCAGAGCTATCAAGCTATCACAAGCCACTGCAGCACGAGTTGGATCCCTGGCCAGGGAGGTAACCCATATGGCGCAGCAGACCTTTCCTGTCTCACTCTCTGCTTCCCTCAGCAGTGTGTTTTGGCAGGTCCGCCTGTTCTGTTCCCTACTATGTCTCTGATGGGTCCCCTCACCACCCCCCACCTCTGGCCTACACCCCAGTTCTTGTATACATAAATAAAAATAAATCTTTAAAAAATAATTCCCATTGTTTTTTTTTTTCCAGGTATGGCTTTACAAAGGAGATTTTACATAAATATAAGGTAAGATTCATATCCCCCTCTTTCTTACATTCACTTTACTATTTATACATAGAAGTAAAAAAGGAGCCTTCAAGTAGCACGAGGGGTGAGCTACTCAGAATCCATACCAATAAAAATAAAAGCATAGCAGAAAGCCCTGGCCATGACTGAGGCCTAATTGTTTTTCCTGTCTAAACCAATATTTTTTTTTCTAATTATGTTTATTGAAGTGACATTATTTTACAACACTGTATAAGTTTTAGGAGTATAGATTCATACCTCTACAAATCTACAAATGTATATTATCACCTCACTCCCACCACCAAAGCCCTGATAATCTTCCATCATAGTCCATTAGAACCCCTCCCCCCTTTGCTTCTATCCCCACCTGCTTTCTCAGTGCTGCAGTCAGGTTTCATGGGTCTTTTTCTGGTTTGTTTTTGTCTGTTCCTTTACTTTGTTTTTTTAATTCCACAAAGTTGTAAAATCATCCAGTATTTGTCTTTCTTCTTTTGACTAATTTTGCTTAGTATGATCTGCATTTTCATCCATGTTATTACAAATGGCAAGATTTCTTTATTTTTTATAGCTGAGTAGTATTCCATTGTGTACATACACCACATCTTTATCCACTCATCTATATTTGGACACTTAGATTGTTTCTATAACTTGGCTATTTTAAATAGTGCTGCAGTGAATATAGAAGTGCGTATATCCCATCAAATTAGTGTTTTTGCATTCTTTGGCTCCATACCTAGGAAAGGGATTGCTGGATCATATGGTGGATCTGTTTTTAATGTTTTGAGAAACCTCCGTACTGTTTTCATGGAGGATGGACTAGTCTACATTCCCAGCAACAGTATATGAGGGTTCCTTTATATCCATGCCCTCACCAACACTTGTTACTGGTCTTTTTGATGTGGACCGTTCTCATAGGTGTTAGGTGGTATCTCATTGTGGTTTTGATTTGTTTTTTCCTGATGATAAGTGATGATGAACATTTTTTTATGTGTCTGTTGACCATCTGTATGTCTCTTGTGAGAAGTGTATGTAGCTTTTCTGCCCGTTTTTATGGGTTATTTATTTTCTTGTTGAATTGTATGAGAGTTCTTTTTAGATCTTGGATATTAGCCTCTTGTTAGATGTAAGATGTGCAAATATATTCTCCCATTCAGTAAATTGTCCTTTTGTTTTAATGACAGTTTCTTTCACCATGCAGAAGCTTTTTATTTGACATTGCCCCATTGGTTTATCTTTGCTTTTGCTTCCCTTGCCACTCTAGAGGAGTGCCAGAGACATCCCTGAAGCCAATGTTGCAGAGTATTTTGCCTGTGTTTTTTTTTTTTTTTTTTTTTTTTTTTTTTTTAATTTTCTAGAGGCATGTCTTATTTATTTATTTATTGTTTGTTTGTTTGATACATGCACTGGGTACAGTCAGAAGCGTGGGAGGGTGAGAGAATTCACCAGAGCCAGAGCGGGGAGCAGAGCAGGCAGAAGGACCGAAGTACACTGCTGAGGGGAGCAGCGGGCGGCAGGAGAGGTCTGCGCGCCATGTGGGACCCTCCTCTGGTGGCCGGGGAGCAGCCGGGGATCGAACCGGCTGCAGAGGCTGCAGGCAGCTTCGCAACCCAGCGCTCAACCGCTGCGCCACCGGGGAGGCCCGCCTGTGTTTTCTTCTATGTACTTTATATAAACCAGACCTTTTCATTGTGACTTCTGTGTACATTTGAACATAAGTACCAACATATTCCATTGTTTTAAAGGTATTCAGGATTTGTGTTTGATAAAACACACAGGCAAGGAAATGACTATCCCTGCTTAAAAACATGAAGGAAGATGTTTTTAATTCGCAAATCCCTGAAGACAGGTAGCGCACCACACCACACTGAGGGCCATGTGGGGAAATGCCAGCATCTCTCTGAAGGCAAGGAGAGAGGGGGAAAGTGTGCAGGCACCCTTTTTGTGGTTTCCATGGGAATGAAAGGGAAAGATAACATAAGCAGCTTTAGGATTAGCTACTTTGAATAATTTCAGCAGACTCTGGGACATAGGACCTGTCCTGATAACTGGCTGTGAGGTGATTCGTGCTGGTGAATATTGACCTAGAGAGTGAGCACCCTATAAACGAGGTAATTGAGAGTGTGGACTAAGGCTTGGTTGCTTTACTTATGAAGTCACTCTCATTTTCATATCAAAGGGGAGTTATTTACTATCCTTAGGTCTTAACTAGTCCTAGAAGGAGCAGTCTTTCCTCAGGATGCCAGCAAGGCACCAAAGTGTCAAAGTATCAAAAATACCAAATGAAAAGACATGATTAGTGCATGCCAGTTGGTTAGTCATTCCATGCTGACGTCCTTTGGGTGGCATGAAAACTTGCTTTTCATCTATACATTGGGTCAATTCAATAAACTTGAAGCTATCAGAAAAACAGAACTTACACAAACTCTTACTTACAGATACATGGGAAAAAAATCTTGCAAGTCTTGGAAGACGTCTATACCTGGCTCCCCATTGGTACAATCATTGACAATGAAATCCTGGTCATACATGGTGGAATATCAGAGTCCACAGATTTGAATTTACTCCACCACATAGAAAGAAACAAGGTAAGAAACAATCTTTGTATAAATTTAATCTCAGATTTATGCTGGGACATGTACCTCTTTTCATTTATTAGTTTGTGTTGATTTGTGTTTTAGTGGTTATTGTAACTCTGAAAATATCAGTATAAGTTAAGAAAATCTATGCTTGCATGATAAAGAACTAATTGGGAAGCCTGTATGTAGAAAATTTTTTCAATTCATGGTGAATGTGGGAAAATGAGGAAATGTTGGCATTTTGTATAATTTTGAAAAGCAAAAAAATACCTGATTTTTAAAAATTAGACTAATATTATAGTAAAATAGACATAATATTTACCACTTTAACCATTTTAGGTGTACAGTTCAGTGGCATAATAGTGCGCATTGCCATGAGCCATCACCACCATCACAGCATCCATCCCTGAACTCCTCCTCTTACCAAACTGACTCAGTCCATTAAACGCGAACTCCCTCCTTTCCAGCCTCAGCCAACCACCGTTCTATTTTCTGTCTATGAATTTGACTACTTTAGCTGCCTTATAAGTGGAATCATATAGCAATTTTTTTCTAATTGATATAATTTATCTTATACTCCATATGACTCAGGTAATTTTTAAAAAACATCTTAAACCCAAATGATCATATTAAATACAACAGAAGCAGAACAGGAACATGTTTAAAACCTAGTAGCTGTGTGGGGGCATGTAAAGTTCCCACTTACCTTGGGTTCCTTTGACTGGGCCTTGCAGAGTGACTGGAATTGTCTTCCTTCTGTATGAGTGAAACCCACAGGCTAGAGGTATAAGAGGTGCCACATGGCATGAAGCATTTCTGGGATCTCTTGAGTCAGAGGATGTATGTGGTCCTCATGAGAAACCTCTAAACTCTTACCCATGAGTGCTGATAATTTACTAGCAACCAGCCTAGGCAGGTGGGGTCTAGAGCTAGAGTTTAATTTTATAGAGACAGAAATGTGATCTGTATCACACCTAGAGTGTTTGGAACCATTACGCCTTTATACACATATGAATGATAATGATGCTAACTTCTCATCCTTCTAATAACAGCTTAAATATACTCCTCCTCTGGAAAGTCTTACATGCCCTCCAAACTAGGTCAGGTCCTCTTCTCTATACTCCCAAGGTCCATGTACACGTCCTTCATGAGTTACAAAAATTAAGAAATTCTACTATTGTTTATTTATTCTCCTCCCCTGCTTCTCTAGTTTACAATGTAGTCCTAGCACCTAAGAGAGGAAGTATTCAATATTTGTTGAACATCTCCTAGGAGATTTTTTTGTAAAGATTTATTTATTTATGCAAGAGCTGGTATACAGGCCAGAGGCGCGGGAGGGTGAGAGGATTCACCAGAGACAGAGTGGGGAGCAGAACAGGTAGACGGACCGAAAGCACTGTTGAGGGGAGCAGGAGGAGAGACAGGAGAGGTCTACCACACCATGTGGGTATCTCCCTGGCCAGCCAGGAGTCAAACCCACGCTGCAGAGGCTGCGGACAGCTTCACAGCGCTGCGCTCAACCTGCTATGCCACCAGGGAGGCCCTCTCCTAGGAGATTTAAGACCAAAACAGGTCTAACCTGAGACAAAATTGGATAGAAATGTTTTTCCAACCCTTTTCCTGATTCTGTGGTGATTTTACATGGCCCCCTCTCCAACCTTACCCTGTGATAACCATATTGCTGATTTACACTGTTGTCCTGTTGTAATTATAATAGCAACTCTTTTCACTCTCAGAAGTATACCAGTTGCAATAAATTTTAAGGCCACCTCAAGGTTAAGACATCTTTTTCATTATATCAGCATATAGTCAAGCCAATAAGATGTTTCAATCAACATGAAATAGTCAGTGTTCACATAATGAATGGATATGATTCTAGCCAAGAGCACAGAACATGACTTTACCAAATACTGGTAAGCACATGCCATGAATGCTACTCTCCATCACTATCACCCTACACCAGTTGTGCTCACCAGTCACGGCAGATACTGCCAATTGATCGGATTGAAAACTTTTTCTTTTCTGAGGTTAGTCCGAGTATCCAGCCCTTCCTAGGAATTTTTGAGACATTCAGAGCTTGTTGAAAGCTCTGTGGAGATCCTAAGTTGAAAGCCACCGTGACCTAGTAAATATAGTAAATACATGAAGCTCTGCCATCAGACAGATGTAACTAGCTAGCTCACATCCTACTTCTACTACTTCCTGGCTGGGTGACTGGGCAAGGTGCTAAGGTTTTCTAAGTACCAGTTCTCCTATCCATATATTGAAGCTTAAAATACCTACCATGTTGAATTGTTGGGAAGATTAAATATAATTATGCAGGTGAAGAAGATGGCTTAGAGTCAGCTCTAAACATAAAGCTGTTTTCTCCAGCTTTCTTCTCTTTTTCCTAATACTTAGATCTGAGGTTTTAATTTTGGTCACCAAGACAAACCCTGGGGAGATCTCAGGCTAGCTCAAATTTTCTTTTGTAAAGAAATGTATCACCTTTGTTACTAGGATTAGAGAATATAATCAGTTGCTGACAGGTTCAGACTGGGAACCATACTGCATTTCAGTTAAAACCTTTCAAAGTTTTCATCCTATTTCCCCTTTGAGAACTTTTCTGACACAAATGTACTTTCTTATTTTTCCTGGAAAACACAACAGTGAAAAACAACCACCTCTTAAGAGGTGTTTTTGAGCTCTTTTAGATAGAACCATATATCAGGTATAGATAAAGTATAGATAAACCATGTATCAAGTATAAAAAGAGGGAGACTGGTTTTCCCTTAGCATCTTCCATTTCCTGTGATGATGCCACAGAACACGTCTCTCACTGACATCAGTGCTTCTGCAGTCCCTTAGAAACTTTAATGGGAAATTTTCCTTGAAGGATATTGTCCTTAGTTGAAAAATGTTGAATCAGAATTTAATAGGCCCACTTTATAATGATCAGTGGATCAATGAAATGAAGGTGGTGGGTGAGTTGGATAAGGTGACCAAATGTTTTTCATGGTGTTGGAGCACAACAATGTAGACAGAATACTGACTGTCTGAAGGACACTAGGCAGAGGATTTGGCTAAAGCATGAGTTTGTTTTTTAGATGAAATCTGTGCTAATGCCACCAGTTACTATTGATGAAGATCTTGTTGACCTAAAGAAAAATAGAACGGGTTCAACTGCTATTGGCTCTGGACGCAAATTGAATGGATGCCTTTCTGAGCAGTTAACAAAGCGTGAATGGGAGCAGGTATGTAATCAGTGTTCCCCCAGGTGGCAACAAAGACACAGCATAGATGTTGTCCCTTACACTGTATAGACAAAAAGTAATTTTGCCTTTATAAGCAGATTGTATCATTCTCTCTGAATTCATCACTACATCAACAGCTTTATTGAGATATAATTCACTAACCCTGTAATTCACTCATTTAAAGTGTACAATTCAATAGGTTTTGGTACATTCACAGTGTGGTGCAACAATCACCACAATTTAATTTTACATTTTTCATGGCCCCATACCTATTATCAGTCACTCTCCATTCCTTTCCAACCCCCTTATCTCTAAGTTAACCTTAGGCAACCACTAATTTGCTTTTTGTCTTTATGGATTTGCCTGTTCTGGACCACTTATAAAAATGGAGCCATATAATATGTGATCTTTTGTGTCAGCCTTCTTCACTGAGCCCAATGTTTTTAGTGTCATCCTTATTGTAGGATGTAATCAGCACTTCATTTCTTGTTATTGCTAAATAATATCCCATTGTATGGATAATATATTTTGTTTATTCATTCATCATTGGTGAATATTTTTGGTTGTTTCTACTTTTTGACTACTATGACCAATGCTGCTATGAATATTCACTTACAAGTTTTTATATGGATATATGTTTTCATTTCTCTTGAATGTATACCTACAAGAGGAATTACTAGATCATAAGATAATTCTAAGTTTAACATTTTGAGAAACTTCCTAACTGTTTTCCCAAGTGGCTGCACCATTACATTTTAACCTCCCATGTATAAAGATTCCTATTTCTCCACATCCTCACTAAGAATTGTTATTTTTTATTCTTTTGATTACAGTCATACTAGTGAGTGTGAGATGGATTCTCATTGTGACTTTGATTTGATGTGGTTTGGGTTTTGCTAATGATTAATGATGTCACGCATCTTTTCATGTGTTTATTGGTCATTTGTGTATCTTCCAGAAAATGTCTATTCAGATCCTCTATCCTCTGCCCATTTCATAAATTAAGCTATTTATCTTTTTATTATTATGTTATAAGTTTTAAAAAATATTCTGGATATAAATCCATTACCAGGTATATTATTTGAAAATATTCTCTCTCATTCTGTGGGTTAATTTTTCCCTTTCATGATGCTGTCCTTTGCAACATAAAACCTTTTAATTTTGTTGAAATCCAATATATATCTATTTTTTTCTTTTTTGTTTATGCTTTTGGTAAATCACAGAAGTCATTGATTAATGCAAATATTCTTATGAAAAAGTTTTCTTCTACGAGAATTATGGTTTTAATGTTTACATTTAGGTATCTGATCAATTTAAGTTAATTTTTGTGTGTGCTATGAAGTAGGTATCTAACTTGATTCTATTGTAGGTGAATATCCACTTATCCCAGAAGCATTTATAAAAAAGACTATTCTCATTGAATTTTCTTGATACCCTTATAAAAAATGAATTGACCGTAAATATGAAGGATTTTAGGTCTAGACTCTTAATTCTGTTCTACAATCTTAATGTCTGTTCTTATATTAGCACTGCAGTTTTGATTACTGTAGCTTTGTGGAAAGTTTTGAACCTGAAGTATGAGTTCTCCACCTTTGTTATATTGTTTTGACTATTCTAGGTCCCTTGAATTTCTATATGAATTTTTTTTTAAAGATTTATTTATTTATTCATACAAGCACTGGGTACAGTTAGAAGCGCGGGAGGGTGAGAGAATTCACCAGAGCGAGAGTGGGGAACAGAACAGGCAGACTGACGAAATACACTGCTGAGGGGAGCAGCGGGCCCAGCAGGAGAGGTCTGTCGTGCCATGTGGGACCCTCGCCGGCATCCAGGGATTGAACCAGCACTGCAGAGGCCATGGGCAGCTTCGCAGCCCAGCGCTCAACCACTGCACCACCAGGGGAGGCCCGAATTTCTATATGAATTTTGGGATCATCTTGTGCTACCAGGGAGGGTCCCTCTGGTCCTCTTCTTAAGACCTGCTAGAGTAACAGCTCAACTTAAAATGTACACTTCTTTTTGGCCTTAAAAGAATCATGTAGAAGATACAGACTGTTAGAATCATAGGCTATTGGAACTTTAAGATACTTTACATGTGTCGGGGAGATTTTCCCCTACCCCTGTATTCTCAGACTGGTTGAACAATCAAATTAACATCAGACAGATGAGTAGGACAAAATAACAAAGTTAATTATGTATGTATGGAGAATTTTCATAGCTTCCAAAGCTAGTGAAGCAAAATGAGGTATCCTGAACTAAGGAATGGGATATAGGCTGGGGATTTCAAGGAGAGAGGAGGGGGGAACGCTGCATGAGGAGAAGGGGGTGACTCATTATGAAGACCAGATGCTCTGTAATTAGATGTGTGTCCTGCCATATGGATAGGTTTCTCCAATAGAAAAGTTATTTCTGATAAAAACCCAAATTCTGAGAAATACCTTCAATTTTCATTCTTCTAGGTAGTTAAGCGAGTAGTGAAAGTTTCCCTTGAGACTACAGAGCCTTGATTAACCTCAGCTTGAAATAATCCACTGTCCAAAGTGATGCCTCTTGGGGAAGTCTGATTTGAACATCTTGGGGGGAGGCCTATCCGTCACAAGTCACCCAGCCCAAATTCCTGATTTTAAAGATTTAGAAAATAAGACTTTCCTCAAGGTTGCACAGCTTCAGTAACAAAGCCAGTTTCTCTTGCTACTGCTTAAGTTCTTATAGAAGTTTAAATAAATAAACATTATACATCAATTACAGCACAAACAGGAAGTCTTCAATTTTCTATGAGGAATATTCTTAGAAAAGTGAATCTTCAGCCCTGGGCATCAGGTGGACTGCACTTGTCTTTTTCAATACCGGGAGGAAATGTTTTATTAAAAACTATTTGTGGAATTAGTAGAACACGTGGAAACCATTCAGTGGTGAAATGTATTGCTGAAACTGGGAATGTACTTAACAAGGGAGTAAAAAGTAAAAAAGTAAAGGACATGCTTTGGGAAGTATTCTTGAATGAGCAGTTGTCTATGTTATGATGGAAAGAAAGCAAGAAGAAAAAAAGAAAGAATGCTTCTTCATTGCTGTGTGCTCAATAGACAAAAACCAGGGTCAAAGCTAAAGCTGGGACACCTCCTTATCTTTTTGAATATATTAAGAACACCTAATGTGTGTTCATTGTGGGGACCTACTTTCTGCTTTTTTTTTAAAAAGATTTATTTTATTTATACAAGAACTGGGGTACAGACCAGATGCACGGGAGGGTGAGCGGATTCATCAAAGACAGAGTGGGGAACAGAACAGGCAGACTGACAAAATACACTGCTGAGGGGAGCAGCGGGTGAGACAAGAGAGGTCTGCTGCGCCATTTGGGATTCTCGCCGGCAGGCCGGGATCGAACCCGCACCGCAGAGTCTGTGGACAGAGTCACAGCGTGGTGCTCAACCACCTGCGCCACCAGGGAGGCCCCCTACTTTCTGCTTTGAACTTGATAATGGAGTTCTTTTAAAAGAAAAGACCTATGTAGATTCAGCAATTGTGAAACAATTGTGATGAGATTTTTATAGACCAAAACAACCACAACAACAAAGGCAAGGGCTGATTCTTCATGGCTCCTAAGTATTGCTACATTGGTTATTGTTATTGCCACCTTAGTTATAGGGGATGAGCAGAAAAGGATTGCAGCAAGAATGGGCAAGTTAAAATTATTCTGGAAAAAATTCATGGTAGAGGTGAGTATGAAAGTTTTGAAGAAGAAATGAGAAATTACTAGACTTTGGGGTAACTTGAGTTAATATTTCTGGCAAGTAAGTTGGAATCTAGAAAGATAAACTCACTTGTAGGAAGTAACCTAATCTGGTTTGTTGTTCCAAGGTTGTCGATATTTTGTGGAGTGATCCCAGAGGCAAAAGGGGCTGCTTCCCGAACACAAGTAGAGGTGGGGGCTGCTATTTTGGACCAGATATTACATCCAAGATTCTGAATAAATACCAGTTGAAGTTGCTTGTTAGATCTCATGAATGCAAGCCTGAAGGGTATGAAATCTGTCATGATGGGAAGGTAAGCTGATGTTATTGGTGACATCATCATAGACTCTTGCCTCTCAAGCATGGTGTTTCTGCATAAGATGTGTCCGATCTAGAGGCACATGGGAACATGGCTTCCTGAGTACCAAAACAAAAGCCATGCTTTGGTAAAAAGAAATAGGAGACTCTAGGGCTCACATAAGTTGTTTGAATGGGCCTCATTGCCACTCATCCTAAGAGATATTTGGCTTATTTCCCTGATCTTCTATAATCCTGGAGACAGAAATTCTGACACATGGCACTAAATGCATACACAGAGGGGTTTGTCCATTACTAATCTCAACGTAACTGCCTAGTATGTGGGGTTAAGAATGTATTTAGTCTCACAGAGCACATAAAAGGCAGCAGTGAATAGAATTTGTTCTCTTCTACCTGTTGCCCCTTCCTTGTTTAGGCAGAGCCACAAATCATACTTCTTTCCACATGCTGAGCAGAGAGTCTCTTGCAAGTCAGTTGCTAAGGTCAGTTTTTGGCTATAGCTAATAGAATGGAGTGCCTTGTGCTCCTTCAGTGGTGTATGATAGAGTTACAAGAGGTGAGGGCTGAGGAATGGACTCTTGTTCCAAGTTGTCCCTGGATGCCCCTTTTAAAAATAGGTAACAGCAACAAATAAAAAGGAATACCAAACTGCCTGGCATTTCATTCTATTTCAGCACTTTATATTAACACTATTAGTTCATTTTAGGCTGAAACTAACATTGCAAGATGGTTAAGCCAAGTGTTTTTTAGGGTTTCTTTGTAAGAAGAAAAGGGACAGAAATTGCAGTGGTTTCTCTGAAATGATAGGGTTATTAGGGCAGAACTGGATCTAAGCCAGGTTTCCTGTGGCTGACAAGTACTGCCTTCCCCTTCTCCACCAAGGCCCCAGGCCTGGCTCCCCCCAAAGAGAGTAGTCATCCTCCCTTATTCTAGACACTATTTCTCTTTTAGGACTAGTTTAGCTTTTACCACTGGTTTTGTGGTGGCCTGAACTCTCTAAATCGGTCAGCTTCAAACAAAAGGAAAGGACTGTGACTAGACACGTTTCATTTTAAATGCTCAAATATCACAAGGAAATTAAATAAAGGCTTTACCCTCTTGGAAAATAAGAGTCTGAAAACTGAGCACTAAGGAGAATTGTAAGATATGGTACTGAAATTGTACATAGGATTGCAAGGATGCCCTGTAGTGACTAGAAATTTCTGGGGATACTGATTTAAAAGCCTCGTTTCTCTTCGATGGAATCATAGGAAATCATATCAGACTGGGATAATTTGCAGGGATTTTTTTTTTAAAAGACTTATTTATTTATGCATACGGGAACTGGGGTACAGGCCAGAGGTGCAGTGGGGCAAGGAGTGTGTAAGAGGATTCACCAGAGACAGAGTGGGGAACAGAACAGGCAGATTAACTGAAGTACATTTTGAGGGGAGCAACGGGCGAGTCAGGAGAGATCTGCTGCACCACGTGGGTTGCTCCCTGGCGGGGGATCGAACTTGTGCTGCAGTGGCTGCGGGAAGCTTCATAGGTTGTGTCTTAACCCCTTGCACCACCAGGGAGGCCCAATTTGCAGGGATTATGTTTGATGTTTGATTTTTGCTTTTTAACAATTGAGCTATTTCTGACTTTATTGAATGACCTGCTGAGAACTAAGTCTATGTGAACCTGGCATTCTTTTTCTTTTATCAGGTTATTACTGTCTTTTCTGCTTCTAATTATTATGAAGAAGGCAGCAATCGAGGAGCTTACATCAGGGTAGCTTCTGGGTCAGCCCCTCGATTTTTCCAATACCAAGTAACTAAGACAACATGTGCGAGGCCTCTTTATCAAAGGTGTGTATCCCCTAAGAGTACCGATGACCAAGTGTAACCAGTTCAGAGTGACTAAGAGCAGCCACAGGAGAGAAAACATCTACTTATTGTATACTCATTAGAATAAATAAAATGGAAATAGTTCCAGATATCAAATGATGTGTGAGCTCATATTTGGAGCCAAAGGAATAATTTTCAATTCATACATCCTTTTAAATAAAGTAGTCAGCACCCATGAATAGTCCCTAATTGAATGTAGAGAAGGGCCCCCTGCCCAACCAGTCTCATAACCTCTAGTCCTCACTGCCCCCCAAACAGCTCAGCTGGCTCTAACTCTTTTTCTCTTCTCTACTCAGCAGTATATATGACTGAAGGAGTTGACCACGGCTCTGTGTGATGACATTCACAACTTACCTTCCTTTTCTCCCTTTAATATGATCTGTTTTAGACCTTTTGTATTATAAAATGAATATATTTATTCTTTTCTTCTTTTTTTCTTTTATCCTTTTTTATGTAATTTTTCATTCTTGCACAATGTATGCATTTTCATCTTGGTTATAGTCCCTATACAATTCCTACACCCCTTATTTTGACCCTAATCCCTCCTCCCCCCGCTGTAATGTGTCTCTGGTTTATAGTTGCTTGTTGATTTTGATTTTTACTTTATATAATTAGATTTTTTCCTGGTCCCTTATTTAGGTTTTCTAAATTCCTGCTATGAGTGAGACCATCCAGTATTTTTCTTTTTATTAACAAGTGAACAAAACAAAGATGATTAAAGAAAACATAATGATCTTCTCTCCCTCTACTTCTCAATAATCCTTTTTCCCAGAGGTAACTGAAATTAACAGCCTGGAGTGGACCTTCTACCCTCCTCTTCTTGCTTCTACAGAAATAGGCAACAATTAATCATTGAATAGAATTTTTTTTTTGAGTACTTACTATGTGTCAGACACTGTTCTAAGAACAGGTGATATAGCAAAAAAGAAAATAGCCAAAAGTCCTTTCCCTCATCAGACACATGTGTAGTGGGAGGAGAAAGGCAGTAAGCAACATACACACACTTTTTTTTTTTTTTAACAAAGAATCACACCACATACACTATGAATCACACCACATACACTATTCTGCACCTGACTTTTTTTCTTAAGGATTATATCATTAACATTAGGCCAAGTGAGTACACAAAAGCCTAGCTCATTCTTTTTAATAGATGTATAATATTCAGTAGCTGCATGTGACATAACAGTTATGGAGTGGCTAGATCTCATTCAATTAGTGACCCTCCAGGTTGGTTTCAGGACTGTGTACTTTAAAACAATCCCTTAACAAACATTCTTCTATATGTGGGTGTGTGCACATACATACACATATCCATAAGTTTTAGTGCTTTTTTAAAGATTTATTTATTTATGCATACAAGAGCTAGGGTACAGGCCAGAGATGCAGGGGAGTGAGAGGATTCACCAGAGACAGAGTGGGGAACAGAACAGGCAGACTGAGTTTAATACATTGCTGAGGGGAGCAGAGGGCGAGTCAGAAGAGGTCTGCTGCGCCATGTGGGCTGTTCCCTGGCTGGCCTGGAATCGAACTCATGCTGCAGTGGCTGCGGATAGCTTCATAGCTTGCGTCTTAACCCCTGCGCCACCAGGGAGATCCCTTAGTGCTTTTTTTATATAAGATTTTGAATTGTGGGATTTGCTTAAAGTTTTGCTAGGTACTCCAAAAGATTTATAACAACGATCTGAAAACTAGTGAATCAATTTCTCCATACTCTCAGATATTATCATGTTTCTTAATTTTTGCCAAGCTGATGAATGAAAGTGATAAATCTCATTGTTTTAATTAGCACATTTTAGACAGCTGAACCTGCCCATCTTATGTTTTTGGACATTGCATTTTCTCGCCTTTGAATTTCCTGTTTATATTATCTTTTATTTTATATTGGGTTGTCATTTTCTTTTCTTTTTTTTGGATGAAAATTGTTTTGTTTGTCATTGTATGATCAGTTTTTAGGAGTTCTTTGCATATAAGGGGTAGAGGATTTTTATGGACATGCTGCATGTATTTTGTTGGAGTCTTGATTTTGCTTTAGTTCTATGAAATCACGTTTTCTTATAACTTGATCATAACTGTTGTATTTCACTTTTGCTAAAAAGTATCCATACCATATTTATATACACTATATATATAATTTTACATAAATATATACACATATGTAAATCTCAAATCTATTTATGTTAACAGCATTGAGATTTATTTCACATACTATAAAGTTTACCGATTTAAAGTATACAATTCAATGATATTTAGTATACTTATAAAGTTACGCGACCATCACCATATTCTGGTTTTTTAATATTTTGGCCATCCTAAAAAGAAAATTTGTACTCATTAGCAGTCACTAGTCACCTTCCCTCATCACAACTCTAGACAACAACTAATCTACTGTCTGTATCTATAGATTTGCCTATTCTAGGTATTTTGTGTAAATGGGATCCCACAATATGTGCTCTTTTGTGACTAACTTCTTTCACTCAGCATAATGTTTTTGAGGTTTATTCATGTTGTACTATGTATCAGTACTTCATTCGTTTTTATGGCTAAACAATATTCCATTGTATGGATATACCATATTTCCTTTATCAGTTCATCATCTCATGGAAATTTGGGTTGTTTTCACTTTTTGGCTATATGAATAATGCTGTTTTGAACATTGGAGGACAAGATTTTATACATCCGTATGTTTTCCTTTCTTTTTGGTATATACCTGAGAGTGGAATTGTTGGATTATATAATAACTATATATTTTACATTTTGAGGAGCTTGTAAGTTCATTTCATGAGACTGCACAATTTTACATTCCAACAAGCAGTATATGAAGATTCCAATTTCTCCACATCCTTGCCAACTCTAGTTATGATCTGTCTTGGTTATAGCCATTTTAGTGGATATGAGGTAAAATTGCATTGTAGTTTTGATTTGCATTTCCCTAATGACCAATGTTAGTAAGGATATTTTCATGTGTTTGTTGGGCTTTTATATATCTTCTCTGAAGAAATATCTACTTCAGCTCCTTTCTTCATTTTTAATTGAATATTGAATTATTGTTCTTTATATAGCTTATATCATGACACTTATTAGATATATGATTCTCAAATAGTCTCTCTCATTCTGTGGCATGTATTTTCTCTTTCTTGACAGTATAATTTAGAGCATAAAAGTTTTTAATTTTGATGAAATCCAACATACCTGTTTTTTCTTTTTGGCTTACGCTTTTGGTATTATATTTTGGAACCAATTGCCTAGCCAAAAGTCATGAGGATTTAGTCCAATGCTTTCTTCTAAGAATTTTATAGACTTAGCTCTTATATTTGTGTGACTTATCCATTTTGGGTTAATGTTTGTGTATGGTATGAGGTTGGGTGCCTAACTTTATTCATTTACATGTGAATATACAGTTGTTCCAGCACCATCAGTTGAAAAGACTATCCTCCATTTTATTATCTTGACACACTTGTCAAAAATCAACTCACCATGAAGGGATGGGTTTATTTCTAGAATTAAATTGTATTCCATTGATCTATATATCTATCCTAATATTAGTAGCATACCATCCTGATTGCTATACTTTGTAGTAAGTTTTGAAACTGGCAAATGTGAGTCCAGCTTTGCTCTTCCTTTTAAAGATTGTTTTTTGCTATTCTGGGTCCCTGGCATTCCATATGAATTTTAGAATTAGCTTGTCAACTTTTGTAAAAATCCCAGCTAGAATTTTGATATGGATTATGTTGAATTTGTAGATCAGTTGATGGCTATTGCCATGCTAACAATATTAAGTATTCTAATTCATGGGCATGGAATATTGTTCTGTTTATTTAGGTCTTTAATTTCCTTAACTAATGTTTTGTGCTTTTTAGTGTACAAGTCTTGGATTTCTTTTGTAGGTATCCTTTACGATGCTATAGCAAGTGGAATTATTTTCTTAATTATATTTTTGGATTGTTCATTTCTAGTGTATAGAGATACAATTTATGTATATTGAGCAATTTTAATGAATGTATTTATTTATTCTAATAGTTTTTAGTGGATTCCTTGGGATTTCCTATGCACAAGGTAATGTTATCTATGAATAGAAATAGTTTTACTTCTTTCTTTCTGATACGGATGACATTTATTTCTTTCTCTTGCTTAATTGCCCTAGCTTGAACCTCCAGACAATTGTTGAAAGAAATGGTGAAAGTGTATATCTTTGTCTTGTTTCTGATCTTAAAAGGGACACATTTAATCTTTCACCATTGAGTATATATTAGCTGTGGGCTTTTTGGTTGCTATCCCTAATGTTGAGGGAGCTTCCTGCTGTGCCTAGTTTGTTGAGTGTTTTTATCATGAGTGTTGGATTTTGTCAAATCCTTTTCTGCATCTTTTGAGATGATCATATGGCTTTTTCTTTCATTCTATTACCATGGTATGTTATATTGATTGATTGCAGATTTTAAACCAAGCATGCATTCCTGGGATAAACCCCACTTTCTAATTGTGTGTAATCCGTCTTATATATTGCTGGATGCAGTTGGATGGATGCAGTTTGCTAGTATTTTATTGAGAATTTTCCATCTATATTCATTGGAGATATTGGTGTGTAATTTTCTTGAGTGATCTCTGGTTTTGATATCAGGATAATACTGACTTTATATTATTAGATGGGTAGAATTCCCATCATATCCCATTTTTGGAAGGGTTTGTGAATGACTGATATTAATTATTTTTTAAATGTTTGGTAGAATTTACAAGTGAAACTAGAATTTTCTTGTGAGCTGTTTTAATACTTATTTAATCTTTTTACTTATCACAGATATGTACAGTCTTTCCATTTCTTAGTTTTGGTGGTTTGTGTCTTTATTGGAAGTTGTCCATTTCATCTAAGTTATCTAATGTGTTGGTGTACAGTTTTTCATACCTTTTGCATTTTTTGTTTTGTTAATTTTCCCTTTTTTCTATTCTTTTAATTATTTCTCTTGTTTATTATTTCCATCTTTCTGTTTGATTTGGGTTTAGTTTGTTTTTTATTTCCTAGTTTTTAAAGGTAACTATTATGCTATTGAATTGAGTTTTTTTGCTTGTTTATTTTTTCAGTGTAGGCATTTATAACTATGTAATTTTCTCTAAGTACTGCCTTATTGCATTTCAGGTTTTGACATGTTGTGTTCTCATATTTATTCATCTTAAAGTATTGTCTAATTTCTCTTGTGATTTCTTCCTTGACTCATTAACTATCTAGGGTTGTGTTGTTTAACTTCCTATTTGTGATTTTCCCAATTTTCTTTCTGTTATTAATCTCTAATTTATTTCTTTTATAGTCATAATATATACTTGGTATGATTTTTTATTTCCTTTATAGTCATAAAATATACTTAGTATGATTTTAATCATTTAAAATCTATTAAGACTTTTATTATGCCCTGGCATAAGGTCTATTGTGGAACATGTTCCATATGAGCTTTAGAAGAGTTTATATTCTGCTGTTGTTGGGCAAAGTATTTTATACATATGTTAAATCTAGTTAGTTTATAGTCCTGTTCAAGTCATTTATATCCTTTTTGATTTTCCACTTGAGTTGTTCTATCCATTATTAAAAGTAGAATTTTGAAGTTCCCAGATATTATTGTTGAATTGTCTATTTCTCCTTTCAATTATGTCAGTTTTTGTTTCATGTAGTTTTGAACTTTGTTGTTAGGGAAATATGTGTTTGCAATTGTTTTGTCATCTTGATTGACTTTTTTTTTATCATTATAAAATATCCCTGTTTTGGGAAATGCAAATCAAAACTACCATGAGATACCATCTTACACAAGTGAGAGTGGCACATATTAAAAAAACTAGCAACAACAAATGTTGGCGAGGATGTGGAGAAAAAGGAACTCTCCTGCACTGTTGGTGGGAGTGCAAACTGGTCCAACCACTATGGAGAGCTGTGTGGAGATTTCTGGACCTACTAAACATAGAGCTTCCATATGATCCAGCAATTCCACTCCTAGGTATTTACCCAAAGGACACAGAAACATCAATTCCAAAGAGCACCTGCACCCTTATGTTTATAGCAGCACTGTTTACAATAGCTAAGCTTTGGAAACAACCCAAATACCCAAAAATAAATGACTGGATCAGGAAGATGTGGTACATATACACCATGGAATATTACTCAGCATTCAAAAAAGATAAACACATGCAATTTGCAGCAACATGGATGGCGCTGAAAGGGCTCATGCTCAGCGAAATAAGCCAGAAAGAAAAAGAAAAATACCGGATGGTCTCACTCATAGCAGGAATCTAGAAAATTTAAATAAGGGACCAGGAAAATGAATAACTATAAGAAAGTGAAAATCAAAATCAACAAAAAACTATGAACCAGAGACACTCTATGGGGGTGGGGGGTGGGGAGGGGAGGGATTGGGGTCAAAAATAAGGGGTTGCAATTGTATGGGGAATATAAAAATAAAATTTATTTTAAAAAAAAAGTTTAGTAAACAATAAAAAAAAATAAATAAAGAAGACTAGCTTCCCTCCCTGAAAAAAAAAAAAAAAGATTATTATATAGCTTGTCCAAGGTCACAGAGCCCAAGGCAGTCATTCTGGTACTAGACTTGTGTCCACGTGATTCAGAATCTCATGATTTGTTCACGATACCATCCTGCCTTTCCCAATCATCCAGTGTTGGGGCGGGGGAGTTGGGGTGGGAAAGAAAAAAAAATCCCTTTTTTTTTCTCTAGTAACAACTTTTGTCTTAAAGTCTATTTGGTCTAATCTTAGTGTGGTCATTCTACCTCTCTTATGGCTGCTATTTACATGGTATATCTTTTTTTGTCCTATTACTTTCATACTCTTGTATCTTTGAGACTAATGTGTGTCTCCTAGAGGCAACATATCTAGTCTCACAATCTCTACTTTTTGACTTGATTATTTAAGCCACTTACATATGATGTTATTATTAATATGATAGGATTTATATCAGCCATTTTGTTTTTGGTGTGGTGCTATATGACGCATGATTACTTTGTTCTTCTGTTCTGCCTTTATTTTGAATTTCTTTTTTTTTTAAATTTTTTAATTTTTTAATTTTTTTTTTTTATAGAGGCATGTTTTATTTATTTATTTGTTTGTTTGATGGTTTGTTTATACATGCACTGGGTACAGTCAGAAGCACGGGAGGGTGAGAGAATTCACCAGAGCCAGAGCAGGGAACAGAGGGTGAGAGAATTCACCAGAGCCAGAGCAGGGAACAGAGCAGGCAGAAGGACCGAAGGACACTGCTGAGGGGAGCAGCGGGCGGCAGGAGAGGTCTGCTTGCCATGTGGGACCCTCCTCCGGTGGCCGGGGAGCAGCCGGGGATCGAACCGGCGCTGCAGAGGCCGCGGGCAGCTTCGCAACCCAGCGCTCAACTGCTGCGCCACCGGGAAGGCCCTATTTTGAATTTCTTTTTATAAATTGTCTGAGGTAGAAGTTTTGCATCCAGATAATTAGCTAACTATGCTAGCACCATTTTAAAAACTCATCTTTTTCTACTGAATTGTAATACCTCCTTTGTCATACATATTGTTTCCGTATGTAATTTACTACACTTACGAAATTTTTATTATGTTGTACTCATGTATCTCTCTTCTTATGTGGCAGTACCTGCTGTTTTGTTTCAATAATCTTACGGTAAATTTCAATATCTACTATAGGAACTCCCTGTTTATTTTCTTCTTTTTCAAAAATTTCCTGGATATTCTCAGATATTTATTGTTCATGTGAATCTTTGAAATATAAAAAGAGTCTCTAGTTTATTATTTAAATTTTCACAAAACATGCACACACATACATACATTCACTATCTCATAACATGCTGTGTGTGACATTAGGTAATTCATTTAAAGTAAAAACTGATAAGTGTTAATACATTAAAATAAAACAGAATAGGATGATTTATGAAACTTTTACTAATAATTGTTTTCTTAACATAGGGTGAGGATTATGGAAAGTAGTGCCATCAGGATATTAAAAGAGAAAATGATTTCACGAAAAACTGACCTTGTTAATGCTTTCCAGCTTCAAGATCGCAATAAATCAGGTAAGAAAATTATATAATGCATTTGTTAACATACCAGGTTACATATTAATCAGTTTTCATTTTCTTTGTTTCCTTAAGATTTCAGTTCTCTGTTTTTACTAGCAAGGAATGATAGAGATAAAAATAAAATTAATCCATTGTATGCATAGAAAAAGGCATATTCCTCCTTTCCAATAAGTTTCTTTCAAGTTAAAACAACAACAATCCTGAATTAAACTTCTATTCTGGGAGTATTTCAGACTAGACACTCTGGCAGGCCCTCCTTTTAACAGCTACATTCTAGAGGATGCAGAATTTTAATGCATTTACCAGTCTCACAGTAAGTAAGGTAAATCTGTAGGCTACCTCTCCTTTCCCATGAAAGGCTATTGAAACCATTGTGGGAGCTTGGAACAGCAAGCAAGCAAACAAACAAAAAAGGTTGTATTGTCATGGAGGCAAATGCTAATAGTATTTTAGTAATCAATCCTGAGACTAATCCTGAGATAAGCAGAATTTGAGATTTCTACATTAAGCCTGGACCCTCAAAGTGGCTAAAGTAGTACTAGTCTGTAGTGCCCCCTAACTCCTAGCATGCAAATGCAAATCCATCTTCATGAAAAAACATCTCTAATTTTGGCCACTAGATTATCCAGAGATTAAGATTAACCAGCATGAGCTCACAACCAAACATCACCAAACAAACAAGGAGACAAGATACTATGAATGAGTTAGCAGGAACACCAAGCAACTGATTTAGTTCCCCATGGGTATCAGCTATTGGGATTATCAAAAACAAAATTAAGTAATAAATGTTTAAAAAAATGACATCATAAGCATACATTTGAAATGATTTGAAGAAGAACCAAATAGATATAAAAATATAATTGTTAAAAAAGAACCATAATGAGTGGTGAGTTAAAAAGATTAGACATTCAAGACAGATCATATGAAGGGGAGCAGGAGGCAACCAGGCTTCAAAACTCCAGGCAGCTCACTGGCTCCTCCAAGGAGCTTGCGTTTCTTTATAAAATTATCAGTTAATTATATGTACTTTTGTTGTTGCTAGGAAAACTTTCAATGAGCCAGTGGGCTTTTTCTATGGAGAATGTTTTGGGGCTGAACTTACCTTGGAGGTCCCTGAGTACACATCTGGTGGAAACAGATGAGGATGGAAATATTGACTACATGTCCACCTTCCAGGATCTCCACATTATAAAACCTGTGAAAGAGGCAAGTAAAACATAGTCCCAGCTGAAATCTGGATGGAGTGAAACACCCTTTGGATAACTACAAGAGTAATCTAGATCTTTGAAAAGTTGGGAGTGAAATCTCTGGCCGTCTTAGGAAAGGTCTGAGGGGACCTTGCAGGCACATTGTGATCTGTTCAGGAATTGGGTGGTTCTAAGGATAGACAAAGAGAAGAAAGAAGAAAAAGCTTCTGCAAGGAAATCCATGTCAGATATGTGATTTTTCTTTCAAATGTCGTCCAGCAGAAGGGTGGATGTGACATCTGTTTCTTACAGCACACCCTCTAAAATACTCAGTGTATTCTCTGTGAAAGTGTGAGTGTATAGACTTTCAGATAACATGTACTACATGTTAAAGATTTTTAAAATTTAGACTATCATATTAAAATGGGAATACTCTAGGGAGCATTGTCAGATTCCCATTACTTAACAGCAGTTATTATAATATTGAGCAGAAAGTGAGCTGAACTGGGATGATTGGGGAGATGAGAATTTAAAAGCAGAGCAAGTGCAGGTGGGAGACGAAAATATCCACAGGAAGGAGGCTTTTGGCTTCACTTAAGAGGCAGTTTACCTTAGTGACTAAGCTTGTAGACCTTGGTTTCAGCAGCTGAGATTGTAATCCCATTTACCAGCTGCGTGAACCTTGGAAAAGTTACTTTCTCTGTTTTCTAATCAGTTAAATGGGTATAATATAGTAGTTCTGTTCCTTGGGGCTGGGCTTGAGGACTGAATGAAATAATCCACAGAAAGTTCTCAGTGCAGTGCCTGGCACACAGGTGTTACCAGTAAATGTTACCTGTTGTTATTTACTGCTTCCTGATTCATTTTGGTCCTGCCCCCTGCAGACACTTCAGAACAGTGGAGTCTTACATCTTATTAAAGAGGGTTGGGCCTTCAAGGAAAACCTGTGTTCTCAAGTGTCTAGCTAGATTATGTACATTGAATTGGTAATGATATTTTGTGTTTATTATATTTATGAAAGCATGTTATTAATTCTGTGTTTTAATGCTTAGAAAATCTTTATTTTAGGCCCACTCTACCCTAATTGAAATTCTGTACAGATACCGATCTGACCTGCAAATCATCTATAATATCATTGACTCTGACCACTCAGGTAAATGAACTTGATTAGATCAGTAGCAGTAGAAAGCAAAGGCTAGTCTATTTCTCTGTAGTCAGAACTCTGTTTTCATCTATTATATTCTTCATTCTTGATTCAATTCTGGGGCAGGCAATAAACTCATGTTTAATATTACTGTCATTTTAGTTTGGCCACATTCTGTGTATTCAGGACCATAAAATCATACATAGGTATATATGTGTATCCATTAGTCAAACAGGAATAGCTCCTTTTATAAATCATCAGCGCAGATGAAAATATAATTCATTATCCATTTAAACATCATCAGCATAGTAATAATAATAATTTGTAGAGTTCTGATTTTAGAATTTGAGACTGAGGATTGTAGGTACTCATTTTCTGCTTAACTTTACTGCATAGCTACTTATTTTCAAACTTTAATACAAATTACGATATAATACCCAACTGCCAAGAGCATTGAGCATGAAAAAAATCAATAATCAATACACAAAAGTAAATTATTACCTATAAGAAATGGCAGAGCCATTGCTTGCAATCCTTTTACTGAATGCCAGGGTATTTCCTTTCTCTGCTTTGATGTTGCTCTCCTGTCTCATGTCCTTTTATGTGCTTCTCCCTTACATTACCCATCTTCTCATTTCTGTACTACATACAGTCCCCATCCCTCATTCCAGCTTTAGATTAACCTCAGAATCACTTGACAATTAAAAGTGACATATTATTTCTTACATTTACAATCTTACTTTTCCATTTCCTCCATTGTCTTGATGTTCTGTTAGTGGGCTTCAAGTTAGGACTAATCAATTTGTGTGACTCCCCTACCCCTCCCTTAAGTGGGTCTTAAAATAACACTCAATCTGTCTCCTATATTTTTTTAGGCCTGGTCTCCATAGAAGAATTTCGCTCCATGTGGAAACTTTTTAATAGTCACTATAGTGTGCATATTGAAGATTCCCAAGTCGATGAACTTACCGAAAGAATGGACTTAAACAAAGATGGAAGCATTGACTTTAATGAGTTTTTAAAGGCCTTCTACGTAGTGCATAAATTGGATAAGTCGAACAAATCAGAAAGCAGCAATCCTTAACAAGAATTAGGGCTTTCCCCCTTAAACAGTTGGGCCCAAGCCATTGGCACATCTTTTCCAGAATCCTTAAAATTCATAGTCAGTAGTCAAGAAAAGTAGGTCCCAACTCACTCTACAAGCAGATGTCTGGTGTGGGTATTAGCAGTCGCTAGTAAGCTGTTATTGATAAGACTAAGTTAAATGTCAGCTAATAGCATTTGGCTCCAGTGTTAGGACCCACACATTGCCAGATAGAAACTGGATTTGAGCTTAGTGTTGGTGTTTTAGATACCACCTAGCAGGAGATCAGAAGAATTTCAAAGCCTTTGAAAAGAACCCACAGGGAAATAGAGAAAAGCACAACATCTGTGAATGGCTACAATGGAAAGCTAAACTATTAATGGAATAAAATACTTCGATCTTCAAATTGTAATCTTCTTTGGAGATACTGTACGTAAGTCAGTGATTCTCAGTTGTGGGGGAACCACCCTTCAGGGATGGGGGTTATATCAGATTCTTAGAGAATGTTTTGGGAATGAATTATTTGAAAAAGCATATACTTTTCTTGTCTGTTGGAGATACAAAGTGAACAACTTCACATTGAGCCCTTAATATTGATATAGTTTGACATCTTTATTGTAATACGGAACCTTGGTTATGTATACATAGTACAGTTTATTCTGCTATTGTGATCATATATCAAACATAATATAAGGTTTCTGTTTAAAGGCAAGAATGTGTTTCTTTTTTTCCTAAGTTTGAGAACTTCAAGATCTATCAGTATGCCAGTTCAGTTCAATATCCTGCAACCCTGCCTGCTATAGACACCAGAAACATTGCATAAACTATAACAAATATCTGTTTTAAATGAACAGTTGAAATGGTAAGAAAGTAACAGAAACCCCTAGGGGGCAGGGAAAAAAGAGCATAATTAAAACTGCTGTAATTAATAGCAGAGTTAATGTTGGGCAGAATAGACTTTATTTTTTTTTAAAGATTTATTTATTTGTGCATACAAGAGCTGGGTACAGACCAGAGTTATGGGGTGGGGGGGTGAGAGGATTCACCAGAGACAGAGTGGGGAACAGAACAGGCAGATTGACTGAAATACACTGCTGAGGGGAGCAGTGGGTGAGACTGGAGAGGTCTGCCTCGCCATGTGGGTTGCTCCCTGGCCGCCCGGGGATCGAACTCGTGCTACAGAAACTGTGGATTGCTTCATAGTGTGGTGCTTAACCCCCTGTGCCACCAGGGAGGCCCCAGAATAGACTTTAAAGCAAAGAATATCATTAGGGATAAAATAGGTCTTTACTGAAGCTAAAAAGAATGATTTGTTAGGAAGATATAATAATTATAAACATGTATCTAATAGTAGAGCTTTAAAATTTATGTTGTAAAAATGGACATAACTACCAGGAGAAATTGATAGAGGGAGGTTTTAATATCCTCTATCTGTAATTGATCATGTTAATAAAAATTAGTAGATAAAAGATTGGACAACCCAGTCCACCTGACTGTGTATGTATGTGTACTCTCAATCAGTTTTAGAGAATACACATTATTTTCAAACACGCATGGAACATTTATGAAAATTGATCATCTGCTAGAGCCAAAAACATACTCAAATACCAAGCAGTCAATAACAAAGATGCTATATTCTCCAATCACAATACAATTAATAAGAAATAATATAAGAAGGTAACCATATTAATAAGTGAAGGGGAGATATAACTGTAGTTCTACAATAAATTTCTAAAAATAGTTGAAAAGAATACTGTGAATACCTTTATACAATAATTTTTATAAAATATGTGAAAGGACTATATCTTAAGGAAAAATATAATCCACTAAAAGCTAACTTGAGAATAAAAGGAGCTACTAAAGAGACAAAACCACTAAAGAATGTGATGGCTTTGTAATGTGTCACTTTGGCCAGGCTGAACACATTTCTCAGGATTCCCTTTCTTGTATGTTCTGGTATAGGTGGGCCACAGGGAGATTCTTGAAAAGATTTGGAAGGCAAAGGGAAGCAGCAGCCATAGTGTAGCTCCCACACACTCACACACTGTTGCTGAGCTGCTGATTCCCCTTATTGATTGTGTGTGTGTGTGGTGTGTGTGTATGTGTACCTTGGTGATGAAGGGCCCTGGCTTCTGCAGGATAATCTCACCAGACATGATAAGAAGATTAAAGACAATAAGAATGGACAGAGGCTCAGCCTACTTATGGGATGCCAGCTTGTGGGTTTGAGCCTACTCCTGACAGTCACCGCCTGCCTGTCTGCACTGTGGACTTTGAAATCCAGCATTAGATATAGAGCCTACAGCCATTTAGAGCCTGCTCAACCAGCTCCCACATTTGCACAAATCACTTGTCCTGCTGGTCAGTCTGTCTGTCTGTCTGTCATCTGTCTCCTCTGGTTGGCTTCTGGCCCCTGACTGATAAAGAATTTGGTACTGAGAGTGAGTCCAGAACAGAATTTTAAGAATGAGTGCTCTGAATGTGTACAATTTGCAGTGTACTGAGCTTCTGCCCCATTATCTCACATGAAAATCCACTGATAATCCCAGGATAGTGGTTCTAAGAAATGTCCAATCTCAATCTCTCTCTCTCTCTCTGCTATTCAGAGCATTTAACTCTCTCATCCACCAGAAATGATTTTGTTGTATTCATTTTTTCCCACTTATTTGAAATGCCACCTCTGTCATATTGTCAGCTCCCATATACACATGGGTCTGTCTCTCTTATAATCCATTGGTCTCTTTGGTCTGTCCTCCCACAAGTACTGCATGTATCAAATACTACAACTTTATAATTGTCTTGATATCTGGTAGTATGAGTCCCTCCCCTCCTCCATCTTTATTATTATTAAAAATTTCTTTGGTTCTGTAGTCCTCTATACACATTTTAGGATCAGTCTGTCAGTTCTGTGAAACCTCCTGTTGGATATTGATAAGAATTGCATTAAATTTATAGATTAATCTGGAGAGTATTATTATCTTTGCTGAGTCTTGCTAACCATGAACATAGAATATTTGTTCCAGTTATTTAAGTCTTCTCTAATGGCCTTTAATAATTTCTCATCATTCTTGTTTTCTTTTAAAAGATTTATTCCCAAATATATTATGGGGTTTGTTTGTGTTTTGTTTGTTGTTTTTTGGTTCTGCTGACTTGTTTCAATTCTGCTTGCTCTTTTTTCATAGGGCTTAGTTCTATTCTTAGGATTTGATTGCTCCCTTTCTAGTCTTTATTCATTTTTACATGCATTTCTTTTATAATCTTTTATAATCTCTGTGTTTGGAGTTCCTGGGGGTATAATTGTATGTTCATAGTATGTGCAGATTCTTGATCAGGTTGGATTGTTTACTCTGGGGCTTTGCAATTTTTTATTGTGAACTCATCATTATATGGGCTTGTATTTTTTTTTTTTTTCCACAACTCTCATGATGTTTGGGATGTGGAAGCGTCTTTTCAGAGTTTTTTCTTTGCTTCTGCTTTGTATCTCAGGAGTAACACTGTTCTTCTGCTACTTTTTAGCCTGGAGTTTCTGAATTATGTGGGTAGAGTAAAAGCAATGTGAAATGTGGTCCTGTGGTTTTGAATTCTCAGAGAGCTTTTCTTTTTTTCCCCACCCAAAATCTTGTGTCCTGTGGTCTCTCTTGCTTTTAAATCCTTTGATAAATAAAATAGTCCTTTGAGGGTCTGGGCTTTATTCAAAGTGCTCAGTTCCAATTCCCTACCTCCCAAAGTCTAAAGCCTCATTTCCTATCCTTGGCAGGTATTAACACCAAACCCCTAGGTTTTGGAGACAAATACCCCCATTAGCTCCAGCACTCACCCCTCTGCTTTTTCACTTTCCTCTTTGTTTCTGGCACCTGAGGACTTGCTTTTATTATTTGTGAGTCTACTTGTATACTTAAAATAATTATATTTTACTCAGTCCTTCTAGTTGATTATAGTAAAAGGATTTTCAGGTTGTCTGAGTCCTCCAAATTGCTAGAAACTTATAAGAGATCTTTTGTATGCACTTCTATTTGTTAATAACCTTTAGGATTCATATTTGGACAATGAGTGTTCATAATATGCCATGGTGCTTGCATTATGCAATGTGTCATGTACTGGACCTCAATTTTTAAACTTTGGTAACACTTACTTCTGAATAATTTCCTCTTAATTTGCATCTCTCTTCCCCCCATAAATTGGATAATATTATATGGTTTTTTAAAGGGGCACATTTTTTTCTTTTCACCTTTTCTCTCCCAACATAAGCATCACACTCACCATTGCTTCTCTTGCACCTAAGGAAGCCATGTTGAGCCTTCCATATTTTAATCTGTTCCATATAACCCTGTACAAACCTGTATGTGTCTTCCTATATGCTTAAATTTACATACACAGTAATACATAATCAAGGTGGTTTTTGTCTGCTGTATAAAAATTGGATTATATTATACATATTTTTCTGCATTCTGCTTTTCTTAATCAACCATACCTAGATGAAATCCCTGCAAGCTGTAATGGCTCTAATTCTCCCTTGTTTGAGTACATAAATCATAGTGTGCTTCTTGGTGAAATTTCACGATGAATATACCCATGTAACTAGCACCCAGATCAAGAAACAGAACCTTAATAGTATTCCAGAACCCCCCTTGTGCCTCCTCCACTTTATCTTACCCTTACCCTCCACTCCCTGCCCAAGGGTGAGTAACCATCATCCTGACTTTTAAGAGCTTAGATTTTTAAAATTTTTTTTTATTATTTATATAAATGGAACCATTCATTTCATACTCTTGTACAGTATTATATTTATGATGTTCATAATGTTCATTTATTTGTCCTTTGTTCATTCAGTTGCTGTATATTATCCCATTGTGTGAATAGACCAGAATTGATTGATTGGTTGTACTAATGATAGGATTTGGGGTAATTATGGACATTGCTGCTAGGAACATTTTTTTCCCATCAATTTATTCTTTTAATGGCTATACAAGATTCAGTGCTATGGAGGACCACCTTTTATTCAGTCATCCATCTTTCCTTCAAGGAATTTATTTTCATATAATATGTGTGTGTATATTCTTCCATGTGGATATCCTGTCATTCCAGCCTTATTTATTGAGTAGTCCATGGTTTTTCCACCAAACTGAATGAACACATTTATCCTGTACTAATTTTTCAAATATAACAGTATTTAATTCTAGAGTTTCTAGATGCTTTCATCATTTTTGTTGTTGTTAATTTTTTGTTGTTGTTGATTGATCTGACTTTTGTAGCTTTATAGAATTCTCTGATATCTGGTGAGACAAGCCCCACTGTTCTTTTCATTGGTTTCTTAGCTATTCTCAGACATTCATTTCTCTATATGAGCTTTAAGATAATTTCACACAATTTCAAGAAAATCCCTGTTAAGATTCTAACTGAAAATGAATATAGTATATGTATTAACTTGTAACTTTCCATTTGTTCATAAATTGCTTTTTATCTTTTAATATGGTATTATAGGTTTTCTCTTATGGGTCTTACAACTCTCATATTAAATTTATTCCTAAATATTTTCTAGTATTTTTGCCACTATTACAAATAGGAAACTGTATCCCATTTGCATTTCTAAGTATTTATAGTTTGAATAAAAATGGAACTATCTGGTACCCATCCTCCTTACCAAATACTGTTATTAATTCTAAAAGTGTTTTGATAGGGTCTCTTGAGTTTTCAAGGTAGACATTTGTATTATCAGCATAGTTAATTTATATATCCTTTTTTAGAATTGCCAGATATAGCAAACAAAAGTACAGAATGCCCAGTTAAATATGAGTTTCAGATAAACAATTTTTTAGTATGTGTGTTTTCGAATATTGCTTGGTATATACTTATCCTAAAAATTTATCCATTGTTCATTTGAAATTCAGTTTAACTTGGTGTTCTGTATTTTATCTGGCAACCCTACTTCTTTCCCAGTGATTATACCTGCTGTTTTATTTTCTTCATGCATTGCATTTGCTAAACCTTTAAGACAGTGCTTCTAATTCTGGGCTGTGCATTAACATCAGCCAGTAAGTGTTTTTAAAGATTCTAATGCCAGGCCCCTAGGCTCAGAGATTGAATTTGGTAAATATTTTTAAAAGCTTCCCACTTGATTCTAATGGGCATCTGGAATTGAGAGGTACTGCCCCAAAACAATGTTCAGTAATAATGGTGTTAGTGTGCATCCCTGTCTCCTCCTTGGCTTTAATTAAATCTTTCTAGTGTCTGACATTTAAAATAATATCCTTAGCTTTGTTTACGTGGTTTCCATCTATCCCTCTTTTATTTAAAGCTTTTATTAGGAGTGGCTGCTTTTGTCATCTATTCATGTTTGTATGACTTTCTGTTTATTGATATTAAGAGTCATAGGTTTCTCCATGTTGGGACTCTTTCTAATTCTTTAATTTTATTTTAATTTTTTATTTTTTTTAAAGATTTATTTATTCATGCATACAAGAGCTGGGGTACAGGCTAGAGATGCAGGGGGTGAGAGGACTCACCAGAGACAGAGAGGGGAACAGAACAGGCAGACTGACCGAAATACACTGCTGAGGGGAGCAGCAGGTGAGACAGGAGAGGTCTGCTTGGCCATGTGCGTTGCTCTCTGGCTGGCCAGGGATGGAACTCGTGCTGCAGAGGCTGTGGATTGCTTCATAGTGCAGTGCTTAACCCCTTGCACCACCAGGGAGACCCTAATTCTTTTATTTTATGCTGAAACTGTTTGTTGTGTCATTCAGAACTTGCAACTTTATTTATAAATCAAATTGGGTTTGAGAAGTGTTACTGTTGCAACTTGTCTGATACTGGTTGAAATACTTAACTTCTTGCTACTCAAATTGTGGTCCCTAAACCAACAGCATCTGCCTGCCTCACCTGGAAGCTTGTTAGAAATGCAGAGTCCCAGGCTCTACTGCACACCTACTGAATCAGAATATGGATTTTAACCAGAGCACCAGGTCATTTGGACATACATTCAGTTTGAGAGAAGAAGGTGCAAGGAACTTCGGATCCATCCACTGAAGGTTAGCTAAAATTCAGCTGGGGACCTATGTGGTTTTAGTGTCCTTTTCATTGTGGACAGCTGCTGTCCTTCCTAGCTGCACCCATGGCCACCCATCTCTAGTTGCTCTATTTGGCAGCTTCAGTTTTGCAAAGAAATCATTAATTTCCTATAGGTTGTTCCAGTTTATATATGTTACTGTTATGATTCTTTTCATTTCTACTAAGACTGTGATTATGTCATTTTTTTCAGTCTCCTCTTGTAAATTTCTGACTCTTTTTTTCCTTAGTCTGCCAGGCAAGGGACTGTGAAACTGTTGTCTGTCTTTTCTAAGCCAGTGCTTACATGTATTTTTCCTTTGAACTGTTTTGGGAAGGGGTATTTGTTTTCTGTTTCATTTGTTTTAGCTTTTATCTGTACTAATTCTCTCCTCTGATGTCTGTTGGTTTATTATCTTCCTGTTCTTTTTCTAATGTCTTAAGATTGGTATATATCATAATTATACATTTTTTAAAATAATGAAGATATTTATGGATATACATTTCCCTTTAAGACTTGCTTTCACTCTTTTCTATAGGTTTTAGTATGCAATGTTCTTTTTTCTTTTAGTATGCAATGTTCTTAGTTTCTTGGCAGTGATTTCCCCTCTAAGGGGTTTTTAGGAGTGTTTCTTTGTTTCCACATTTAAAATATTCCATAATTTAAAATTTCATTCATTGGTCCTTAAACATTTAATAAGATTTCCTTTGTGGCCTTGTACTTGATTTATTTCTGGACACATTTCTGTTTTATGGACATACAAATGAAATGTGTAATTTCCATTTGAAGAATGTCAGGTTCTCTATACATGTTATCCCAAATTATTAGCTGTATCAGTCACTTCATCTATGCTCCTACTGACTCTGTGCTTTAGACAGATCCAGTTCTAAAAGAGGTGAATCAAAGTCTCTAACTGTATTTTTATTATATTCTGTTTGTATTTCTATTGGCTTTTTTTCTTTTGCCATATGATTTTGCCATCAGTTATATAATGTGCATAAATTTATGACTATTATATGTTCTTTTTTAAAAGATGTATTTATTTCTGCATGCAGGAACTGGGGTACAGGCCAGAAGTGTGGGTGGGGGTGAGAGGATTCACCAGAGACAGAGTGGGGAGCAAAACAGGCAGACTGAAAGACACTGCTGAGGGGAGCAGCAGGCGAGTCCGGAGAGGTCTGCTGCACCATGTGGGTAGCTCCCAGGCTGGGGATTGAACTCGTGCTGCAGTGGCTGCAGAGAACTTCATAGGTTGTGCCACCAGGGAGGCCCTAGTATATGTTCTTAATTATATATATTTTTATCACACTGTGTCCTTTTAGATCCTGTTTAGTGTTTGAATTTTAATTTGCTCATCCTGCTATTCCTGCTCTCCTTTTGGCATTTTATTTCTGATCTTTCTTTGTCATTTTTATGTGTTTTTCTAACCTACCTAAATTTTTATTTTTAGCTCTGACAGTCTGTCTTTTATTGGGTGAATTCTGTTTAATTACTTCTGGTGAATTGACTGATATATTGTTTTGACTTTACTCATCCTACTCCATTAAACTGTTGTTTTGTGACTTTTTTTCTCTTTTTTTCTGATTTAATTTACCATTCATTTTATTTCTCCCCTTATTAATATCTATTATAAATAAATAGACTTTTAATGGGACTTACTGCTATATAGGGTTTTTGAAAGTCTTTGACATGACAGTATTAAATAACAGAATAGCAGAGAAAAATTCATAGAATTGAAAGTCAAACCAATGTCCTTTTGACGTTCCTCCAGATGATCTTTCCACAATACCAGAGATTCAGAACAAAGCCAAGCATTTCTAACTGAATAAGCATGACTCATGCTCAGATCAGTTTAGGATCAGGGTGTGTTACTGTCTCTTGGGACATGAGTGAGGGTCTCAAGTAAGCTGGAACTGAGCAGCTCAGGTAGGAGGGGCCGATTTTCAGTGTCACCTGGCTCCATGGGCCTGGTGTGGCCAGAACTTCAGGCCTGTTGAGTGGGTGCCTCAGGAGGTCCCTTGGGAGAGTCCTGACCTTCTTCTCTTTTAGGAACATGTCTTAGCAGTAGAGGGTCACACTTGTGGATTCTGAGAGTCCCAAAGCACAAGTATTTGGCTCTGTGTCCAAAGGTCTAGGAAAGTGGCATTCTGGGGGCCCCTATGGTTTTGGAGGCTGTCACCAAGGGAAAGGGCCTCAGATCATCTGAGTGGGTAGCCTCTGCCTTGGGCATAGGCTTAAGACTCCGTTCTCAGCATCAACTGTGAGGGCCCTTCCTCTCCTGCACTGCTGCCTCCTTGGGTCCTTGGATATCCATTGTCCTAGGGCACTTAGATCGCCCTGGTGGGATCAGAGCCCATGACTCCCCTCCTGGGGTCCCTAAACCTCCTGAGATGGCAATCATCTTAACAAGCATCTGTGAGACATCATTTTATTAAGCTCTCCAGAGCCTGTACGTGGAGCTCCAGTGAGACATCTCAGGCCAACAAAAATGTCACATTTCTTTGCTTTTGGCAGGAGTCCCAGCTCCTCCTCTTGGGAACACCATTTATTCCTTGCTCAACAGACACTTCCTTTGGCCATTATCTTGCTCTCCAACTAATAAATTAAAGGAGAACAAATTAACTTATCACTTGTAGCTTGGTAGATAAAATATCTCAAAATGTGAAGAACATGGGATGATAATAGAAAGATCCCTGTTGGAAAAAAGTTGGAATACCTGAGCTCATTTCATGTTGGGTCTGAGTAGGTTAAATAGTTCTTCATTAAGTTGCTTCCAGGGAAACTGCAATAGGGACAGGGTACCCCGACCTCCCCCTCTTCCAGGCTCCCGGGATCCGTGCAAGCATACAAGTGAGAAGTGAGGTGACAGCATTGGAGCTTGCCTGCATATGTGTGCTGAGTGAGGTGAGTGCTTGCTCCATGGCCTGGGGGTGGCTCTGAAGGTCTCCCTGCACTGCCAGTCTCCCTTCTCCAAGAACATCCATGTAGCAGCATGCCCAGGAAACTCATGGAAGAGCACTGGAGGGGGGCAGCAGCAGCTTTGCTCATGTTTGGCTGCCAACATGTGTGAGATGGGTTTGCATCTCCTCACCTGTGATGAAAATTACCCAACAGGATACAGGGAAGGCCTTTGGTGGCCCCACAACCTATAAATCCTGCCTCTGCCAGCTTGTGAAGCAAGTGTGGCCTGGCACCCTAGCACCCAGCAGTGCCACCGAAGGGCTGATGGTGGTGGATAAAGCTCCATGTCATTTCCTCAGAGCCAGGCACTATTAACTCATTCATCTTCACTACCACCCTAGGAGGCCAAGGCTGTGCTCGTAGAACCTATTTTATGAGATAAGGTTGTACAGTTGGCAGGTTGGTAAAGAGGCTGCCAAGCTGGGGTCTGATGTGGTCTTTGGTGCCATTTGAGCTATCTGGTACTTGTTCTGGAAGCTGAGTCCACTAAAAGCTGTACGAGGATCAAGAAACTTCATTTGATCCTGGAAGTTCAACCTCTTTCCTCTCACCAAATTCTACATTAAAAAAAAAAAAAGGTGCTAGCAATAGTTGAAATGGGCAGATTTGCCCTTCCTTTCCTTTCCTGCTGGCCCAGACACCCCTGAGGATGACCTGCGCTGGGCCCTCCTTCCTAGCCCTTAGCTATGCCCAGGCTGGACATGTTCTCTTCAAGAGGGGGAAGAAAGGGTCCAGGGACCCCGAGCAAAATAGAGCAAATATAAATGGAAACTCTGAGGCTGTGATTCATTTAGCCAGCATGACTCATGTTCTGCTAAGGTTTCCGTGAACAATATGTTCACAGTCTGATTTAATTATAGCCTCGATTCGTCGCTCCTTGCTGAGCCCGGAGTGCACCCAGCCTGTGCTGCCCGCGCCGAAATGCCCCCAGTGGGAGAGGGCACTGGAAACGTTTGCTGCAGGTGCCACTTGTCACAACATGTGGCAGACAGCTCTTAAGGAGACCCCAGCAAGGAGGGCAGCCTCCTCGAACACACCGACAGCTTCGTCGTGGGTCTCAAGCCCGCTGTGGGATTTGCCTTCTGGGCTCCCCTGGGTGCAGAGGCTGGAGTTGAGGTTCCCGCGCAGGAGTGTGGGTGTTTGGAGCTATTGATTGAGAGAGTGCGAGGATTTAGTCAAAGCTCCGTCACGCGAGGGTGGAGGGAAACCCAAGGCTGGCTGCCGAGCCGGGGGCCGGTTCACACGCCAACCCAGCCCGTGCCATCCTCATTTCTCATCTGCTCTGCGGCTCCGGAGAACGCGCCCAGCGGCTGCGTATGAAAGCCATCATTTCACAAAGGTGGAGACGCGCCCACAATTATTTCCTGGGTGTCGGACAGATGCAGGAGTTCCCTTCTCCCTGCAGAGCACGGCGCATCAGTGTGCATTTCCGTCAAAAATGAAGCGTTTCCTCTGTGATTATGCAGAACTAAGTGAGGAAAGGCGGCCTGATACCCCAGCCTCAGGAGGACTGGATAAAATAAAGGGTGCCCAGTAAAACTCGAATGCCTGATGAAGAATAATTTTTTCATATGAGCACGTCCGACCTATCACCCAGACCATGCTCGTACTGAAAATTGATTTGTTGTTTATCTGAAATTCAGGGCCCCTGTTTTCCTTTGTAAGGCTGGCAACCCCGCATCGACTTTGAAGTCACACAGCTTCTGCCTCCCTGTTACCCAAGGGGCTGTGAAACTGCACGAATGACTTGAGCATTTGAATCCTGCTTTCCTGTCCTGCACAATGAGAGTAAACGCTGCCCCAGCACTATGGCAAAGATGAAAAAAGAAGGGGCAGCCTGGCACAGGGAGCCCCTCACCACAGCTTATCCCAGACCCTGCCTACTCCCCTTCTTGGCTGGTGCTCCTACCCCCAGTTCCGGGATTGCTGGGTGCAGTGGATCCTTGGATGGCGACATGTTTACATGACGTTTCATTATGATGTTGATGAGAAAAAATACCTCGTTCTGGTCAGGACCAGTGTTGGCGTGGGTCTGCATCTTTTGCCCACGTCTGGTGGGTCTCCCAGGGACTCGGTTTCCTCCCGCATCACAAAGATGCCAGTAGAGGTTCACGGGCATGTCTCCATTGTCCCACTGGAGTGAGTGTGGCGTGTGTGCTGGGCCCTGCCACCCGAGGGTCCTGTCCAAGGTGGACCCTCCCCCCCTTGTATCCTGAGCTGCAGGATAGACTGGCCACCTGGAACTCTGAACTGGAATAAACAGGGTGGGAAATGAAGGGATGCAGGAACACAGAAGGTTGTTTACAATAGAACAGTCTGGGGTCTTTCTTAAGAAGTTTGGTGATGCTTCTGTGACCAGAAAAATGCCACAGTAATTTTAACTCCTGTTTCTACCAATTGACGTAGGCCCAAAAAGTTCTCGTTAACCCTCATTTTGTTCAAAGTCGCAGTTTCCAAGAACCACCCTTTCCGTCTAATTGCCTAAGGCTGATGGGAGGCACCTGCCTGGGAAGTCATGCCCCCCCTGCCACCCGCAGTAGTGCCAGCCCCTTCCCTCGAGGCCACCCAACTCTGTCTCCCATCAACACAGCAGCCCTCCAGGGTGGTCAGGCTGAAGCTGGTCCCCACGGGGATCCACATCTTCTTCTCAGCTCCATCCCTTGCTCCATGATTCTGCTTCTCTCACTTCCTTACAGGCCTCTCCCAGGAGCAAGGACTCAATTCATCTGTGTGCAGAGCTCCTTGCCTGAGACACTAGCAGCACCCTTAGGTGCACTGACAACTAGTGTCCGTGTAAGTCTGTGAACATCAGCACAGGGAAGGGCCCCACCCCTGAGAACAAGGGCATGTGGGGTGCGTGGCCCATGGGGTTGGGGTATAGTGCTGGGTAGCAGGAAGGGGCTTGTCTCCTTCCTGGAATTTGGCAAATGGAGGGGGTTGTCGTTCAGCCTCAGGCCTGGCGTCCTCTCTGCAGAGCAAGGCTGGGGAGGCCAGCAAGGCCTAGAAGGCCTGGCCTCATCTTGGCAGTGGTTGGTGAATTGGAAAGATGCAATTAAATTAAGAAAAATGACATCAGTTAAGGGGCTCAATGGAGAGCTGCAGGAGCTCTTTCCCTACCTCCCCATCTTGCTCACTACACTGTGTTACTTTAAAAAGACACTGAGCAAAGGGCAAATCCTTAAGGAAAATTGGACTGTTTTAAAGAGCAAGACCTGGCTTTGAATCTCAACTCTTCTGCCCCTAAACAGGCATTGGAATCTGAACCAGCTTCTGAGCCTCTCCAAGCCTCAGTTTTCCTTCTAACAAAATGGGGGTAATAATGCCCCCTCCTATCTCCCAGGGGCATGGCAGAGAGTAAACAAGAATCCAGAGACTACTTATGGACTGCTACGACCCCCAAAGGTCTGGGGACAGACAGTGACCCTCAGGCCTCTGTACTCTAGCACCGCAGTGATAGAGTCTCTCAGAGGAAACAGGAGAGCAGCTGGAGTGAGGACAGAAGCGGGGAGAAGGCATTTGGGGGCTATTTTAAAACAGGAATTCACTGAATGTTTGCTAGTTTCCAGGAACTTTAACCTCACTAAATATTTTTAGCTAAATAAACATTTATTTAGCATTACTATGTACCCAGTGATGTTCAAGCACTGTAAGAATATTAATACATTTCATCCTCGCAACAGTCATATGAGCTGGGGGGCTAACATCAACCCCAGTTTATAGAGGAGTTGGCAGGCGCTGCCATCGGGGCTGGTGCCCTTAACCATACCAGATGCTGGGTCTCAGGCAAAGGCACACATTGCACTGCCAGCTCCCTGGTCACAAGTCCTCTGGGCTGGGTCCCCCGCGGGCTGGGCTGGACCACCAATGCAGCCCGAGGTTTTGGTGGCACTGTGCTCTGTCTATTGCCCTGACCTGTGCCCACCCAGGCCCTCTCTTCTCTGTGGGGGAGACTCCAACCGTGCCACCCAGGCTCTTGGCAATAAGCTCCAAGATGAAGGAGGAATTTAGAGGTAGCAAGTAAAGACAGGCTTTGATGTTCTTTGCGCCTCCTCCCCAAAATGTGTACCTGCCTCCCTTTGCCTCCCTTGTCTGAGGTCCACAGCAGGAGCCTTGCTCAAGGCAGAGCAGATGATGGTAACCTTGGCCTCTCTGGAGTGTTAGGAACTGATGCCTGAGTTGGGTGAACCCAAGTTTTGCCAGGTTGCCATCCTGACAGACCTTAAATTTTTTTTATGAGCATTTACTAATTTTTAATGATCCTCCAAAACCTTCCATAGCAAGTACTATCATCCCCACTTGACAACTGAGGAAATTCACAAAGCGACTGTCATCCAGGCCACACCGCTACAAAAGAACCTGTCAGAACCCAAAGCCCATATTTGTAAGTACCTGGGCAGCCCTCGTGGGGAGGGGGTGACAGCAGCCAGTCTCCTGAGCCTGTATCCCATGCTTTGGCATTACATATGTGCTATTATTGTTGTTGTTATAACCTTATTTTGTTAATCTCTGGAACTGCCCAATGAGGATGGTTTATATAATCACCATTCTATTTTGCAGAGGAGGAAACTGAGGCACCAAGAGACAAAGTATAATTGGCTGGGTCCACATGAAAACACACAGTCTAGTTGCTAAGAGTTTCGCAGTTGCCAAAGCACTAAAACAGCATTTCTTCTGGTGTGAAGGGACCTTTGAGAGAAGCAAGGCCTGCCCTTGGCTTTAGATGGGTGCTGAGGGCTACCCAGGAGCCACCGAGCCCTGAGCCCAGGACAATGAGCAGTGACAGCCAGTCAATGTGACCTCTGTGTGCACAGGGGCCAGCGTTGTATGTTACCCATGCGTCTGGGGCCCAGCAGATGGAGCATCAGGTGCAGCTGCCCTTGCGCAAGCGTGATTTGGGTCCTAGTGGGCGGTACTGGGCTTTTGAACCCTTGTACACTGAGAATGCCCTCCCCTGTGACATTTCTCTCCATATCTGCCATCCAGACTTTGTGTGCAGCAGGAAATGAGCCTGTCTTCTGAGGTAAACTCGTCAGGGAAATGCACTCCTTTGCCCAGATCTAGGTAAACATGGAGTCTCCAAACCCGGATTTTAGTCCTGATCTAAGGTGGATTTATGAAATTCACAAGCTGCTGGAGCCTTGGTTTCCCCATCAGTAAAATCCTGGTGCTGATAATGGCTATCTCACTAAGCAAGTGTCCGGTGTCAACAGTGCCATCATTACCAGTATCTGAGCCATGTGGCTCCCTACCAGAGGTTCAGTTTCAATCTCTTTTTCTAACACACCCATGGTTTGCTAGGACATAAAACACACAGAAGACTGTCACTTATTCCTAGGACTCCTCAGAGCCCATCCTGTTGGCCTCAGCTTTCCCATCCATATTTCCACTCTGTCCACCCTCAAGGTACACAACCTCTGGCTAGCCTTCTGGAACGTTCCCCTAACCAGTGCCTCCAAGTGGGGAGCTGCTCCCTTCCTCCCAAGGATGACTCATTACATTTCTTGCTTGCTTGCTTTCCACTGTGCTTTTTTAAGTTAAAAAAAAGAAAGAAAGAAATGTGTCCAATTTAAAACTCAGCACAGCACATCTATTTACAGCGCAGAGGAAGCAGCCTTTGGATGGCTCGCAGAACGAGAAGGCTTTAGAAAGCCTCGACCCTGGCCCCACAATCCTTCTCATGCTTTCTAAGTCCAGGGACTTGAAAAAGCAGGCGTGCACTTTCAGACAGCAAAAAGGTCTGACGTCATTAGGCAAAGGCGGGGGAGAGCAAAAGCTGAGCTCTTGGCCCGCACAGGAATAGCAGCCCATCCCTGACAGGTCCCCAGAAGTGTGGCAGGCAGGCCGTGGCTATGTCCAGGCTTGTGAGTATTTGCTTGGGAATGGTCTAAGAACCACAAGGATTTTAGGCCTGAGCCGGGGGAGTAAGGCTGAGGATGGGGACAGGAAGAGGTTCCTGCTATTTTCAACCATTCTGTCACCTCTATTTTCCAGCTCCCTACACAGCAGCAACACAGGGGCTGCTCCAGGAGCTGGTTGAAATTAAATAGCCTGGGCCACGTGCTCCTTTCCCTGTCCCCACAGACCCCCCGGCTTCAAATCCTCTGTATAATGAAACCTTGTCCCCTCTGCTTTTAGCCACTGCACCATTGCTTGCTTTCCTTTAATGCAAAGTGGGGCTGACAATATTTGTCATTCTGTGTCCCAGTGACTTGGGACAAAAGGCAGTCTACACTCCTCCTGTTGATGGCTCCACCTCCCCTCTGCACTTGCAGTCCCCAAACTACATCAGGTGCACACCTGCCTCCAGGCCTCTGCACTGGCTATTCCCTCTGACTGACAAGCTCTTGGCCTTGCTATTCCATTGCCCACGCCCTCACTTCCTGCAGGTCTTTGATCAAATCCTGCCTCATCACAGATCTTCTCAGTCATCCCATGTGACAGTCCCCGTCAGCACCCAGGCCACCCTGTCCCCTTCCTCTGCTTTGTTCTTGTCCATGGCTCTTGTCAGCCCCTGACACATTATGCCCCTATTTGCTCATTCACTTATTGTGTGGAGAGGAAGGGGTCATCAGGGCTTGGTTCTCAGCCCCCTTGGCAAGGCTACAGGTAAACATGGAGAGGGCCTTGGCCTTGCCCAGCTGTGCCCCCGCCCCAAGGCTGCTTTGATATCTACAGACACAGTCCAAAACCAATGTTCTCTCCAACCCAGCCTGGTCCAGCCAGCGTCATTTCGTTTGTGGCCCTGTGCTCAGTGAACCCTTCTCTGGCTCTGAGCTCAAATTGGACCCCTCTCCCCCTGTTGACTCGCTTATTTTGTCTTTTTCCCTACTGGGTGTGGAGCTGTCTATACCTCAGCCTGCCAAGCACAGCATAAACGTGTGCTGACAGCATGAGAGCCGCCCCCAGTCTTGATGGGGGCCCAGGACAGAAGCGCACATGGTGGGTGGTGCATGCACAGCACAGGATCACTGCAGCACGAGCTAGCTCCCTGCTCCGGGGGATGGAAAGTCCAGAGACCTTTCCTGAGACACCACCTCGAGAGGGCCCACTCAGCCCGGCCTCTACTCCCCACACAGGGGTGGCCTTGCCCGGCTGTGCACTACCTCAGGTCTGCTGGGACCTGCTAGGCCCTTGTTGCTGACCTCCTGTGCTTAACCAGGGACAGACGACTGGGGTGGGGGGGGAGGGATATTGTGGTCTGCTGCCACAGAGGGAAAGAGAGAAGAGGGGCAAGGCAGAGACCTCTCCCCTAGAAGGCCAAGCTGCCTGGAGTCCAGGAGACGACTCAGTGCTTGCGAGGATTCAGGGACCACCCTGATGACAGCTGGGGGATCACTCACACTGCCACGAGCGGGGCTTGCATCTCCAATCAGTTCCCATTCTTTATTTTTAAATCCGCAGCTGGCTAAAGACTCAGAAGCATAGCTGTCACAATCGTTTCATCTTGTCCCAGATGGGCTGTCACTTGGAGTCCAGGAAAAGGCTAATGAGGCTGGAGGATGGTCATGAAAAACATGAGGCAAGTTGGCATGTCCCCAGGGCTTCAGTGGGAGGGCCTGTGACAGCCTGGTGAGCTGAGTGGTGGCAGGTCATTTGCTTGGTCAATATGGCTCGCTAATGTTCCTATCAAAGCAAGAAACTTCAGTGTCTTAGTTTGAGCCCAGAGGGAGGCACAGGGGTGACCTGCCCATGCCTGGGGGTTCTCTGCATGCCCCTATTTGTGCCTGCTGGACATCTCTCCCCAAGGGCAAACATAGTTCTTAGGCCAGTTCTCAGGGCAGACCCCTGCCGGGGAGCACAGGTCCTTCTTTTCTGGACAGAAGAATAAAAGCCAAGCATCCTGACCATAGTGGACACTTGGGTTCGCATGACTAGCATTCACATCCCCTTCCCGGGCCTGGGAGATCCACCGGGCATTATGAAGATGAGCCCACCTCCGCTGTAGAAGGAGGAACTCTTGTCACCGCAGCACTAGTCACGATAGCCATGTTAGGGAAACAACATCGACAGACATCCCATCGACAGACAAGTGGATTAACACTACAGCGGGGGGAGGAGGGAGGAGGATCAAAACAAGGTGGGGTGGGAATTGTATGGGGACTATAACCAGATGAAAATGCATACATTGTGCAAAAATGAAAAAGGATGTAAAAATATATAAAATTAAAAAGAAGAAGAAAAAAAAAAGATGTGGAATATACACAGGATGAAATACCGCTGAACTCTAGCAAGAGATGAACTCTTGCCACTTGTGAAAACATGTAGACAACTGGAGGGGGTTATGATAAGTGAAATAAGCCAGGAGAAAGACAAATACCGGATGTTTTCTCTCATCGGTGGAATATGAAGAAACAAAACAAAGCAGACAAAACAAAACAAAGCCCACCCTTGGAATCTGACTACAGAGCTGAGGTTGTGGGGGTAGGAAGAAAAGGGGGAATGGAGCCCAAAGGACTATAGTGGAGGATTATGGGTATTTTGGTGGTGGGTGAGCTGTGGCAGCCTCTGCAGCGCGGGTTCGATTCCCGGCTGGCCAGGAAGAGTCCCACATGGCATGGCAGACCTCTCCTGTCTCGCCCGCTGCTCCCCTCAGCAGTGTTTTTGGTCGTCTGCCTGTTCTGCTCCCCGCTCTGTCTCTGGTGAAATCTCTCACCCTCCCGCGCCTCTGGCCTGTACCCCAGCTCTTGTATAAATAAATAAATCTTAAAAAACAAACACATAAACCAAGAAACATTCTTTAAAAAAATTTTTTTTAAAAAGTATATAACTTACTAGATAAATCACCATTTCACATCTAAAATAAAAAGAGGAGGAACCCTTAGATACTTGGCTTCCAAGCTCCCCCTCTGCCTTCCCCCTCAACAGTTGATGCAACACACCTGCCAGAGACTGAATTGACAGCTAGCAGCTGTGTGAAATCCACTCTTGTGACAGGTGGCAGCCTCTATATTTGGCTCCCAGAAGAGCAGAGGCAGTGGTCCTAGTGACAGTGGCCTGCGTTGGGGGCATCTGTGGTACATGTCTCAAGGTGTAAACCCAGGCACCCAGGGAGTGACCTGGGCCTGGTCCCTGGCCTAGGGCTACCACACCTAGTGATCGGAGGTATATTTCCTACTCAGTTGGAGTTGCTTTCTGTTATTTGCAAAGAAGGCTGACACTGTGGCAAAGGCTGACACCAAAGCCACAAATAGATTAAAGCCAGTGACTGGGAATTCTTGGCATCTCTACCCTGAGTTTCTGTGTGGAAAGGTCTTTCAGAAAGGGAGGCAAGAAGGTAGAAGCACTGCCCCGTGCCCAATTTAGATGCAGCGTGGTCCTATGGGGACACCAAAGCTATGCCCTTTGCTGGAGGCGGAAGCACCCAATGTCCACCCCTCTGGGACAGGGCCACTGTTGCAGAAGACTGAGGCTGGAGGTGTGGATGTCCTAGGGGGCCAGCACCAAGAACACTTACACAGGAGGCCAAAGACCGTGCCTCCTCACAGGCTGTTTTTCATTCCCCTCCACACCAGCCCCTATTTCTGAGGCCAAGTCAGGCCTGGCTCATGTAGGCCCACAATAAGTGCTTTCTGAGCAATTCATTTTTCAGAATCATTGACATATGGCCACAAGGCAGAGGGATGAATCACATGACTTAGGAGTTCATTGGTTCCAATTATTCCAGTCCTTCTAAGAAGGCATTTTTGCCAAAACTACACATATGTTCCTTAAAAAAACACACAGAGAGTTGTTTTCTGATGGAATTTTTCCCTTACCCAAACCATCCGTCAAATGCTCCCTACGTTAGACCCAAGAATAGACTGTCACCGTTTCAGGTCTTCTCATCCCTCAAGGAAGCCCCATGGTACCAAAGACATGGTTTTTCCTCAGTGGTTTTCTCCTGGGAAGGGGTGGGGGAAATCAGGGAAGGGAGGGACAAAGGGCAGTGGGCTCTAAAAGGGTGACATTGTGGCTTCACTTTCCCCTGTCAGAGCTGTCAGCGGCCAATTCTGGGAGAACAGACGGCATTCTGGGAACAGGCAGAGTGCACAGCCACACAGAACAGATGGCAGGGACTTCAAAAGCATAAGAGTCACCTTGAAAGATAATGGCACCAGAGTGGGGGTGGGAGGCTTTTGTACCCTTTGACAAGGAAGCAGAGAAGACAAAGGCTATTTGCCAGACGGCGCAAGCCAAGAGAACAGAAATGGAGCTGCTGTAATTGACATCAAGGGAGGCCGAGCCTCCTGGTTGCTTCTTGTCCAGAAATAAGTGGCATCAATCAACTAACAGTTTCTCTCCTCCTGATCTTCTGGTCTTTTTGACTTTTCTTTTTTTACACAGGGAGTCTTTACATCCTCTCTCCAGGCGGCTAATGCGCACCCATCCCACCTTCCCTGCGCCACATCCAGAAGAGCCACAGGCCCTCCAACTGCCCTCCTGACAGACATCTACCCCGGGAGACCCTGGCCTGACTGTGAGCATCTCCCCCGTGCCCCAGCCCCAGGCTACCATAGAACACAGCTGACTTCCTGTGATGGGGAAGCCTCTGGAGTGGAGTGGGGGGGGGGGGAGAACCTGTGACTCCCACGCTTCCTCCTGTGCCATCAGCCACCCTCTTGCACATTTTACAGATGGGAAAACTGAGGCACACAGAGGCTCACAGCTGCTAGTGTCAGTTCCAGCAAGGAAGGCCAATGTGACCCAGAGACAGAACCTTCCTCCTTGCTGCTGTGTTCATCTGGGCCAAGACCAGGCCCCATGGCTTCATTTATTTGTTCCTGGCTCCAAGACAGGACAGGCATTCACCCTCCACTCCCTGGGGCCCAGCAGAGGTCCAAGCTGGACATTCTGTCCGTGCAGACAGGAAAGAGCATTCTCTCCCCTGGCCTCTGGCGTGGAGGAGGAGCAGGCCCAGACCAGAGGCTCTAGGGGCTATGGGGCTTTTCCTCTAGCCTGGAAACCTGGCCCACCAGGCAGGATGGTGGCAGGACAGGGCCTCTACCGCCCGCCCCTGCATCCCCCAAAGCTTTTCCTCTTCTCTGTGTGGGCCTCAGCAGCTCGCAGAAGGGATCAAGCCTCAGAAACCTGTTCTCCTTCTTTGAAGCTGACAGCTTGACGCCAATGGAAGTGCGGCACTATTTCAGGGTTTCATTTGAAAGAGCCTTCAAAAGAGTGAATGGAAGGCTCAGCTGAATTGCTTATTATGGCTCTTATCCCGGCCAGCTTCTCGGCTGGTGAGCCCAAACACAGCATCTGTGGCTTTGCACGTCATCCACAGGCAGGTGATTGTGCTAAATTAGAGCCTGCCTCGTTTTGGAGGGCTGTAACTCTTGTAGAGTCTTCGCCCAAGAAGCAACCAGGACTTCTGTGGCTTGTACCTTTCTTACATTATCTGTGCTCAAAGTGATCCAACAGGGAGCCTATCAGGTGAATTCTCTGAGACTTGTTTATGTCATGTCTTAAGGACCCCCGAAATACTTATGGAAATGCTACTGCAAAACCTGGATGGCTGTGTGACCCCAGGATCCCTAGAGGCACATGGAAGCAAATAGGCTTTCCAGGGAAGAGGGGCACCAGCTGGAAGGCTCGGGGCACTGCAGGAGTGGCGGGCACGGTACCAGGCCATGCTATGTGCTGCGTGGGCAGGAGCTGTAGGCCAGGACACCCACACTGTTTTTGGTGCCTGCCCCCCCTTGTTGGGCTTCTAACCCACAAGCAAGGCCATCTTTTCACATCGGCCTTCCTTGGCCTATGGTCCTGGACTGTGGACCCATCTCCTTCACCTCTGCCTCCCCACAAATGACACAGAGAAAGTGTGCAAATAGTGTCAGCCAAGGAAGGAGGAAAGGATCTAGTCCCCTGGGGAGAAAGGTCTTAGCACTGACATTGATGAGAGAGGGAGGAGTGGGAAAGAAGGGCTTGGGGAAATGGGGGGACGCGGGAGTCACGGGGGCAGAAATGGAGGTTTCACTTCATGGAACGACTCTACACCTCGCTGGGACAGGACTGTGGTTCAGGTAGGGAAAAAAGGTGCCAAGTCCCACATGCTGTCTGTCCCAGCCCACAGAACACCGCACCTGCGTTCTCACTGTCTCCCAGGGCAAAGTGAAGTATTTGGTTTGGAGTGAAGAGGGACTTTTAGCAGAAAGCAGCAGGAACACAGGGCGCCCTGCTCCAGAAAAGCTGTCAGTACTGCATCTCGACTCTGAGGGGCTCCAGGTACCCAGACGTCCCCTCCAAGAAGCCAGAGCCTCGGCTTTTCCCACCTGCATGAACACTTCCCGGCAAAACTCCAGTGTCCCCTGGGCAGAGGGACCCCAAAATTTTAACCCATCACTGTCCACTAGCTGGAGCTCAGCATATGGTCCCCAGTGGCCCTCTGTGCTTCAAAGCCCATTATTCACAGAAACTGTCCCCCTATTGTCCACACCCCACCCCGGGTCAGATGATGCCTGAGAGAAACAGCACTCACCAGGACACTGGCCACAGACGGGGGAGGCCCTGTGTGGTTGGGATTTGCCCTTGCTCCTCTACCATCCAACCACAGCAGCCTTCCAGAAGGGCTGGGGGCCCTGGCTAGGCTCTATCACAAAAAGGGGAGCATTGCTGCTGTGTGAGCACACACTCATTTCCAAAGCATCTGGGGCCACAGACTCATCATGTGGCTCCCCCAGAGCCTGCCAGGGTGGTCACCCCATGTGGGGGTGGGGAGAGGGGCAGGCCGGGCAGCACAGACCTTCCAGAGGGACTCCCCTCCCTGTCCCAGTTGCACACACACTTGGTCCAGTCACAGGAATAGCTGGCTTCCCCTTTAATTTGTGTGTATGTGCAGGCACACTAGATTTCAGATGTGCGGTTGGTTTCTGAAACAGAAACTCCGAGTTTATGGGCAGTGAGGATGAAATCCTTGAAGACCATGAGCCAAAGTTAACTGGGAGCAATGTCCTAAATCTGGGTTAGAATTATGTCACTGGAAAATAGTTCTGCCAAGAAAGCAACAGGAGGCCAAGAAAGCAAGGTATGAGAAACCCCCAATTTCACAGAAAGATAAAGTTGTTCTATTTGGTAAACGGTTTGGTTCGCAGACAGACTGTATCCTGTGAAGATGTCCCCCTTGTCAAGGTCCACTCGTCTTACTGCTGCTGCTGCTGCTGCTGCTGGAAGGATGTTTCATCATTAAGATGTGTCACTAGCTCATCGAGCCTATTTTGGTTAACACTCTGCAAGAGCCAATTTAAGCTGGCTTCTCAGTTCACTCTCATGCGAAAGAGACCAATTTCCAATTCCTCCTCAGACTCCAGGAGACCAGATGCTGTGACAAATGTCCCAGCAACATGAACCCAGACAATGATCTGTGGTGCTCCTTGGGGGAGCAGAGGAAGTAGGGCTCTTTCTGTGGCACAGACATACACTGGCTTCAGGTTACTGGTGGCCATCTCCTCCCTGCCAGTGCTTCTGATGGTACATGCTTCAGTGACAGCACAGGGGGTCTCGGGGAACAGAAGGAAGTTCCTAGCAGGGCTAGAGGACCAGAGTGCTGAGGACCTATTGCATCTGGCAGCCTGAATTCGGCAGTAATTCCTGCAAATGAGAAGCCACTGCCTTTGTCAGATAGGTCATTGTCCCATAAGCCCCGCTCGGGGCACTGTCATAAAAGAAGTGGCAAATGCCCGTGGCCTGGTCTTTCTCCAGGGTGTCCATGGCTCCCATCGACATCTGCAGAGGAAAAGTTATAGGCAAAGAATGAGCTAATTCACTCTCTCGGAGCTCTGGTGACTCTGTGGGCTGGAAGGTGGTCACTGGGTGAGGGCAGGGTAGCTAGAGGAGGCTGGAGGCGTGCAGAGAAGAGCTCCATGCCTGACTCCAGGCAGGACCATTGGCCTGTGCTCCAGGCACCACACTGCGTTCCCATACACCCTTGTTGGCAGCCCATTACTGACCCTACAATGAGAGGACGGCTTCTGCTAACTTGACTTTGGTTGCAGACTAAGGGCCTTGCACATAGTGAGGGTGGCATTTGCTCTAAGACCTACATTAAAATAAGCCTGTCCCTCTCCAAAGGTCCTTACATTTCCCCAGAGGCCACTGTGCCATTTTCTAACCAAATGGTTGACATTTTTTTTTTACCATTTGTGACAACATTTTCTTTGTTTGAGAGTATCCTTCCCTGTTGGACACAGAATCTCCAGCCTTGAGAGATAAATGCCAGCCAACTTGGCTACCCTGCCTCTGTCCCCACTTCAGCCATGAAGTGGCTGGGTGGCCTGGACATACCCACCTGGTCCTGCAGGAACAGCTGGTTGGCCGTCTGCACGATCTGGTCCACGTGGATGATGCCCCCGATGCTGTTCATCTCCGTGTCCGAGAGCAGCGTCAGCACCATGATGGCCTCCACCAGCAGCTGCCGGTACTCTGGCTGGGGCACACGGTTCAGCACCGACTCCACATGGACAGCGAACTTGATCTCCTGCGGGGTCATCTGCCAAAGAGACCAGGAGTGAGCTGGGGACAGACACAGCTCTGTCACCAATGCTGACCACAGTACCCACTGGGTTTGGGGCTTGGCTCAGATGGTGCCTCCTTTCTGATACTGCCAGCAGGAATCCTCTGGAGCAAGAGGTCAAGAACTCTGCTCTGGGTGTCGACTTTGTCCCAGCTACCCCACTGAGTTGTGAGTTCAAGGGGGCAGGGGGCATTTCTTTTTTCTCTTTTTTCCTTATGGCATATACTATGGTGCCCTAGGGAGGGAAAAAACTAAAAAATCAATGTTTAAGAGTGAGTGGCGAAAAACCCCAGGAAGATGTGTATTCTTGGTGGAGGTGGCAGGGGGGGCTCCTGAGGAGGCAAGCAGCTTTCCTCTTTTCTTTTCATAGGGTCTCAAGGAGCAAATCTAAAAATCTTGAGAGCAGAAATGCTGCTTCTGAGGGGAAGGGAAGAGAAAAGGTGATGTTAATTGAATGTGAAAAAGAAGCGTTACAAAAAGTTGGTTAAATGGCTAAAATGATCGGACCTACAAATGCCCTGTTGTTGGTGTCCAACAGGCTGGACAGAGCGTTGGTGGTCAGAGAGGGTGAAATAAACAGAGTGGAAACCCACATTAGGCAGGCTTTTGGGTTCTTCCCACCATACCTCTCGTGTTGCCGAAGAAGGAAGCACATAACCATCGATGGACAGACCGTGGCACTGGAGGCAGAACACACATCACATTTCAGGCAGGGTCCAGAAAGTGATTAATAAGCATGCACTTGCACGCACACACATGCACACATGCGCACATGCACTCCAGCCGCTCTGCCCTGGAAACCTGCACGCACGAGGGCTGGAACACGCCAGACTGTCAGAATTATTTTTAGAAAGCTTGTTCTCACTGCCCACAGGCTGTGTTTTCGATGGAACAATTCTGGGGAACCAGCAGGCATCTTTCAGATCTCCCAGGAACAATGCCCCAGGGAGCTGGCCCGCCCTCCTGTGAGGAAGCTCCGCATTTCACTTGGCAACCCAGCCAGGCGGGCAGCTGAGAGGCCCCCTTTGGTGCCACAGAAAAAGATTTTCATGACTCCTGCTAGCGGAGCGATACTTCTGTGCCTTTGCAGGCATCTATTTCGGAGATTTCTATAATAAGCACCAATCACAAAAGATTTGAGCACATGCACAGACACGCGCGCGCACACACAGCCCGTGTATATAAATACCAAGCGCCGGCTCCACACAAAGTGCTGCTTTTTCATAATAAAAGTGTCCTGGTATGGAGCCAGTGCAAGTCGGGATATGAGCATGTGAAGCCTCAGGAAGAGTGGGCAGATTTTCGAGGAACACTTGGTTCTAGTCTAAGTGGCTGCCTTCTGCATCCCGGTGCCCCGGCTGGCAGCGCTGCCCACCCACCCTACAGGGTAGAGAACAAAGCTGCGGCAAATTGACCAGCAGCAGAGTATGGAGGAGAGCCAGGCCCTGGCGGCTCTGAGGGCTCTGCTCCCTCATGGGGACCAGGATACCAGCTGCTGGGGGACAGGAATGGCTCTGCCTTCCCATGCCCAGCTGAGAACACCTGGGTCCCCACACAGCAGAGGCTAAGGGCTCAGGAGTGAGCTGGGTGGGGCGGTAGCTCTGGGAAGGGGGCTGGAGTGTATGAGCTAGCTTGGGATTGCTTTTCTCTCCTCTCTTACTGTGAAATGAGCTAGCACAAATAGCTTAGGAAAAAATTGCTCCTGCTCATGGTTCTTGCTTTGCACAGAAGCTTATTTTAACAGATGCCCCTGTGAGCTCTGGCAGGACCCAGAGAGCAGCGCACACAGTCTGGGGCCGAGGCAGGAAGGAGAGAGAAGGCGGGTGCGGGAAGCAAAGGACACAGCTGCCTCCACTGCCCCCTGCTTGCCAACAGGCGTGTGTGTGCGCTGCTGGCGACGGATGTCACCTGCCTTCTGCTCACAATGGCCTCTGCTGACAGCCCCAGGCAGCTGGGAAAAGGCTCCTGCTGCAGGTGTGTGTTGGGGTGGGGGGCGGCGGCAGTGGGGGGGTGACAGGGGCGCCAAGGGTCCTCCCAAGGCTAGGCACGTGGAGAGTGTGTCTTCAGAGCACAGGGACCTGGGGGCAGACTGGAAGCATTCCCATTTCTTTTTTCCCTTAGGGCCTAACATGGTGCCCCGCAGAGCCCGAGGTACTCGCCCCCGAAGGACTGGCTGCACAGGAGGCTGAGGCAGCAGCTGTGTCAGGCTTCCAGCATTAGTGTTTTCGTCCAGAGCCTCCCTGCTCTCTCCAGTTTCAGTCTCAGTTCTGACTTTCCTTCACCTATGGAAGGTATGTTTCCAGCGGTGGCTCCCAACCAGGCAATTTGCCTTCCAGGGAACACTTGGCAATGTCTGGAGGAATTTTGGATTGTGAAACTTGTGGGTGGGGGGTGGGGGAGTATGCTACTGGAATGTAGTGAGTGGTGGCCAGGGACGCTGCTTCGCCTCTTCCAGGGCACAGAATAGCCCCCACAGGAAAAAATTATCTGGCCCCAAATGTCAGTGGCGCCAAGTGAGAAACCCTGCTTTAGGCTGTGAACTAGCCCAGGTCAGAGGCCGCGTGAAGGCTTGCTCTATAGGTGCCACCAGTTCTCACCAAGGGATTAAGGGGGGACGGTCCATCTCCTGGGAGCCCCCAGCACCAAGGCGTGTGGAACACAACACAGCAGCCAAGCTCACCTTCTGAAGAATCTTCCACACCTTCTGGTAGAACCCAACGGGGACCCTGTTGATGGCCCCATCCAGCCTTCTCCTGCGAAGCCACTGGCCCTGCCGCTCCCCCCAGCCAATGTGATGGCCACCTGAGTCTGTCGATGATGTGCCAGTGGGTGAGGATGGAGTGCTGGACCTCTGCAAGACAGACAGCATGTGTCCTTAGGAAGTGTCAGCCAGCGCCCCCCAGCGGTGTTGGCCATGGGTGGGGGGCGAGCTCAGTGAGCCAGTCAGCCCACCAGGTCACTACTTGCACAGAGAGGAACATGGTTCCTGGACTCCACATTGGCCCTTTCCTTCAGCCTGGCTGGATTAACTCTTTCTTGCACTGGTTTAGTTACTGAACTTATGTATACACCTCCCAGACCCCTAGAGGCAGTGTGGCATCAAGGGACCTGGGCTAGCTGGGGCCCAGCACGTGTGGCCATGGGTCCAACCCAACACTGTACTGCCTCAGTCCCTAACACAGACGCTGGCTCCGGCCTCAGCCTCATCTGTATAGTGGGGACACAGTCAGACCCCCTTTATGGCTCTTGGTAAGTGCTCATGGTGTCAGTGTCACCGCAGAGGACACGCCTGGTCCACCACCTGGCATGGCTGCAGCGGGGCCTGAAAGGACATAGGGCCGCAGCCAAGTGCGCCCACCTCCCCATCCCGTGGGCACCACAGGGAATGCAACACATAGCACAGGGGACGGGTCTGGAGCCAAAGACTAAAAGAAAAAGCTGAAATCCACATTTAGAAGCGGGGACCTCAGAGATGACAGCATTCCAACCTTCCTTTTCAGTTCACTTCTGGTTTGCCTGATCTCAGCACAGGGTTTTATCCTAATTTGGGGTGATGGCTGCCTCCGTGCTGGAACACATGCTCTGCTGAAGCAGAGGGAGAGGCGTCATCTCCTTCCCACCTCCTCTCCGAGGCTGGATTTATTCTGGCCTCCACGAAAGAAGAGCTGGGGCATGGCCAGCACTTCTGCTTCTGGCCTCGGAGGCGCAGCCCGCCTCCGACCACACAAGCATCTCTGAGAGGCTCCCAGTGGGGGCCTGGAGATCAAGTCCTATTATGGGGCTCATTCAGTGTGGGGGGAGGCCACGCAGCATGCCCCCCTACCCCCCAATCTCTGGGTTGGCCACAGCGAAGCTCATGGCCCACTTTCTTCTCTGGGATGGATTCTAACCCCTCTGCTTCCAGGTAGGGGAAGGGCTGACCTTCCTCCTTCCACGGCTCTTTGTTCTGGACAGTCTGGTCCTCTGTTCTCAATGCTGGCATCACATTTAAAGACTTAAAAATGAAATGGGAATGTCAGGCACACTAAAAGGAGGCAGGAGTCTTCTCTGCACTCATTTTGACTCCATCACATCTTATTTTGAAAAGGCTGTTAGGCTGGGTTATTCCATTGGGCTCATTACTGCCATTTAAATACAGCAGCAATTAGACACAAATAAAAGTAATTACAGCCGCACTCATCAATGACTCAGCTGGTTTTCGCCAAGTTTCGGGAGGAAGATTCAGACTCGCCTCTGCAATTAGAACATTTCCTAGCCCTCCACTTGATCTGGAGCCCCAAGCCAAGCAGGGGTGTTGCGGGTGCAAAGTTCGACTCAGCACGTGCATAGAAATCCAGGGAGCCAATGCCTCAAAGATTCCAGAAGCTCCTGGGAACAGGCAAGGCGGGTTCTCCTCACTGTACCCTCAGAGGTGCACCAGCAGCCAAGGCTCAGCTCAAAAACTGGGCTTCTCTCTGGACTCTCTTCATGATGACAGTGAAATCAAATACTTAGACCTGTTCAAATCTTGGGGCGTTAAGGACAGGTGGGAGCAGGCGCAGGGCAGGAGAACTCAGACACCACAGGGGCCAGTGAGGAAGCCCATGGCTTACCGCGGACTTGGAGGAGTACATGCTGCTGGCCGCGGCTGGGCTCACAGGGAAGAACTACAAAACAAAGAGTCCACTCAGTCCGTGTGGTGACACGGGGCCCGGGCAGAGAGCAGGAACGGGGAACAGTGCCCAAAACTCCCACGGAAAGGGGGTGTAGAGGAGGTGCGCAGGCAGGCACCCAGGAGAGCAGCTGGGGTCACAGCTGGGGCTCCACCAAAGGAGAATTTGAGAAATGTTCTTTCTCTGAGTATAAAATGTTACCAAATTCCAGTATGATGTGGAAGGTACTTCATCAAATTAAGACACAGCTTATTTTGCAGTCACAGCCATGAAAGGCAAATTTTGTGAAAATCTACAGAGATCAACAAAATACCCATAACTAGCATTCAGCATCTGGCACCTGTTGGCATTCAACAGTATTTGTTTAATGATGACCTCTGACCAAACAATTATTTCCTCATCTAAAAATCTAGAATGTACCCTTAACTTGCAAGGGGATCGAGAGTGCCTGAACAGCACCAGCACCCACCACTTTGCAAAAGTGAATCGAAATTTTAAATGTTGTGGCATCTATTAAATTTTGACAGAAAACAATCTATTTCCTTGATGTAAGTGACCAAATAAAAAACTTATACTGGCTAATAGGATTGAAACACCATCAAAGAAGAAAGGTGTGATTGTTTCCTCCCCCTAATATGCAAGGACAGCATTAGATGGAGGGGGAGAAAGTCACCCCTATTCCCTCTAGTGGTCAGCCATTGGCCTGTGGGTAACTAGAGGGACGGTGCCACCGAGTGGCTGGCAAAGGAAGATGTCTGGAAACGCACCTCTTGACTTGGAAAAAGCATCAAGTAGAGAGTCCATGTTTTGTCCCGGGACAGCATATGGCACATGCATTTACATGTCATTTGCATGAGATTCTGTGTTTCCCCTATGCTCTCTGCCATGGAAACGTTAGTCACTCCCTCCAATTTTCTGGAGGGAGGGAGTGGAAGAAGTTTGTCATTAAGGGGGTGTAAAAGAATGGTATTCCACATTATTTGCCTTGCAGGGTTGAATCCCCCCAGGTGATCTGGGGGCCAAGGATAGTCTTTCTCTGGCTATCCCAGCATACCTTGTTTTATTGTGCTTTGCAATTGTGTTTTTTACAAGACCTGCCATCAACAAAAAGATTGAGTCACAGAAGGCTCACATGATGGTTAGTATTTCTTAGCTATAATGTATTTTTAAGTTAAGGAATGTATGTATATTTTTTAGACCCAATGTTATGACACACTTCCTGGAGTACAGTGCAGTGTAAACATAACTCTTACATGCACTGGGAATCCAAAAACACTTGTGTGACAGGACTTATTGCAATATTCACTTTATTGCAGTGGTCTGGAACCAAACCCACTCCATCTGAGGTGTGACTAGAATCAATGACTACATTTTGCTTTTCCCTATTATTCCCCCACCCTACCTTTTTTTTTTTTTTTTTTTTTTTTTAACAGAAACTCCTGCTGGGGAGAGCCCAGAACCATCTCTTTCTCTGCAAAATCTAAGTGTTTAATAAGATTTGGATAAATGGTTTTTTTTTTAAGGCAGGAGGCAAGGTCATTTCCTTCCAGCTCTCTGCCTGCGCCCAAGGCTACTTGCCACAACTATGGCGTCACCTCCACCCAAGCCTGCTCCATGTCCACTCGCCCAGACTCTGCACTCAGAGCCTCGTTTTTCACATTCAAGCCAGAAAGAACACGAAGCACACACAGTAAAGGATGACACAGACAAAGACATCTTACCTGTTCATCAGCACTAAATCGCCTGGTCATCTGAAAGCAAAAATACATCAGGAAATAAAAACCAGCTTTGAATGAAGAATGCCCCAGTACTTCTTTTACCACCTCCCCACCCCCCAGATAAGACAGAAAGTGCTGGTCCCCTGCAGGCTGTGTCCCATGAGTGCCTCATGGACCCAATCCAGTGAGTCGTCATTTGAGATGGAGATGAAAATCTAAGTGCATTTCTCACTGCAAGTCTTGGGCAGTAGAAAACTCTTTCCTGCTGTAGATCATAGTCAAGTCCTAGTATGTACCTGGCACATGAGGACTGAAAAGCTATTGACTGGCAGTGCTGTAGGGTCAGGTCAAAAGGAATTTATTGTGAAAATAAAGTTGAACAAAGACAAGGACACCTGTGGATGGTGGAGATTTCGGGGACCACTAGCACTCTGTTCGATTTCTAGATTCCTGATTTCATTTGAAGGACACATTTGATGGAAAAGCTATTTGGTTGCTCTATAGTGGGATTCTGCCATTTAAATGGCTGTGGCCCACTTGAAGGGGCAGTTTTTGCAATGGAAGAAAACGTGGGGAAGGGTGTATTCTGGAATGTTCACATTATGTGTTAAGGTTAAGGACGAGCATGTGCGGGTACACATGAGTGGTTTTGGGATGTCATTCTGCAGGGGTGTGTTCAGACTGCAGGCCAGAAGGGAACTCAGGTCCTCTACAAAGGGGCCGCACTTTACCTACCCTTGGTTTCTCTCACTTTCTGAAGTGAATTCATACAGGAAAATCACTTGCTCTCCCACACCACTGCCACAGAGCTCTTCTTACCTGCTTCATCTCACTCCTTAGTCTGTTAATGCCACTCCTCTCGGTTTTGGTGACTCCAGTATGTCCCACCTCATGGATGGAGATGGCAGGGCTGGAGGTGGAGGAATGTATAGGCCGCACTGGGGAAACGCACACACACAGTTCTTAGAAACCAGATCACATCCAGCTCGGGGGAAGAAAGTCTGCATCACCCCCACTCAATTGTCAGTTTCCTGAGGCCCCATCATCCCTGGCTGTGCTGTTCCCAGCACCCTAATGGGACCTGCTACGCAGCCTGCCCCGCGCTTCTCGAATGAACAGATGAAAGGGTGACCGTCACTTGAACAGCCTGCAGAAAATGCTGAGCGGCCATAAGACCCTTTAATGAATTGGATATTTGTGGGTTTTTTTTTTTTAAATAATTTTTTACTTCTTCAAAAGCACACCTTCCGTGTAGAAAACTGAGATCACCCCAGTAAGAAAACCGCAAGTAACATTTTAATGGTCACCCTCCCAGGGTGTTTTTATGATGGCATGTATGTTTTAATGTATATAACAGAATTGTGGTATGTGTGTGTACACATATAAAACATAAGATATATATATATATATATATATCTATATAAACATAGAGTTCTGTAATCTGCCTTTCTTTTAAGCTTGCTAGATAGTGAATGTCTTTCCATGGCATTAAATATTCTGTTGCATTACATTTAATGGTGTTGGAGTTTATGAGCAGTTAATAATATAACCAATCCTCTTTCTATTTTTCTAAAGGGATTATCACGACTAATGTATTGAACTCACAATGGACCTTCCCAGCCCTGTGCAACCTGTGGCTCATCCAGGGCACATGGCCAGGCCATTGCTCACTCACCGAGGGGGCTTGTAGTCCACGGCTCATGGCCACTGGCCAGGCAACCCAGGAGGGCCTCCCAATGGCACAGGTACAAATTCTAGGCACATGTTCTCAAAGAGATGTGGGGTGAAATGAAATGGAGGCTGAAGACAGCCAGCAGCAGCGTGGGGCTGAGGCTGGTGGGAGGGCATGGGGGCTGCAGAGAGATGTGCTGGGGGACAAGCCGAGCAAGGGCTGGAAGCGGAGGAGACATGGCGGCCTGCAGGTCAGTGCGCCTCCACCATCGTAGGAGGGGCAGGGAGGCCTCCATCACCTTACTTCCCGCCAGCTACAGCTGCCTCCCACCTGTCTCCAGCCCTGCCCCTGACAAACCAGTTCTCCCTGAGAGGTCACAGGGTCATTCCAAAAGGCAGTGTGAGAGTGTCACTGCCCGCCTGGAATCCTCCCTGGCCTACCCAGGACAGCCACTCCTCCCAGAAGCACACAAGGTCCCATCCCCACGTTCAGCTCTGCACTTGGGCTGTGGCTCCGGGCCTCGGGTGCTCCCTCCCATCCCACTGCTCCCTCTACCTTCGGACACACCCTGGTGTCTGAAGGCCCGGCTCACAGGTCACTTCATTAGGCAGTGTGCCCACACCCCACCTGCCCACCCAGCTCACCACAGGATCCAGGGAGTGGAGTCAAATAAGGAACCCGGGGACACCACCATTTAAAGGACGGCAGAGAGGGAGGAGGGACACCAGAAAGTGGGAAGGAGAAGCTAGTGGTCTAGCAAGCGCACTAGCCGCAAATAGTAATCTCAGACATTTTAGGATTTAATAAAAATGTTAAGACTATTTGAATTTCCTGATTTAGAAACATTGAACAAGGGACAATTAACAAATGATGTCATATTTGAAAAGCAGGACCTCTTCTGACCTTGCTCCCGATTAGACACACTTAGGAATTTGAAGGGACATTACTCTCTTCCTAGTTTCACAAGCACCTACAGTTTTACACCGAATAAATTTTTAGTTATCGACTGATTGAAGACATGTGCTATTTTGATGAGCAGAACACATTAAGTGTTGATCTTGCATATTTACATTTCAATGCTTGCGCATTTGAAAGAACTGAAAGTATTTCAGAAGAGAAGCTGGGGCACCCCTCCTTCAGGAAAGGAGAAGAGCCCCCAAATTCAGCTGACTGCACGATGCCGGCTGGCACACACCCTGGGGAAAAAATACCAAGTACCCAATGTCCTTCTTATTAAATAAAAAGAATGACAGCCCATGCTGCATTTCTTTGGCTTGATGAAATAAATTCACAAATGTGCCTGCAAATCACTTAGGTTTTTTTATGAGGAGGAGAAATGGTAATTGCTTCAATTATAATTAGGGAGCATTTGAGAGCAGAACTCCGCCAGGACTCGGGCAATTATTTTTCCTGGCACTGCTAACAGGGTTCTGGTACAGATAAAAACTGAGTGAGCAAGATGGGGTCAAAGCAAACTCACTCAGCAAGAAGGTGCCAAGAGGTTGGAGAGGCCCCTTACCCCAGTGCCACGGAGTGTGCGGAGGGTCTGGCTGAGAATCTCTCTACCCAAACCAAAGGTGGGGCTCTGGGTGCTCTGGAAAGACAGCCCTTTCATTCTGACTCCCCAGGCCTCCTCACCCCTCCTAACACCTGCGCACCAGTGACTACAGCAAGGAGGACGGAGCAGACAGGCCCAGGCGCCCAGGGGTGTGCATTAACACCCATGTGATTGCACCATGCAGAAGAAATGCTCCCCCGGCGACCCTAGGGGGTCACAAAGCCCCGCAGGTCAGAAGCTGATCTATGACTGTCCATAGGACACCCACATATTATGTCCTGAATCCTGACCACTAGTGCCAACTTGTACATAAATGAAGCGGCTCCAGGCGACGAGGGACAGTCTGGCCGGCTGGCTCTGGTGCCCTCCCCACAGAGGCAAATGGGCGTTTACTTACTGCTTCTTTCAACACCAAATTCTTTTCCACTTAGAATATGGTGCAAGAGATTTTTCATGTCAAACGGGCTGAGGTTCATCAAACTTTCAGAAGCTTCTTCTCCTAAAAACAAACATCTTGTAAGTGTCTCAGAGGCGGGGCTGGCAAAGATGTGGAGAAAAAGGAACCCTCTTACATGGCTGGTGGGAATGCAAACTGGCCCAACCACTATGGAAAGCTGCGTGAAGGACCCTCAAATTACTGAAAATGGAGCTACCATATGACCCAGCAATTCTACTCCTAGGAATCTACCCAAGGGACACAAAAACACTAATTTGAAAGGAAACCTGCACCCCTATGTTTACTGCAGCACTATTTACAATAGGTAAGCTATGGAAATGACCTAATGCCCCAAACCAGATGACTAGATCAAGAAGAAATGGTATATATGCACGATGGAATAATATTCAGCAATCAAAAAAGATAAATTTATGCCATTTGCAGCAACATGATGGAGCTAGAAGGGATTATGCTCAGTGAAATAAGTCAGAATGAAAAAGAAAAATATCATATGGTTTCACTCATAGGAGAAATATAGGAAAACTGAACAAAAAGTCAGGAAAAAAAAAAAAGACAAAACTAGCAGGCAAACTATATATGACACAACAGCAGGGGAGGGAGGGGGACTAGACAGGGGAGGGGAGAGGACAAGGGACTTCAGTGATGTCCACGGGTGAAGTGGTAATCGGAGATTTATGGGGATTACACCTCAGAGGAAAAATCAAATATTGGACAAAAATGAACAATGATGTAAGAAAATAAATTGGCAGGCTTCTTTCCAGTGGAGGTGTTAAGTGGGGATGACATCTCACAGCAAGGAGATGCAGGGAGGAACTTAGATGTCAGCAGCAGGGCAGATTCTAGTGCCTCATTCTCCTGGACGTGAAATTCAACACCCTATGCTGGGTGACTTGGCAGAAGGTACATCTATAGGAGAGAACCTAGGGCCTCCCTGGTGGTGCAAGGGGTTAAACACTACACTATGAAGCAATTCGCAGCCTCTGCAGCACGAGTTCGATCCCTGGCCGACCATGGAGCAACCCACATGGCGCAGCAGACCTCTCCTGACTCGCCCACTGCTCCCCTCAGCAGTGTACTTCGGTGGATCTTCCTGTTCTGTTCCCTACTCTGTCTCTGGTGAATCCTCTCACACACACACCCCCCCACCCTGCACCTCTGGCCTGTATCCCAGCTCTGGTATGCATAAATAAATAAATCTTTAAAAAAAAAAAACAAAGGAGAGAACCTAGTAAAGCAGGAGCTGTGGGCAAGGATCAGAAGCTCTGCTTCCGGAACACTTGGGCAGGGCTCTGTGCCGGCCAGGAGGGTGCTGGAGTGAACTCGCACCTGAACAGTTCAGGCTCCGTGCCAGTTCCGTGGCCATCACCTGAATGATCAGCCCGATCCGGAGTCTAAGCATCTCCACGAAGAGCCTGGGCTGGGCCCTGACGTACATGGCCAGGTAAACCACGATCTCCTGATGCAGACACGAGAGAGTGTTTCAGAGAGCCAGCAGAAGGAGCGCTGGGAAGGTGCACCCCGCCCCTCCCCACCAGCTGACCTGGGTGAGGACAGCGATGCTGATGTCCTGCCCACTGGCTTCGTAGATGAGTTTCGTGAGCTCCTCTGGGGGAAGGGGCCTGGGAAGGAGCACGACAGAGGCCTAGGAGCGGTGGCTCTGCCCTCTGGGAAGAGCCCTATTTCCTGTCTAGAAGCTCCTGAGGAACAGTGTCTTTAGAAAGACCTCTTCCTGGATGGTAGAAGGCACTGGTGTTCTCCCCGTGGTCCCCAACAAACCTGAGGCCCCAGGTCCAAGACTTACGCGGAAATGGTCTTCTCCCGGGGCTCGGGGGGCAGGCCCACAGTGAGCTGCTTCTGGTGGGACAGCAGGTCGGTGCAGGCCTGCCGTTAGGGAAAGGGGTGGGGGTAGAGATGTGGGGAGAGATTAGTAAAGCCAATAGGGGGCGCTCACAGCCAAGATCATGAATCTACCTTTACAAGCTTTATGGCCCATATTGCTATTTACGTTAAAGATCTGTATGTAGACGGCAGGCAGGGTTGGGCCTTGGGGTCTCTGTGTTCACAATATGTGGCCTCAGGCCTAGCTCTGCAGGCTGGCCGGCAGGTATTTAATGCCCATCCATAGTGAACACACTGGATCCCTAGTGGGCCACGAGGGGAATGGGTGGGCCACGAGGGGAATGGGCTGTGGCGAGGCCTAAGACAGCGAGGTAAAGGGCTAATGCCCATAGCAGAGACCTAGGCTGTCGGTTACCCCATTATTCTCATCTAATCAAGGTCATTTCACCATATCACTGAACTTTCACGGCTTAGACAGCAGTTCTAGATTTTGCAGATGGATTAAAATGTTAATGACGGGTTAAAAATGTCAATGATAATTGTACAATATACAATCACAAGTGACACACCGTAGTGATCATAGAAGCAGTGGGGGCCACCCTGGATGTGCAGAAATAAGGGCTCTGTTTGAGAGGGTGCCAGGCCACAGAGCATTTTCACTGCGTTTCTTGGTAAGCTTTCTTCTGCAGCTAAGAAGGAAAAGAACTAATCAACTTGAATTTGATTTCCTCTGCTCACCTTCCAAAGAGCAGCACAAGGTCAGGAAAGGCGGGCCTACCTCGTCTAGATAGTAAACAGCTGGTTTCCTTTGCAAATAAGAGGCGCTTGCCTCCAGCTTTTGTCACAGGAGGAGGGCACGGGGCCAGAAAGGATAAGCAGACAGCCCAAGCAGTCCTCTCACCTCAGCCAGGACCTCCACCTTCTTCCTGAGCAGGCCTGAGATGTAGCGAATCAAACCCCACTCCTGATGCAGGCCTGCTTTCCCATAGAGCTCGCTGAGTAGGTTGTGAACGGTGACCCCGTGCTGTCCGGAGAGATTCGTGTCCCAGCTGGGACCCCTGTCAAGAGAGAAAGCCCCAGAAGCATGGCCCGGAACGTGGAAAGCCTGGTCTATTGCAGTGGAGCTCACTTGGCAAGGAGAGGGGTGAATCACTGCAAGTTCTGCCAAGTGTTAGGGGCCCTCCCAGTGCCCTGAGTGTCAGCGAGAGGGCTAGGTCTCACCAAAGCAGCCCTCTGCCAACTTGAAACAGAAGCCTGACATCAGGCAACTGGAGATCCTGCCTCCCCGGCCTTCTTGTCCAGCATTAATAGGCAGAGAAGGGGATGGAAGTCTAATTCATGGTGATCCTGGGTAACGTGGGTGACTATGACCAGGGCCCAGGGTTTCAGGAAGGACAAAGAGATAAGGAATAGGGAGAAAGCGCAAGCAAGTGAAGACCACAGACTTACTTTATTACATACAGAATGTACAAAATATCTGCTTGGTCCTGTAGATTCGAACAATCTTTAAGCTGCTCGACCAGCTTCTCACAGTCCAAGTCCCCGTGGTCGTCTCTGGGCCACTGGAGGTCATCTCCTGGAGCCTGGCCCTACAAAAGCCAAAAAGCAGGGGAGAGGGGATGAGTGTGTGAACTTGCAGATCAGCGAGTGATCAACGTGGTTTTGAACTCTGTGGTTGGGCTGTGGTGCAGGTTTTCAGTGAATCTTTTATAGCTTTTTTATTTCTATGCTTTATTATTTTTGATCAGGGAATTGATGGTCAATATTTGCAAGAGACTGGATTGAAGTGATTAAACTATGTGTAAGTTTTATTTATGCACAGATCAAAAACAGGGTACCACCCCCCCAACCCCCGTGAGAGATCACATTACTAGTTGCCTTTGGAGTGGAGGGGGAGGAGTTTGCACAAAGGGTGGTCAGTCATTTGCACAGGTCTGTTGGCTGGACTCTATACTTACACCTGATATGCTTTAAATATGTTGTATTTCAATGTAGGTGCTATATTTCTATGAAATATTTTTTAAAAAGATTATTTATGCATACAAGAACTAGGTTACAGGCCAGAGGTTTGGGGGGTGAGAGGATTCACCAGAGACAGAGTGGGGAACAGAACAGGCGGACTGACAGAAACACACTGCTGAAGGGAGCAGCAGGCAAGCCAGGAGAGGTCTGCTGCGCCATGTGGGCAGCTCCTCTGCCAGGGACCGAATTCACGCTGCAGTGGCTGCGGATGACGCCACAGGTTGTGTCCCAACCCTTTGCGCCACCAGGGAAGCCCGTGAAATGATTTTTAAAGCAAAACAAAAAGCATATGAATTTTAAATAACCTAAAATTAAGGTTAGTTGCAACATTCTCGGACACAGAATCTTTCTATTCATGTGGGATAAAATCAGAGGAGACTTCTGAATGAAATAACAAATTATAGGAACCAGTTGGGAACACCCTGAGGTTTTATATGGCTAAGGAATCTTTTGCTGGTTTTGTACACTGCTCTGCAAGCAGCCCCCCCACCCCAACTCTCCACTGGCTGACTAGCACAAACAGGACAGGTCTAGGTACTGGGATACTTTATACCCTCTAGTGCGATGCAGGTCCTGACGGGAGACCAGAAAGACAGTAGCCTTTCCCTACACGCAAAATATAAAGTTTTGCATCAAATCATTGTGGACATTGAAGATACTAAATGAGCAGGTTCATGTCAAAACCCAGAACTGCTGATTCTAGAAGTCCTGGGTATCGACAAGTTTGCTCTTTCTTATGAGTTGAGCCATGTAAGAGTTCTTGGGACTACACCAGCATCACAGCACATCATACTTTAAAAAAAAGTGATTCTAAATACTTTACCTTTTTTAGGAGTGGCTGAGGAGAATCAACAAGATTCAGCGATTTGCGGTGGGCACTTAGAACTTTGGTTGGCAAAGTCATGGGAACAACTGAGAAAAAGAAAAGGTTCTTTTGAGGAAGAGGAAGGATAAGATACTTCTTTTGAAAGGTACAGAAGCGACTTCTTATTTAACACAAATCAAGCGAAGGGACAATAACTTATTTAGCTTTATTTCAACAGGAATTTATTATGTAGCCACATCATATGCTAAAGCTGGGAACAAGAAATGAACAGTACATGCATCTTGATTTAAGGAGATGAATTTTACTTTTTCCTCCTGGAATTCAGGGAAATTTACATATCATCCTAGGATTGGAAGGAGCCTTAGAAATGACTGAGTCTAACCTTTTTTCTTTCAGATAAGGAAACTGAGAACCAGAGAAAGTAGACCCTTTGTCCAAGGTCACTGGCCTTCTCATAATTAAGGAGCCCTGGTTTCCTGTTCAGAATGCCTTTACTCTGCACTGCTGAGTGTTAGGGCTTCCGTTTTTTAACCACCATTGGTTATCATTATCCATATTTATTCATTAAGCCATAGCATGCTATAATGCTCAGTTGGGAATCATATTTGCATACATATAATAATATAAAGAGTGAATATCAATTTAACTAAACTCTAATCAAACTACTTTTGTAGACTAGGGAAAGCAAACCAGAGGAAAAGTGATTTAAAATTATTAAATCCTCACCCACACCAGAGAAAGTCAACAGATAGTGAATAAAGTAGATACATCAAAAGACAGTGGTATAGCTGCATTGTTTTAGAAAGAGGGAGCTATGTAAATGCTAGAGTTGATGTGGTTGTCTCTAAGTAAGGAGGACTTGGTGGGGGAGGGTGGGGGGTGAGGCAGGAAACATCTGCATTTGCTGTCTTTTTGGATTCTTTGACTTCTAAATTATGCCCATGCATGACTTTGATAAAAGAAGTTATTGTAACAGGCAAAAAAGAGATAATAACGCACATGGAATTTCCAAACCCTTTGCTTTTGCCATCATGGAAAGTATATCCCGAGTGGAGTGGATGGCACTGAAAACATGGCTGTCTTCTGTCTTCTTACAAAGAGGGGGCAGATAGCACTTCAAGGATGTGCTCTGCATTAGGTGGTTGATATACTGGTCAAGCTCGTCCTGGTTTTCTGTAATTGGACAAGAACAAGAGCTAAGTGACAACAAGGTGCAGAAATGCTCTAAAGGCATGTAAGTAGCAGGCAGTGCTGAATAGATTTAGCAGAAGACGTATGATATAAATATCTGTACCCTTACTGGTGAGGGTAAAGAGATTCACATAGATAACATAGGTGTTTATAAACTTATTGTTTGGAAAAACCTTCCTTCTAGGAAAAAAAAATCACAGGTCAGGATGTGTTTACATCACATCATCCCAAGATGCAGGGATGTACCACATCCTGTGGGTACCACTACCTGTGGGTCAGCAGCCAACAGCTGATCTTGTTTTAATCTGTCATGTGTAAGTTAAGCATTATGGAGCTTCCAATCCCCATCCCAGGGCTTATCGAAAAGTTCAGGTTCATAACTCATATCCAACCAAATCTGGATCACTCTACCATTCCTCTGAAAATGAGTATTTTTTTTGAATATATTTTGTGAAAAGTCCTCATTCCTGAAACTCATTGTCCCTCTAGGTTTTAAAAAAAAAAATCCCACTTTTGCTGTTCAGGTTTTTAAACTGGCATTTAATTCATTTTAATGCATTCAAGTTTCAGAAGTCTCTTTTTTGTTATGTTAATTACCAATCATTTTCTGTGCTTGAGTCATAGGGCACTTTTATCAGAATGCCAAGATTTAAATAAATTGAATGAACAACCCACGAAGGCATTCCAAGTCTTACCTTGATTACCTTGATTATATACGTCTTCCAAATATCCTCCCAAATCTGAATCCATATCAGGACTGAAGCTCCCTTCACTCGCATCATCAAACAACTTCTCATCACAGTCTGGATCCAGGAATGTCAGATAGGTGTAGAAAGATGTGGTGAGAAATTCGGAAAGCCTTCCTAATTTTACTCTGCCAAGGAGACACTATGTTAGGGATACAGGTGCACACTTCCTCTATGTGGACTTCCTCTATCAATCATCTAGAGACTTTTCAACAACGAGGTGGTGCTTCTGCCAGAATCGAGAAATACATCACTATGCAAATTGCTCCATGTAAGTAGTCAGCCAAGAAGTTAAAAAGAAAACAACAGCAAACAGCAAATATGCAGTGGAAGCACACATATATTAAAAGTCAAAGTAATCACGTTGATTTCTTATTCCCAAACCCAACACCTATACAAATCTATTTTACTGAGCCAACAAAAATTTTACAAAACCTATTGAGTGAACCAATATGTTCTTTTAACCAGAACTAACCCTGGGTTTTGCCCTAAAAATGGCTGAACTAGAATAAAACCATTATCAGTGGCACTGTGGGTGCACTCGTGCCAGGCCATCATCATCATCGAGTCCCTGCCACGGAACAAGGCCACACACAGGCATATGGGAACATCTCATCGCCTAAGTTCTCTCTAGAAGGAATGCCATCCCCAGACCTGAAGAGAAGCCAGTGTTTCAACTACGTTATCAGGCAGGGGAAAGTTCCACTGAAAACAGGGTGCTGGGGGGCAGCATGGAGTGCTGCTGCAAAGGCCGTAGCTCCTGGGTTTCGCAGATGTGCCCTCCAGCCCCGGGAGCAGGCAGGATGAAAGCAACTGGGCACCATGTGATTCCAGATAGTTAAATGGGAGGCAGGAAAGCTAGGATCCCTCGCAGTTACAAGCATCTGATTATGTTCTAGTAGCAGATTTCAACATGAGATGCAAATGAATCCACAAGTGCTTGAACTTCAAAGAGCCAATGTTCCTCAAGGAACAAGGGCAAGAAAAGCCTTCCCTTAATAAAGTAAAAAGTGTATCCTCATAAAACCCTGGGGCTGGTTCTAAAGATGGCTTTGCTTTGCCCTGAGATTGAGGAACAGGAGCAGGTGGGGTAAAGTGGGAAACGAGAAGGTGAAGTTTCTCTGTGATGAAGATGAAATGAATCAGGGAATGGCAGAAAGGCCGAAATTTTAAAGTTTCATATAGCAGCGAGCTACCCAAGTGGATCCAGGGGGGTAGAGTGTGGCATATAGGGTGAGTTCAGCTTTTTATTTATTTTTTAAAAAGATTTATTTATTTATTTATTTATACAAGAACCGGGGTACAGGCCAGATGTGCGGGAGGGTGAGAGGATTCACCAGAGACAGAGCAGGGAACAGAACAGGCAGACTGATGAAATACACTGCTGAGGGGAGCAGCAGGCGAGACAGGAGAGGTCTGCCGCACCATGTGGGACCCTCGCCGGCCGGCCGGGATCGAACCAGCGCTGCAGAGGCTGCGGGCAGCTTCACAGCGTGGTGCTCAACAGCCTGCGCCACCAGGGGAGGCCCGAGTTCAGCTGTTTAAAGAACCTCAGACCTAGAGGAAAAGCCAAAATGCGATTCAATTTTAATTATCCAGAACTTAGAAGGAAAGATTGGGGATGCAGTGTAGGCCTTCTGGCTTCTCTCCGTGGTTCTCTACAAACAGGAGGCCTGCCTGATTCCTGGGAGCCGCATCTAGCTCGGCAGGGTGGTTTGAGCCTGGCTTCTGGATACATGCAGAGTTTGTGCATCTGTTTGCCTTGTTCTTTGTCCGTAAAATGGAAATGCGGTTCACATGAGAAAGTGAAGGCTAAGTGAGGCGACACACACCAGCAACAAAGAGCACACTGCAAGTGCCGGAGAACTGCAGCCAGTAACCTCCTGACAATGCTTCGGTTTCAATTACAGAACGTGTTTTGAAAAGCAGTTAATTACGCTCATGCGCTATATTCTCCCCATTCTGACACTGTACACCAGGGGGTAACTCATCCAAACTGACGGCGCAATGACTGGGTGGCTGCCAGCTGCAGGTATGGCTCTCTCCCTGGAAGTGTAGATTCCTGGGAGAAGCCTGGAGAAGGCTGGTGGAGCCCACTTCAGTCTACAGCAAAACCCACAGCAAGCTGGGTGAGCAGAGAGGCCAGCCCCAACGCTGAGAAATACAGCGACTCAACCCTGAGGACATCAGGCTGTGAAATAAGCCAGTCAGAGAGCCCAAAACACTGGATGAGTCCACGGAGATGACATACTGGGGACAGAGCCACAGAATGGTGGTGGCAAGGGCTGGGGGAGGGGCATGGAGAGCTGGTGGGCACCAAGTCTCCGTTTTGCAAGATGAAAATGTTCTGGAGCTCGGCTGTGCAGTAGTGCGAACATACTTCACTCTGCTGAACGGGACACTTGAAAATGGCAGACAGTCAGTTTTAAGTGATACGTATTTTACCAGCAGTAAAAAAAAAAAAATAATTCTGTGCAGTAGAGTCCCTGGCATGGAGGAAGTGAGAACTGACCTCAATTCCCAAATACTTTTATAGCAACTGGCTTTCTGCCAGGGCCCAGTGGAAACCCCCCTGTGCCTGGAGAGATCCCACACCTCACTGCCGGCAGGTGTATCTCAGGGGATTTGGAGAGACCAGGGTATTGATGCTATGGAAAAAAACCTCTGCCTTTTGCCAGGCAGAGGGTAGAAAAATGGAAGGGGTTTTCCTGGGAGCCGAGCCCCATCACTCAAGGTGCTGGGCTGTTACCTGGAAGAGCGGTCTGCCCCACCTCGGGCCTGCAGACCCCCATGCTGTCACTCCACAATGGAACAGTGGCCTAGGTGCCCTGCTCTGCGGCCACTAAAGAACTGGTAAAGCTCTGTGAATTATTCTTAAGGTGAAAGCACACTCAAGTCAACTCAAGGAGATTATTGGGCACGGCTCCTGGGCACTGGAGGTTTTCTTCCAAGCCTTTCATGAGAAACAGACAAGGGCGTCCACACATGCCTGCCAACAATGCCACTTCTGAGAGACTTAATATGGTCACCTCTCCACACCCCCAGCCTTCTGGTACCCATAAATGCTTAACAAATCCCCACAGCATGGAATGACGTGGTGACGATTCCAGTTTAACCTGGGAAGCTGGATTATATAAGCTTAACTTCCTTTTGACCCAAAGCTCCATGCTCTTGTGTTCAGCATTTAATATAAATAAATGGGAGAAGGGGAGCATAAGACTTTAAGAAAGGTCAATGTTATTTTCATTTTTTAAAAAATTACAAATTACCTAGCTCCTCCAAAATATCCATCCTCTAGTTTCCTAATTGTAGAAAGAACTGCAGCATGAATGTCTGAGCCATCATTTACTAAGGAAAAAAAAGAGAGAGAATTAGTTTACTTAACTGGGAATATTTTTGTTTTTTCTTTTTGGTATGCACTGAAATGTTTTCACCAATATAACCTAATTAAAATACGTATGGCCTAGAAGACTCCCAAACTAAGAAACTGAACTGCTGAGAACTCTTTAGTACTTAGCTCTGTCCATGGGAGCCATCTGACAGATTCTAAAAAGGACCCAAACCAACAGTGGAGAAAGAGGCAGGTAGATCAAGTTACTGAGCATGGTGTGGGTGACGGGGAAGGTGAGTGTGGGTCTGCCCGTCATCCGCCAGCAGGTGCACAGGTGCGCTAGCTCGATCCTCAGCATCTCCACCATCATCTCGTTGTCCAGGGCCAGGTAGAAGTGATGCTGGTCAGTGAACTGCAAGTCAGAGCAGGCCAGGTGAAAGGCTGTCCTTCACCTCCCCCACACAACCCCAGCTGTCACTCATGGAGCACTAATCCTTGTGTGTGGTTTCCAGAGCAGGGGCTCCACCCTGGCTGTCACCCCATCGTGGGGCTCTCTTGGCAATCAGACAAATTGATCTGTCACCTGCTCTGAAAGTGGCTTAGGAGGGCAAGGTGCACAGCTAGAGCTATTTATAGGTGCTCAAATGGGACTGAGGCATCCAGCTCCATCCCACAATCTCTGAATGGAAATCAGTAACTCCAACTCCTACTCCTTCCAGGGCTGCTGGGTCAGAGACGCTTTCCTCATGAGGACACTAAGAGCAGGTGAGTTCGAGAGACTCCCTTTCCCTGACTGATGACCTGTTTAATGTGAACTAAAGGCCCTGTTGCCTGATGTCCATGAAAATCAAACTGCTGGTCCCTGGACTAGTCCACTCAGCTCAGGTCTGAATTTGCAACAAAGGGAAATCACTCATAAGATGTACACAAGCAGCATGGGCTAGGGTGCAAAAGAACAATTTGGGACTCATGCCCCATGACCCCAACAGCCAATTCTGTGTCCAGGTAGTGGGGGAGGGTTGTGTCTGTCCAATCCCACTGTTGGTCTTTATAACCCCAAATGAATGAAAAATGTTTGGTTCTCATTCCACAGGACTAGTTTCCTTTAGAAACAAAAACTTTAAAGGAAATGTCCATAATCACTGTAGTCAGGATCCTGTCTAGGGGGTTGGGGCCTAAAAATCAGACAGGCTATCTGTTACACAGAGGCTGAGTATTAGAGACAATTGCATTGCTGTGAGTCAAGTGACATGCTACTAGCAAATTTATGAAGTGCGGTGAATGTCACTGCTACTCCTGATTGGAGGTGATGGACCACTCAGTTCGATTCAAGCCACACTTAGGGAGCACCTCTGTCAGTAAAGAATTGCACCAGGGCCGGGTATCATCTTCTATGTCTCCATTTGATCATACACATGCAGAATTCTGCACAGTTCCCCAGACAGAAAAAAGAACTTAATAAAAGGATGCTTGTTGGTTTCCTACTGGTCTGCTCCTCACCTGGGGTGTGAAAGTAAAGATTTGGTTCCTAATCACATATAGTTTAGATGTCCCAAGAACGCCGATGTGCCGATAAGGTCGTCCACTCAATTTCAGATTCTTATTCTGTCCTATTTGAGAAATGAAAGAGAAACTGGAGTTAAATATGGTAACATCCAGTCCTAGTGACTTTGGCTAAGACTGGGCTTATCTTTATGTTAAATAATCCACTTAGGCTTTTCAAACATTATCTTGCTTTAAAATGAGCTATGGATGAATTAAAGACAAATGCCACCTTGAATTAAAGACAAATACAGCGCCTGTTTCAACATCTATATGAAATAAATGTATTAAAAGAACTCATTAATGTTCAGTATTTATTTAGTATTGAGCCATAATGCTCAGAGTCTAGAAAAAGTAAAGAGACTCCCCTGGCATTTTGATGGATAAACGAGCATTTTCTGAGACTGCAGAGAAGCATTCTCAAGACAAACGATGGTACCATGATGACTTTTCGAAGATGGCTTCTTATTTTGCAGTAGATCTGGCGAATCCGCAGTGAACCTGCGGCCTCATCTACGGGACGGATCTGAGAAGAAAGTGCTCATTGGCTCTTTCCTCATCACCAAGAAGCAGTCAAGCCACCTGCTTTAGAGTTTTGCCCAATTCTTTAGAATTTACACATATCACAGTCTCCCCCATACCCAAAACCTAGAACCAAGATGCCCCCTAGCCAAAAATGCCCTGTGATTTCCCCAAACCCACCAAGCTTGGCATAGAGGTGACTAAGAATCCGGCCTGGCTGGACGCGGATTGGGTGGATGTCGGCAATACTCTGCACGTCCAGCCCATGTTTCCTCAGCAGCTCCTTAATGTGACTGTTTTCTGCCAGAACTGTAACTGTGAACGAGAAAACCACAGAATCCACATCAGACTGTGACCCTTGCCTCCTCACATGGAAAAGAGCCATTGACTGAGCTCTTCTTTGGCCTGTGATGTAACTTGAGCAAGCTTGCCAAGCCCTGGATGGCTTTGAAAATGACAGTGCCCATCCTGATTTTCTTCCTGGCTTTCATGGAGCTCCTCTCAACACCCACAACACATAGTTATCAAGTGCCTTCAGTGCACAAGATAGTCTGATGAGAAGCTTCTAGAAATGCTCTCCAACAGGTTCCAAGCCAAATCATCCCATCTCAAATGGTGGTTTGCCTCCCTCTGAGTCTGCATTTATTCTAAACCTGTCTTGTGTTCTTTTCACACAGGGTTCAAATGCAAACAGCTCTGCATGGGGGATGCCACAAGAAGTCTGTGCCTGCACTCCCAAAGGAGAGAAGAGGAAAGCAATATGGTGGTATGTGCTAACAGGGGATGCTCTGACTGAAGGGAGAGGGGGCGCTTTTCCCTCTGGAGAGAAGGGAATATGGACCTGCTAGTGGCATGTTGCTGTTGGGGTCAGGGGGGACTAGGGTGCCTAGAGCCACAGCACAGGGTTCTGCTAGTGGAGAAAAGCTACCCTGAGCTGGACCCTGCCCCCTCTAGTGGGTGAGGGCCCCGGGGAGGCTCACGTGCCCGCATCTGCGGCGCCAACACTGCTGGCTTTATGCGAAAGGACAGCGCTCTGGCAAACGGAAGGAGCCCCAGGAGTGCTGGCTGCAGCAGAGCCTGTTGAGGATTTGGAGGGGTCCACGGCAGGGCTCCGGCCAGAGGAAGACTCGGTAACTATTAAGCTAGCCCTCCCCCCATCCCCAAGTCCCACCACCATTCCCACAGAGTAAGGACACCTGGAATACAAAATACATGACATGCCACTGAGAACTGAACGTCACCTCCTTACGTTTACATAATACATGATGCCTTTTCAGAGTATTTTAATATCATGATCTCATCCGTGTTCCGCAACAAGGCCCTGAGGGGAAACCTTGAGCGCGCCACTGGCCAGGCAGAGCTTGACAGAGACTGGAAGCTACACCTCCAGGCCCTCAGCAAACTCGAGTGCCAGGACAGGGGGTGGCTTCCCCTGACTATTGTCTCTTCTGAAGCTGCCTCACAGCGGTCGCTCTCTGTAGCGGTGACACTTTTAGAGCCGTGGTTGGACGCAGGCCTGTGGACCTCATGATCTGACAAGCTATATGGGGAGCAGTTTCTGAAACTGCTTTCCCTTCCTTCCTCCAGGTCAGACCCTTTGAGATCGTCTACTCTGTTCTATTATAGTACATTTTAGAAATCTGTTCAGGACTCGCCCACGTGGCCCAGCTTGCAGTTTGAAAGAGGCCTTGTGGGCTTAAGGGGCAATGAGCAGCCTGCGGTCTAATTAAGCACAGAGACTGTGGCATCAGGACTGGCTCTCAGCTGCGGGTGCTTGAGTCGGCTAAGCGCGAAGCCATCTATGTGACATGCGGAGGGAAATCACAACCATACAATGTCTACTTATCCGAATGTTGTGATGCTGGGTGAGGCTCGTGGTGGGCCTGGTTTCCCGGTTGCCATCTCAGCTCTTCTCCTGACCACCTGTGAGCAGGTGGCAGACTGGACATCATGGAGGCTCAGAGAAGGAAAGCCAGCCAGAGGTGGCAGCCCAAGCTGGCCTTCCACCTCTGGAAGAGGAGGGGAAGCAGGTGGAGGCAGGGAAAACACAGGCCTTGAGCTCTGGTAAGAAGACCTCAAAGGGAGGAAGAAAGAACCTCCACTTGGGTTCTGAGTTCTCACCAGTCACATTCTACTTTTTGATGGAAAGTGATGGAAAGTGATGCTCATTGTGCCCCACTTGCAACCAAGGTTTAGTTTCAAGAAAACAACAGCTTTGGATGAAGCCACTTTGTAGCTGGGAAGACTACTGTTGCCTTTGAGAGCTACTGAGTTATAGAAGAAATTTTCAGAACTGATAAATGCTAAAGCACATATATATAACTGAAAAACTGAAATAGGAAATTTGCCAGCAATTTCCATTATATAACTGGTTTTATAAAGTTAAACAGGCAGAGTAAACATGCTCACAAACCTTGCACCACGACATCAGGTTTGACGGAAGTGGAAAACCTTCTGTTTAAGGGATCGATTTCACCAGTGGCAAGGAATCCCTACGAATAAAGGAGCATTAACACTGAGATGTTGATTCCCTAAAATTTTACCTTAAACCTAAGTTTGAAAAGGGAATGTTTGGGGCTGGAAATCTTCAGTATTGTGTTCTTTTACATTTTTCAAGTCACTTGCCTATTTTCTCTGAAACACGGCACACTGTCCAGAGTCACGGATAAGGGCGTTTTGGTTTCGACACCTGGTTCTCCAGGACTAGTCAAAAATGCCATCATTTGGATGAATGAAAAGAACAGTTTTTTGTTTTGGTTTGGTTTGGTTTTTTGCAATAACGGGGATGGGCCTAGATGGCCCTGCTACGCTCAGTAAGTCAGACAGAGAAAGACAAACACTGTATGACTTCTTTCATAGGTGGAAGATAAAGAAACAAAACAAGGAAACAATAAAAAAACAAACTCTTAGACTACGAGAACAAATAGTGGTTACCAGAAGGAAGGAGGAAATGGCGGAGGGCAAATGAGGTCAAAGGAGTCAACTGCACAGGTGATGGACAGAAACTAGACTCTCAGTGGCGAGCACAATGTCATCTCCCCAGATGTGACAGGAGCCTATCACCCGGAACCACAGAACGTTATGAACTAATGTTACAGCAATTAAAAACCAACAAAGGCAGTTAATACCTCCTGTGCCGTTGCCCAGTGCCGGCTCCGCGCTGCACAGTTGGGCCTCCCAGCCGGTGGCACTACCACTGCCGCCCTTTCACAGGTGGAAAGGCCCAGGTAAGTGGCAGAGTGGAGACTTGACCCCGGGCTGACTACTCTGAGACACAAGCAACACTTCCTGCTTGCAAAGAGGGGACTCTGTATTGCCTCACAGTTTCCATAAATGGCCTGAGCCCCTAGAGGGGGAAATCAACGGACCTGGGAGTTCTGAGTAAGAAGTGGACCTAATGCTGAGTTCTTTGCTTCCCATCTCACTGACATAGAAATCAGTGGTAAAGCAACTGCTCCACTGTGAGGCTTCTTTACTTTCACTCTCCTGTGACATGTGGGGAACCCCTGTGGAATTCTGACCCACTGCTCCCACCCCCATTTCTAGAGCCTGGCAGAACACACTGGGCTGGAGCCCCTGTCCCTCCTGAGGGGCCCAAAGTGCTCAGCTGGGCAGGATCCTCCCGATGAACTTGAACCCTTGTGATCAAGTCATCCATGCCTGGGACTGGTGAGGGATTCATTTTTAGCCGGCACAAAAGTACCTGTGTTTTAAAAACTGAAGCCTGGGGCAAGTAAAAGCTCTCCAAGAGGGAATGAGTCAGAGCAGTAGACTTTCTGTGTGGGGGTGCTGTGAGCTGAGGGGACACCTGACACAAAGTTTGCCACAATAAAGCCAGCCTGCAGCCTTTGGGGGAAGGGCTGTGGAGCCCTGCTTCCCGAGCCTGGGGCTGGAAGCAGATTTTTGTTATTTCTCAGACCCTGTGTCTTTCACACCTGTGCTGACCCTGCTGAGAAGCTTCTGGCCTCCTACTGATTGCCAACTCAACCAGGTTGCACCACGCAGCAGGAGGGCCAGCAGGGGTAGCATGCTGGGTGTGCAGGGGACCCTTAGAGGTCAAGATAAATATAGGACCCACAAGCCCTGGCATGAGCCTCAGAGCCAACCCAGCAGCACTGACTGTATAGCCAAGGAGATGGCAAAGACATTCACAGCCACCCTGCGGCACACTGCTGGAGCCCCCTGTACCTCAAGTCTGCCGGCTTGCAGTCTGTGCAGTCCCCAAGCCCCCTACCTCCGCCAACAGCGAGCTGAGGATGTACAAGGACTGTCCCCACAGATGGGGCAGCTTCCCCAGGGGAACTCTGTCCACCGTGTGAGGATTCTTATACTCTTCGTCTACCTGGCAAAGAGAAAAACCCCAAATCAGAATGTCAGAGGATAAAGGTCAATGCCTCCGTGCACTGGGGCGTGGACTTCAAAATGCCACTCACTCATTCAATGGGCCAGACCAACTCTGTGGGAGAGCTGGAATTCGCAGGCAGAGGGGGCCACAACCCTCACGACCATCAAGCTGGGGTGGGGTGGGGGCCCACATGCTAAACGCAGCAGAGGTGGAAATCTAATCCAGGCCTGGCTTCCGGCAGTGCTGTTCCCATAAGCACACCGACAATAGGAAGCAGAGAGGCAGGCAGTGGGGGCCAGGCCCGCCTCCTTGGTGCACAGCTATGGGCCACAATCAGCTTCATAGCTCCGGGCTCTAGTTGGCTGTGTTATGGGAACAACGATCTGGCCTACAGTCTGCCAGTGTAAGGCCAGATACTAAAAGGGGTTTCCTCCTTCGGGCTATCCCCCAGGGTTCACAGACTCTGTGCTTATGCAAGAAAATTGCCAGAAGGTGGCACTAGTAATTGAGGAAAAGCAAATGGACTAGGACATCACTAATTTTCCATCAGGGGCTTTTGACTCATTCAAACAAGCGGCAGCTCTTTCTGATGGACAGTGCTGGCTCCACATTGTAAAGGCTGGTCTGCAGTTTACTCTGCTGCCAACTCCATGCTGACCTTTGGGTTTGCAGTCATACAATGTTGGCTGGGGTAAGACTAGTGACCACTATTCCCCTGCAGAAAACATAAACCAATCAAAGAAACTAGGAAACATTGATCTTTTTGCAAAGAAGAAAATCAGAGGAAGGGAGGAGTTGTTCTGTGCTTGTGTAGTAAGCAGTGATATTATTAATATTTAGTAAATTTTTTTAATTTGCCATAGTAGTAAACATAAGACACCCTTAACTGCACATTTGAACAGAACTAAATATCACTCATAATCCAATAATCCATTAGGATAATAGTGTAGAAGGAGATTCTCCAAAACTTCATAGTGGTTATTTTTGGATAGTCAAATGGATGAAAAATTTCCTTCTTTCTACCGAGGCCTGGATGCTTTGCAGTGTGCAGGATGTTTATAGTCATTAAGTACATTAAGTCTATTGGAAATGTAAGTGGTGTTAAGAAAGAGCGCAAAGATCTGGAATGAGAAATAATCCATCGATGCAAAGAGTAGAGGCAGACAATGTGTCTGGTCAAAGGATGACACAGCCCTGCCCTCCCACACCCGGGGTTGTTGGGCGTCCCTCTTGCCTTCTCCACTCCAGTCCTGCCTGCCCCTAGTGCACCACACCTTTGCCTCCGCCAGCCCAGTGCCTGCCCTCCATCCCATGGGCCAGCTCCTCCGAGCCCCCGGGAATGTGAACTCAAAGAGGCAGAGCCGGAGTAAATACCTTTGCGCCCCGGCACTAGTCTACGCCTGGGCCCGGGGCAGCTGTGGGGCACACCTCTAGCTGACCAGTGGTGGGCGCCGTGGCTGGTGGCCCCTTACTTAAGCCTGTGTGGCTGACGAAATGAGTGAGGCGGCGGTCCAGGCTGGATGCCGCCTTGGCACAGGGCCGCGGTCATGGGGAGAATGAGGCCCTTTCTCTAATTTGCACACAGGTGTCCTCTAAGTCTGGGAGGTCCTGCTGCAGCGGTCTCTGCACCACGGCGGTCTCGACATGTTACTGATGTGATGGATGGGCCTTCCCAGCTGTCATCTTCAAGCAGCCTTGGGCACTGAGGCCAACAGAAAATGGCTTCCAAATTCGTGCCTGACATCTGTGTAAACGAGCTCCATCTAGGAGGATGTGGTCACGACAAGCAGAAACCCAGAGGTCAGTGTGAAGTTTAGAAGAGAGAAAGTTGCAGAGTAGCTTTTTACAACATGCAGCCAACGCTGTTCATGAGAAAGACAAGCACCGCGCACCGCGGCTGACAACCAGCACTTACCAGTCAGGAAAACGTGCCTGCTAGCAGATCACACGCGGATGGATATTCTCTACCTTAAAACAGGTAAAATGCCCCTGAAGTCATTTATTTTCCCTTGCTCTGCCCCCACGTTCCAAATTTCCTTCCATTAGTAATTTTGTTTTGCAAATGCCTCAGTACTGGAAAGGGTCAGTCTGAACATGTAGGTGCTGAAAAGTCACCACCCAATCCCCACGGTCAATCTCCGCCGCCCCAACACACACACCACACAGAGGAATGAACACATCTGCAGGAAGTCTAGGTCTCTGGCACGAGAACATGGCCTCTGCAGCTTCCTCAGGCTGACCTGGAGAATGCGCACTCACCGCCACTGGAAGTGTATCTGCCTGAGGAGCCAGTATGGGGCGGTGGGGAAGCCTTGAACTTGGGATCTCACCCCTAGAGAAGCCCAGTTGCTGTCTGATTTCTGACAGTTTCCATGGCCTTTCTGAGCTGAGGCAGATACTTTCAAAGGCCCCGGGGGTCCCGTGGCCATGTGCGTGTGGGCCTCATTCAGCAGAACCCTTAACCCAAGCTGCTCTGCGACAGCTTGTGCTGGGCAGCGTCTCCTTCAGGCCCTGTCAGCAGGGGAGATGCTGCCTCTGAGGTCCTTCCTCCCGCAAATGCAATTATGAAGTTTCAGAGCAACAGGAGCATCTGAAGGACAGACAGCCTGGAATGGAGAATCCTTTTTTTCTGAACATGAGTCATTTGTAGGGAAATCTTCCAGCCAAGATATATAGGTCCTCCTGATCTAATTTCGGAAATCGGATAGAACAAAACCCTTCAGTCACCTTCTCGGAACTGTCCCGTGTCTTTCTCCCAGGTAGAGAGTGGTGTCTAAGGGATCATGGGCTCTACCCGGCTGCTGCTTGACTCAAAGGAAGCGATTCTCAACGAAGGCCCTTTACACCTTCCCAGGGGGATTCTGTCTACTTTTCCTTCTGTGGAATATTCTGAGGACACAATGCCTAACCGTGTCTCTACTTCTTAGGGTGCATCCAGTCTGGGCTTGAGGGATCCTCGAAGGCCCTCAACTGATGCCTCACTAGGATGCCCCTGGGCAAACAGGCTCCAAAACCATGGCTCTTGGGGTAGACAGGAACACTACCTAAGGCTTTAGAAACCACTTTTGCTGGGAAGAGCGTTCATTGGGTCTGAAAAGGTGGGTGAAGAATATCAAGAGGCCAAGCACCGACTCACTTCCCTCGAGACCAGCAGCCCCCGGTTACCTTGCTGGGTGGGATGGCGTAGAGCTCTGGCAACAGGTGGATCCCATTCTTGCCTCTTATGAGCACTCCCTCCAGGGCCTCTCGGTATTCCTGGACCTGGAAAATAGCCCCAGCCCCCCACGTCCCCAGGTAAGAAAGAGGGGTCATCGATGTGATAATGGCAGTGCCACATAGAAAAACAGCAATGAACAGATCAGAAGGAGGAGACAGGGCTCAAAAATGCACACATACCTTTAGCTCAAGGAGTGGGGAGGCCTCTTGCTGACAGCAAATGTTAGCAAGAGCTAAATGCCACTGGCCTTTTCTGTGTTGTCTTTAACTCCTATTTCACTCTCAACTTCTTACATATTTCAATTTTGTCTCAACAGATAGATCATAAGCTTCGTGGAAAGGAGGCCTATCCCATGTCCACCTATTGGTAGTTTCCAGTGAGAAGGCCTTCATTTCAACGTTTAGCACTCAAGAAATATTTGGCCGAATGAACTGATGTGAGGAAAAGAAGTATCTGTATTATGATCCCTGTACCCGGATGCTGTGGGTACACTACTTAATATAACTAAAGCTGTTGATGCAAATATTTCCACGACACTAAAAGGCAATGATAGAAACCATCTCTTAAAAGGAAAAAGAAGGGGAATCCTTCACCAGTCACCTATAGATAGGTAACGCATTTCATCTTTGGAGAACCCAAACACCTTCCAGATCTCATTTTCTTCCCTTTTTAAACTTGCAGATGGCAAAGCTCGCGCAGGAGTGCGTCATTCCTAAGTGTCACTGAGCAGCCATAGAAGAGACAGCAGAGGGGAACAGTAGTAGATTCTGTGAGGCCTGGAGAATAAGGTACTAAGCACGGTCTTTTTTGTCTCCTTAACTTTGTTTTCATTTCCGATAATTGTCAAGGCTGCTCATAATTGAAATTCAAACTCAATCCTTTTGAGATCTTTCCGTTCTGGGATAAAAGGACAGAAGACATAAGAACTAAGATTATCACTAAAGCATAAGGGTAAGAAACAACGATAGGGGAGCATTACCATTCTAAGCTTACTGCTACTTTCAAAAGTCAAAATAAATCTTAGATTCCTCCGATCACCCCGGAACAGGTGATCGAGCAGGTTAAGAAAACAGCAAGGCAGTGAGTTCATCGGTCACTCACAGAAGCTGCACAAGGGCCTGCCTGTTCTGTGTGCTCAGGGCTCAGCACAGCGCGGGGCAGCAAATGCTAAAAAGATCTGTCTTGAGCAGATCGTTGTATCAACACAAACTTACTGAGCACGTACTCTGTACTAGGCACAGAGAATCTATAGATGAGCTGGATACAGACCACCTCCACCAGGGGCCTTTGCCAAGTAAGTGGGAGACTAAATGCAGGTGACCCAGGCTGTTATAGGGGTCGTGGTCGAGCTTCTCAGGTCAGAGAAGGCCTTCTGAAAGAAGACACCAGTGGCTTGAGTGAGGAAGGAGGCGCAGTCAGAGGAGGAAAGAGTGTCCTGGGCATTTAAGAAGTGGAGAGAGAAAGCGTGGCCCGTTCAAAGGACTGAAAGGGTGTCAGTGTGCTTGGATCACAAAACTCGAGAAAGGAAGGAAGTCCTAGAAAAGAGGCTATAGAGGTATAAACAAGGGCTGGATCTTACGGGACCCTCCAAAACGTGTGAGGAGCTTATACTTCATCTCAAAAGCAATTAGGAAGCCACTCAAAGCTTTAAGCTAGACCACGGCATAATCTAATAAGAGCACTCCAGCAACCGCATGGAGAATGGAAACAGCAGGAGCAAGGCTGGAGGCTGGAAGGCCAGTTAGGAGGCTGTTCTTTTAAATAAGGCCTCAGTGGAGGGTACCCTGAAACGAGAGCCAACAACAAAACCCCAGCTGGTCTGAAAAGAATAACAGCAACAACAAAGCCCGCCTGTGAGTCTGTTCTTTGGTGGTCTCTGATGAACACAGCCCCCTGCTACTCAGCCTCAGTACAGTCCCCTCCCTTTGCATGTGACCCTTTACACGTAGAATGCAACGGACATGGACACTTAGCTAGTTCTGGGTCTAAGCTTCAAGAAAGCTTGGGAGATGACCCCCATGTCAAAAGCCTACCTGCCCAAAGACTGTCACAATGCTGTGAGAAGTCCAAGGTAGCCACGTGGACGCAAACCAAGTGCCCTGGCCCACAGGCCCGGTGAGCCCCGGCTGATGGCCAGCATTAACCTGCCAGCCACGTGGGCGAGGTCACCTTGGAAGTAGATCCTCAGGCCCAGCAAATGCCCAGCTGACACCAGGTGAAGCTAAGACAACGCATCCCTACTGAGCCCTGCCCAAATCGCCGGATCATAAGCAAATGAAATAGTTGTTGCTTTAGTTCACTAAGTTTGGGGCAGTTTTATAGTGGCAACAGATGAGAACAGTGCCCTAAATTCTAACATGATCCTATGTTCTAATAATAATCAGCACACCGGTGGAATAAGAATAACAATGCAGATTATCAACACGGCGCTCCACACTCTCTCACCTGAACGGCGTCACCATTGAAGATCCCATCTATTATGAAATACGTCCAGAACACAGGCCACTCACATTCAATGTTTTCAAAGAGCTTGAGTTCAGCGGGGTCATAATGCAATCGGTTTGGATCCTGGAATCAGTAAATAGACCTCCTAAAAGATGATGTCAGAGTATACACACCGCCATATACCTCGCTGGGTTGCCCTCCCTGGTCTGATTCAATGCAACTGTGAGGTTGGCATGATCAGGATTCTGCTCTAATGAAGCGATGCTATTTTGGGCAGTTTTCCATGGTAAAATTTCAGGCTCTTTGGTAGCTGATTATAGTAAAGCCTTTTAGATCTTTGACAAATAAACAGCAATTTGCTTATCACAGTGCTTGGCAGACAGTTTGACTGATGTCATTCTATCAGTCACTATGGCAGAGGAAGCACAGGAGAAGCCCGCAGTTGATCTTTAACAAACATGTGAGCTACAGAACTGTTTGTTCTTGTCTACAAGCTGGTGTTAAATTCCCGGTTTGCTGGCCTCTTGATGACCTCACAGTTCTACTGCCTCATTCCAGGATGGCTGATGCAAAATTAAGACTTTCTTTTCCACTATCCCAACATCTAATTATAATCAAAAGAAGGAGAACACCACAGCAGCAACTGAGATACAAAGCGGTTAAAGAATCATGAGGAACAATATTTAAATACAACCTCTCGTGGGGTCTTATAGCCATCTCGGAGGAAGCGGCAGCATCCGTAACGCCCCTAGGAGGATAAGGAGAAGTTCATGTGGTGAAATCAGAAGAATTTCTCTGCCTTTTAATTTTGATTCAAGTCAGCCCTTCACGCCCTTTCCCACAAATTGTTTAGTAATGAAATGTGTACCCCGTGCTCTGTGCTAACAGTACAAATTATTTTTAATACACAATAAGCAATGTAAATTCAGATTTGATTAGCGCTTGAGAGGAAGTGTCAAAACCTTCCGTGAGTGTATGAGGGCCATGAGAGCAATTACTGCAAGTCCAGTGAGTGGCCAGCCTCTCATTCTGACCGTGGTATGCACAAACATGCAAAGGGACCCTCACCGCTTGGAGAAGCCACCGAGCACATAGTTGGAATGGGCTGCTTCTACTTGGAAGCCAAGAGGACAGTCCTCAGGCTCCTGGACTGTTCTGGAAGTCCTGGGAAGACCCAGCCTGAAACCTGCTCCTCTGTAAACACTTCATAAACTCTGCCTATTTCCAAGACTTCTTTAGTTTCTTTTTTCTCCACTAAAGCTTGACTGACATGGTCACCTACTTTGAGGGATGTGATCAGAGAATCTTTAGCCCCTTTGTTTCCAAAGGTTAGAAGCATTTTTTACCAAACCTAAGTATGAGCATCAATGTGCAGATGTGGGCTTGGGAAGTACAGCGTTCTCTGATAATTTTACTGCTGACCTCAGCTGGCTGGAATATTTACTATGTCCTCAGTTTAGTGTGATGTGCCATCGTTACTGCACCTCGCTTCAGAGCAGGGATTTTTTTAACCCCTATTTAACGTTGGGATCTCCAAGTCCCCTGAAATGGTATGTAAAGTTTGAGGATCCTTGAACATGTATATTTTTTTCAAACCTCATAGCTTTCAAAAGATTCTCAAAGGAGACTGTGCTCTCTAAAGGGCTAAGAAGGGCCTCCCTGGTGGCGCAAAGGGTTAAGACGCAACCTATGAAGCTGTTGGCAACCACTGCAGCACGAGTTCAATCCCTGGCCAGGGAGCTACCCACATGGCACAGCAGACCTCTCCTGTCTTGCCCGCTGCTCCCCTCAGCAGTGTATTTCAGTCAGTCTGCCTGTTCTGTCCCCCACTCTGTCTCTGGTGAATCCTCTCACCCTCCACACCTCTGGCCTGTACCCCAGCTCCTGTATGCATAAATAAATGAATCTTAAAAAAAAGGGGGGCTAAGAAGCTCTGCCTTAGAGGTATAGTAGTAGAACCAAGTGGGTTCAAAAGTGCCAGCTTGAGTCCACACTCCACTATTTAGGAAGAGAAGTAAGTCACTCGATCACTGGAGACTTTGTAGTCTCACCTGGAGCCCCAGTTTTGGATCCCTTGCTCCCTGAGTCCATGTACATAAACCAAAACCACTGCCCGCTGGAAAGCCCAGGCCCAGGTAAGCCACCCCTTGTCATCGAGTAAGAGCAGCACTTAGCATGACAGAGCGGCACTGACCTGGAGCTTGGAAATAATTTCATTTTTGGTCACATTCACCAGGTTCACATCTTCCACTGCAAAAGCCGGGAAGGAGATAATGGAAAGAAGGCCAGCGTCAATCTCTTTGGACGTCGATGCTCTTGGAAGCATAGAGAACAAAATAGACTGAATGAAAAACAAAGAGGTAGCTTTAGCACGGGGAACACTGATAGACACAGTACCAGACAACATGACTTTACTCCCAAGGAACATTCGAATGAGTCTGCCAATTCTGAGTAGAGATTTGTCCTACCAGCACAGTCCCTGGGGGTAGCCTCACCTACCCAAATGGTATTCCAGTTCCCTGGGGAAAGTGCAGAGAACTACTTGCCTCCCTTCCTTCTGTGCCTTTGGTTGATTGGGCCAGGCCTTTAGGACAAGCAGGGGAGAAACCACAGGGCCATCTGTGTCAATAGGCTGAGGTCTGCTGACTGTGAAGCTAGAGACAGAAAAGTCTACGTGGAACCAGCATGAAGATATGGCTGGCTTCTGTGGAATGTGATCTGTTGGACTGGGTCACCCAGACACCACTCAAAGAAGGAGTTTCAATCCAGAAGATCACATGAAGAATCAGGCAAAATGGTACACAACAGTACTGATATAGTCCTAGAAAGAATGGGTTACTTAACGGCATTAAAATATGACCTCAAAATAAGGTAGTTGACTTAGGCACTAGAAATCTAACAAGTATAGACATGGGGCGAGACCCCTGCCAATGAGCTGATCAAATCTTCCATGTGAAGAGGGCATTCTTCCGGAAATAGTGAGTTCCCACGAAGGGCTAGTTAATGAGGGAGAATGGTGCGAGCTAGAGGGTGGGGCAAGATGGGAGGATCCTTTCAGCTTCAGAATAAAGTTTCATTTTCTCTAGTCAGCTAACCTCCCTCGCCCAAGTCCAGTTCCTTAACTAGTCATTATTCCCAGGATTCCTCCACCCGAAAACGTGAACTCCCACCAGAAGCTCTCTGCCTACAAGTTTCTGTACCCCTCATTCCCACAACCCGAGCACAGTGTCTGACATACAATGGGTCCACACAATATATAATAAAAGTCTTCTGATTGACCAGTGATTGGTGACTGTCTCCATAACAGTTTGCTAAGCGGCATCAAATCACTCCATTCTCTAATCTGTATTTCATGGAGGGTCTATTAATTTGCCATTTCTTCCCATCTCATCTCTCCTTCATTATTCAGTCTGCCCATCCTCCCTGCAAGCAAACTAGTGATTGGTTGTCATCCAACTTGGGGCATAATGAAATCAACCTGAGAAAAACCCACCAATGTCCTCAAAAAACATAAATGTTCTGCCTCCAGAAAAACAAGACTGCCTTGATCGTTGACTCCATACATAGAACACGTATGTTTCTGTAGTACTTTCTGGCTGACTAAGCTGATTTACTCTGATCCTTATGCCCACCTTCTGCAGCAGGAGGGGAAGTTCCCCGTGTATACTCCTATCTTAAGGATGAGGGATCTGGAGCTCAAAGAAACCAAGCACTACCAAGCTAGCAAGGCGTGGAGCTGGAGTCCAGGTCTTCCATGGCCCAAGTGTTCTCTGGAACACAAGAGGCTGCGTGTTACCTGGCAGTGCTCCACTTCATCAGGCAGGACATGGATCACAGACTTGCGTCCTCCGTGGGCTCCAAAGAGATCCAGTTCATCAATTGCCTCAAGTGCTGCCTACAAGCACAGGTATGATTTACTTTTTTTTTCCTAGTACTCATCCACTCCCACATTGGGTACTTCTTTTATGGTAAGCAGTCTATCATTCATGTTTTCTCAAAGGAGATGAAACACATCTTTAAAAAAATCCATCTAGAGTCCTATTGTTATGGATTATCCTTATTTTCAGTGGCTAGAACTTTCCTGTATGTTGCTGCTCATTGCAGGAATAGGAAACAGAAAACAGAAACCCATTTACCCAAAGGAAATTAGTATTCTATGGAGAAACAAAGTATAAACAGGTTCATAACACTGTGTGCATGTGTTTGGGTGGGGGGCATTAAGTTCATGGCCAGTTTTTCTTTCACCTAGTTTAGCGCTTAACTTCTAACAGCATATCTGATACTTAAGAAATTAATTATTTTAGTATAAAAAGTATTTTTTCTATCACTTGACCTTAACAGAGCATATTTATTATTACATTAAAAATTCTAGCCCTGGAGTCTTTACTTTGCAAAAGACACTTCAGCTTTGAGGAGGAGGGAAGGAGACAGCATGGTAAAGGTCTAGGGCAGAGATATTAATTGCTGGCTGGCAGGCTGAATTTACCCTGTGGGTGTGTTTTGTTTGGTGCAAAGATATTTTTTAAATAATTTTGGATTTGAATCTTTAGAGAAAATATTCCCAGTGTCCTCATTACCCCTGACATTTTTTTTAATCTAACTTTACTGGTTTATGTCACTCATCTGACCCAGTAGGCTTTTGAACTTGTGAGCCCCCCTCTATCAGGCGGTCACACTCTTCAACCCCCTTTAAGACCCAGAAAAGACTGGACATCATACATCCAGCTTCTCAGACAACATGCGAGCTAAGGCCCATAACATAACATAACATATTATAACATATTAACATAACATAACATATAACATCTTATCCATAACATCAGATAAGAAGGGTGGAGTGCACTTATTTCAGACACACAGATTCCAGTGAGGGAAGCCTCCATTCTTTACCTAAAATTTCAGCTGGCTGAGGTACATAGCCACTTGAATGTCATACTTGCTATTGACTTTAGAGAAATATGCAAAGTGGATTAAATCCTAACTCCTGATGTTGAGAACCAAATCAAAGAAGCAAAACAAAAGAGAGAACAAACAAGATGATTCCATCACCTTGGCCATTCCCACAGAGCTTGCATTCAATTCTGGAATGCCCTGGTTAGTCTTATCTCCACGTTCCCACATGCCATAGTCCTGGGGGAGAGAAAGGCAGCAATCAGTGCAGGGGAGAGGCATATGACACGTGCTATGGGGAAGCGATTCCTTTATGTTACCACAGGCAAAATGACACACAAAACACTCGAAGGCTGACAGACTCCTGGCTTTGTTCTTCCTCAATTGCAGTTCACTGGACTTCTGTGCAGACTTTTGAAAGTAAATACTCACACGGAACAAAAATGCATGCAAAAAGGCTCTCGATTTTCTTATTCCTAAAAGTCATTAATTTGTAGAAAAATCTTGATTTGTAGAGAACAAAATATTTTCTTAAAATCAACTGCCATGGCTCTATTTAGCTAATCCCTTTGAACTTATATTAAATTATATGATGAAATAAAGTAACATTAATGGGTTATAACTAGTTGAGGCCAACCAAGCCATTTGAGATAGTTTAATACCCATGTCTAGCACTGCCTCCAGGGAAAAAGTGCTCAGCATGTAATGGGAGTCAAACTTAAAACTGAGATGCAGAACTCTGAGCTTCCCTGGAATTCTAAAACCCATGAATATGAATCGGTTCAGAATGGCCAGTGCACAGAAAGAATTTGATACATGTGCATGCTAACTTTTATATTCATGTTTTCATTTAAGAAACCCAAGCACTGTTTCTGTCTTGAAATAAGATACTGATACTGTCTTGAAATAATGCTACATGCACTCCTGAAAGAAGCATCCAACAAAAACAGGACCAATATCAAACGTCAAGATTTTTTTTTTTAATCTCTAAAGATGAACATTTTCAAAAAGTGAAAATTTAGACTTAGACACCCTAGAGTGACTTTATTATTATTTTTTGACATTGCTTGTAACTTGGAAGAAATTCTTTATTTCCATATACAAACTATAGATTTAATGCTTATAAACTCTTCCCTTCCCACATGCCTTGCAGCTGAGCCTTGGGCGCTCCTCACATCAGCGCCTCTCCCCCCTAAGCCATCTTCACGCCAGCCCTAAAGCTGAGTGACTCAACCTCATAAACTGCTGGGAGCAGCTCACTCCCAGGCACAAGAATCTAAAATGAAACTGGTCATTCCCTAGCGATCACCTGCACGTCTCTGAATGCCATGCCTCTGTCGTCTGGCCTCCACCCTCCACACAACCTCAGCTAACTTTATTGTCTATTGCTCTGCCTCAACTTTCACCCTAAATATACTCCTTCATTCTGTACCCCTTTCCCCACGTACCCCTCACCGCCCCACCCCGGCTGACTCACACACAACCAGAGCCTGTGCCTGCTCATACATGTGCCCTCCCCCCTTTTTTTTTCTTCCTTTGGCTCATCTCAAACCCTGCTCATCTCCCAGGTCCAACTAAAGTCCCACCCTTCCCACGAACACTTCCAGTTTCTTTAGACCAGGGCTAACCAACCTCGGCACTGCCAGCATTTTGAGCAGATCATTCTGGGTCACGGCGGCTGTCTGTGCCTCATAGGACAGTCAGCAGCACCCCTAGCCTCCACTCCCTACATGCCAGAAGCACCCCCAGTGCAGCAACCAAAAATGTCTACAGACATTGCCAACATCCCCTGAAAGGGGAAGCTTGTCCCTGGTGGAGAACTGCTGCTTTACCTGTGGGGCCGGCAAACTGCAGTCCTTGGCTCAAATCTAACTTGCATCTGTCCTGTCCATCAAGTTTGCTCAGCACAGCGGCATGCTGCAAATATTGACTCTCTGGCCCTTGACAGAAAAAGTTTGCTGAACTTGCTAGAGACCACAGTGGCTTTTTTTTTCCAGGCCTATCTCTACCCTTTCCTTGTTGCCTTTAGAGCCAGCTTCATAGTTTAGTTGTTCTCTCGAAGTATGTGAGGCTCCATCTTCCACATTAGACAGAAGCCAGAAAGACTGGGTTTTATAACCAAAGCCACATCTGGCTCCAGGGCAGGGTTCCAGCCCATTTAGCTGTGGGTCACCTGGGTCTTTAAAATAAGCATAAAGGTAAGCAAAATAAGCCAAAAGGAGAAAGAGAAATACCACACAACTTCATTGATATGTGGAATATAGAGAAACCAAAGGGTCAGACAAAGACATACTTTAAAACCAGCCCTGAAAGCTGACCATGGATTTGAGGCATTCAAGAGCAGAGGGGGGTGGGAGGAGGCTGAGAACAGGGGTGAGGGAGAGCATAAGGGACTGTGGTGAAGGACTATGGGTGCTTTGGTGGTGGGAGAGCTATGATACCACACCGGAGGGGAGAAATCCTAGACTGTCAATAAATTAATAAGGGTTTAAAATAATGGTACTTCATAAAAGAAAAATATATATATATATATAAAGGGAAAGGAAGAAAAAATATAAGTGAGAAAATAACCTATTGGGTTGATCTTAAAAAACTTAAATAAAAATAAGCATAAAGGATTCAAACAAAGCATGTGGTGCTTTCACAAGCTGTGCTCCAGGACGTAAGAGCACGCTCTGTGTGCAGAGGTGACGCCATCTTATGACTCTCATCATGTCAGCACCAGGTCAGCCCCAAATAGCCTGGTCTTCAAAGAACTGCAGGATTTTTATTCTTTTTGATAACTGGGACACCTAAAAAACTATCAGGGTTGAAACTTACAGCAACTTTATATGCAGCTTCTATGTAAAAAACAAGGTTCTGTATGAAGGCCACCTCATCCAGGGTGAAAATAATACGCAAACCTAGTAAAAGAAAACAATGAAGTTATGAAGGTAATATTGAAGAGAGGGCTGCCAATTACAAATTACAGATAATTTTGTAAGGAAAGAAATCCTTTTACTCCAATTTTCATTTTTCTTACTCTGGCATAAAAAAATAAGTCTGAAGTAAGTGGTAAATTAATGTCTAATCTCAGAAAGAGGAAAGAAAGGAGGCAAGGAAGGAAGGTGGGGAGGAAGGGTAGGCTCCACTCCTGTGTGTGTGTGTGTGTGTGTGTGTGTGTGTGTGTGTGTGAAGGGTGGAGATGGGTGTGTACCTTTTGGTTTATGTTGGCTCTGTGCAGAGAAGTTTCCAACAAAGCAAGATTATAACCTAGCACGACCAGATGAGGTTCTTATCCTTAAGTGAGCCAAGGGCCAGCTCCCAGGACCTGCCCAGGCTGCCCAGGCTGAAGCAGGCAGTGACCAAGACAGCTGGATTTTTGCTTGGGTCCTTGACTGTGGAGTAGGTTATGGCAAATACATTTTTTCTGAAGTATTGTACGGTAAGATATGTACTCTTACATTGCAGGGGGCAGTTTAACGAATAAAACTGTTCTGAAAACAATTTGGCAATAGGTGTGAGTGGCATTTGAGTGCTATCTAACGGAAGGAAGTAAATAGAGATGGGGTCAAAATTGGTATTGCAACATTAGTTATAACCAAAAAAAAAAAAAAAGCATAAAGGAATGGCTAAATTACTGTATATTCATTGATAAAAATCATGTTTATGAAGAGCTTATAAGGGTATGAGGAAAATGCTTAAATTATAAAGCTACAAAATCAAAAGACTGTATTTATGCATACAATATGACCTTAAATATGTAAAAAACAGGGAAGTGGGGGAAGACCTGGAGGAGATACATCTAAATGAAAATTGGTGGTGGGATTTTTTTTTTCTTTGCATTTTGTTATACATTCCAAAATGTCAACAAGTGAGCTCATTTTTCCTTAACCCAAAAAATGTTTAAATAAATGCCTGATTTATTCACAAAGCCACACAATATTACTTACTGATTTCTGCTATTTTTAGAGTTTCACATTCGCAGCCTAAAATAAACGGGAAGCCTCTAACTCAGGAATGTCAGTTTGTTGGACTGGTGACAAGAACTCTGAGACCCAGCAGCTAAGTGACCTAACCCCTGGGGGGAGCATCGCAGCAGGCTCCGTGGTGGGAGAGGCCGTTTGGCCGGCAGAGACAGGCGCAGTCCAGAGCTTAGGATGCCCCGTGTCCAAGCTGCCAAGGAAACCAACAGCTCTGCTTCAACAGGAACAAAGCATGCCGTCTGGAAGCTTCTGGCCCACTCACAGCCTGAGTACCATGGACTGATCAACCATTCTGGGCATACTGCCAAGTTCTAGAAAGTATGTTGTTTGAATATAATTTGGATAAATGGAGGTGTGTGTAGAAGAGGGTGTCCAGGGTAGAGAGACAAGAGCTGAAGGGCCAGATCTGCTAATCCTGGAGAAGATACGAGGAGGCAGGGCACTGCAGATAGAGTAGGTAAAGCTACTAGGCAGAGCTGGTCTAGGTTGCTTCAGTAACTCGGTGACAGTGACAGGAAGGAAGCTTCAGGATCAAGCAGAGTGATACTAACAGCTGATGCAACTGACATCATCCTGCAGGTACTCAGGAGGCAGCCGGAGCATCACAGACTCAGTGCACATACTTGAGAGAAGCAGGCTTTTTCTTTCTAGAAACAGCTTATTTAGAGTGCTGACCCATGCCTGCCCCCCCCCAACCCCCAGTGTCACTCCCTGTTCAATGGGCTCAGATGGCCCTATCTCACCAGAAGCAGTCATCTGTGCCAGGAACAGTAGGAAAAGGGAGGTGGCATCGACCTGGAGGTGGCCCCACTGGTCGTCCCCGACCACAGTGCTGCAGGTGGCTGTGTTATACTTGGCGTGCAGGCTGTCCTTGGTACTCTGAGTGTGCTTGAACTTCTCCACTTTATCCACCTGAGGGAGAAGGTCCCCCTAGCTAAAGGGTGTGTGAAGGAGGAGGGGAACCTTCCCACCCATCACCAGAAACGTCCCAGCCCAGCACCATTTTAACCAATTACAATGACTACGAGTCAAGACGAAGGGTTTCTTTGTGAGTCAACAGCCCCCAGTGGTGAGCTGTGATGGTGTGGGCACTCAAACACAGGGAGAAGGAGAGAAGCTGTTTAAATTTCAGCTTCTTCTTCTTCTTCTTTTTTAAATGAATAAATAAATTTCAGATTCTTGTTCCCTAATGTCGAAAGGGGAAAAACTACCCTGTCTCTGAAGGGTAGCTGCGCATGCGCTGATTGAGGGCACGGGCTGCATCACATTTATCTCAGCGACTGCAATGTTCTGAATACAGTGCTTGCTCAGAGAATTGCTTGATTTAGCCCTCACTGAAAATACCAGCCAATAGTAATGTCAAGTCTTAAAAACTCAAGCATTTCAACACAAATGAAAAATAAGCTGTTTTATAAAGTCAACGGAATAAACAATAGTACATGGCTTTCTAGGAGTGGCTTTTATAATCAAAGTTTTCTCTCCCAGTTTAAAAAGTCACACAAGTAACTCTTCAAAAGAGATTCTAAAAATCAGTGTCCTTTGAAATTGTGCTAGTTTTATAGTGTGATCAAATTATTAAAGACAATGTTAAAAGCAAGATATTTTCAATTTCTCTTCATCTTGAGAAGTTCAAAACACTTAAAGAATGTTAACTGTCACCATGAAAATGACAAAATGCCCACTCAGATGACATGCAAACATTTGTTGTCTTCCGCCTACCTGTCTCATCATGCACTGGAGCAGGCCCCGCATCAGTTTCACCACGTTCTGTGGAGACAGAGTGGATCAGCCACGAGGCGGCCCCCGTGCTCCCTGGAAGCCGCCTGCTCCCTCCAGGCGGGCGGTCAGCCAGTGCTTCCCGGAGGCTTTGCTGAGAAGGCGGATGGGAGCACAGGCACATGCTCGGATTGTCTTGTTCCTCCCACCTCTGCTCCACCACAAAGAAATTCCTGACAAGTGGCTTACCTTAAGTCAAGGGGTCAGACCAGATGGCACCTCCCGGCGCTGAAGTCCAGTGAATCCGCACTGATATTTTAGCGAGAGTCTTTATAAGCCTGGTAGCCTGTGGCTTTAGGTCACGATCTTAGTCATTTATTTTTGCTATGCTAAGGATGAATTAAGTGCACGCTTTTACCTGCCAGTGCTCCCTACTTCAAGGCTATCACTCTGAAAACACCTCCCAGCACAGGGGCAGATTATTTTCTCACAAACCCACTGGTAAGGAATCTCTGCTTTGGTGGGTGGCTTGGTTTCTGATTTTGGAAAACAGTCAAAGGACTTCTTTGTGCTGTATGGTAACAGGCATGAAAACTGAATAACACTGATACGGTTCAAAATTACAGGGTGACTAAATGAATAAAGTGCTTTGGAATGACTCAAATTAGAAAGGCATTTTAAGAGAAATTCCAAACGTTTTAAGCAGTGGCAATACTGTGTGGGTAAATATCCTTTCCATGGGACTTCTCTGAAGGGTATACACTTCGGGATGTGCAGCTTGGTGTGGTGATTTTAAAAGCAATGCTACCGGGCCTCCCTGGTGGCACAAAGGGTTAAGCATAGCACTGTGAAGCTATCCAGAGCCTCTGCAGCATGAGTTCGATCCCCAGCCAGGGAGCTACACACATGGCGCAACAGACCTCTCCTGACTAGCCCGCTGCTCCCCTCAGCAGTGTATTTCAATAAACCTGCCTGTTCTGTTTCCCAATCTCTCTGGTGAATCCTCTCACCCTCTGCACCTCTGGCTTGTACCCCAGTTATTGTATGCATAAATAAATCTTAAAGAAAAAAAAAAGAAAAGCTATCAATTCACAATGACACCTCACCTATAAATATGTATAGAATCAACAGGGCACGTGTCAGTGTAATGTAGCTAGTTAGAAAACAGAATGCTCTATTTTCCTATTCAGTGTGATTTCTTTGTTGGTTTCTTTATAGAGGGAAAATAATTTCTAAGAGAAATAGGATGTTGAGACCATCCAAGTGCCTCCCCAAATATTCTACAGCAGGATGGAGATGAACGTGCATCTGGCTGTCGTCACACACAGCTACTTCCTCCAGGCCGTGCAGGGCAAGGGAGGGGCAGCTGCCGGTCAGCATTACCTGCTCCAACTCGTAGGCCTTGGCCTTGTCCTCATCACGGTCAGCGTTCTTGCGGTAGGCCATGCCCAGGCCCCACACAGCGAGGATGCTGTAGATGTTATCGCGAACCCAGGCATCTTTCTGCTCATGACTGGCTGACAGCAGCCCCGTGACAGGATTCTATTAGGGAAGAGACAGTCACTGAGCACCACCCTTCCCCCAGCTCCCAAATGTTCACCCTAAGGGGCACAAGGAGGGTGGGACAAGGAGCAAGGAGAGCAACTTTAGTTTCCTCCTCTAAGGGGCAGATCAGACAAGAAAAATCTCCAAAGAGGCTTCTAACTCCAAAGTTCTTGTCCTTTTGTTTTCAGACCAGATCGTACTCTTGTAAGCAACAAATAGAAGAAACAACAAATGGGAAAAGCCCACATGGCTTGTGTAGATCTATGTGCTGCAGGCTTTAGGTCTTCTGCCTTCATGTTAAACTGGTGCCAACTGGTAAAACATTGAACCTGGAAGCAAGTGGGGCCCATGCCACCCTCCAGCTCCATGCGGCCGGGGAAGCCGCCAACTCTGTGCTTCGGCTGCTCTGTCTATAATCCAGACCTTTCCAGCTCCTAAAAAAGTGGCGCTGAGCAAGAAGACATTATCACCGGTACCTAAAAGGGTGTCTGAGTCACTAAAAGCCAGACCTTCACACAAAAAAGTACCCACAAATGTTCACAACAGCACTGTTCATCATAGCCCCAACGTGGAAACAACTCAAATGCCACCAACACTGAATGAATACACAGAGGGAGTCTGTAACTACAATGAAATATTGTTTAGCAATAACAAGAACTGAAGTGCTGATACAGGACACTGCACGGATGGTCGCAAAGGATCACTTATTGTCAGATTGGGTTAGTATGGGCCGTCCGGAATTAGCAGGTCTGCAGGGATAGGAAGTAGAGGACTAGTTGTCTAGGGCTGGTGTGGGGTGGAGGACATAGAGAGGGGATGACTACTAATAGATTTTCTTTCTTTCTGGGGCAATGAAGACATTCTAAAACTGATTGCAGTGATGATACACAACCTGTGACTATTCTAATAACCGCTATAGTGTGCACTCCATTGAAACAGATGAATTGTATGGTAAGTAAAAAAAAAATTTTTTTTTGCATACAAGAGTTGGGGTACAGGCCAGAGATGAGGGGGGTGAGGGATTCACCAGAGACAGAGTGGGGGACAGAACAGGTAGATTGACCGCAGTACACTGCTGAGGGGAGCAGCGGGCGAGACATGAGAGGTCTGCCACACCACGTGGGTTGCTCCCTGGCCGGCCGGGGATCGAACTCGTGGCTGCGGATTGCTTCATAGTGCGGTGCTTAACCCCTTGCGCCACCAGGGAGGCCCTGGTAAGTAAATTTTTAAAAGTCAGTCCTAATAAACTCTGTGCCTAGAATTAAAATGGATAAGATAGGAAGTTACATAAAGCCGCTTTTGACTTTTCCTAAAAATACTCAAAGAAATATATATCTAACAAAATACATTATACTAATTAGAGCCTTGCCAACTTAAAAAATATTATTTGAAAGGGTATCAAATTATTTACAACGGGGCTCATGAAAAACTCTGCTGGGTATTTTCAAAGGTTACTAGGTAAAATGACATTGGCATAATTTCAAATGGTTCCACCCAAGGAATTAAATATTTGACTTTCTCCTTTAACTAATCTATGCTCTCTTCAAAACCATGTAAAATCCAACTGATACTGCCTCAGGAGCACCAGCAGTGTACTGACATAGTTTGACAGACAACAACTGTGAGCAATGATATATATTTTTAAAGATTTATTTATTTATACAAGAACTGGGGTACAGGCCAGAGGCACAGGAGGGTGAGAGGATTCACCAGAGACAGAGCGGGGAATAGAACAGGCAGATGGACTGAAATACACTGCTGAGGGGAGCAGCGGGCGAGACAGGAGAGGTCTGCTGCGCCATGTGGGTATCTCCCTGGCCGGCCGAGAATCGAACACATGCCGCAGAGGCTGTGGACAGCTTCACAGCACTGCACTCAACCCGCTGCACCACCGGTGAGGTCCACAATGATATTAAAGTCAACCAGAACTTTAGTCTCAGGAATGGCTGGGTGAAACTCCAAGTCTACTCCAATAGGGGACTTACGGATGCTCTTTTAAAAAAAACCGCTATGCACCGGCTCTCCCCTGGTCAGTGCAGTGGTTAAGCGCTGGGCTGCAAAGCTGCCCACAGCCTCTGCAGCGCCGGTTCGATCCCTAGCCGCTGGGTGAGGGTTCTACATTGCGCACAGACCTCTCCTACCACCCGCTGCTCCCCTCAGCAGTGTACTTCGGTCCTTCTGCCTGCTCTGCTCTCCCCTCTGGCTCTGGTGAATTCTCTCACCCTCCCGCGCTTCTGACTGTACCCAGTGCTTGTATAAATAAATAAATAAATAAATCTTTTTTTAAAAATTAAAAAAAAAAACCAAACCACTATGCACCAACAATGGATAACATAGGCATTTTGATCTGTTGAGACCAGGAAATCATCAGGAGACCAGGGTAAGAAGTCAGCCCCTTCCTGGTGTATCCATCAAGTCTGAGTCCACAAACAGACTTCCGATGACACAGCAGTGACCGCTTATACATAATGCCACATGTGGTTTGGATTATGAAATATCACTGTCCTGTTAATTGAAAGTCACCTCTGATTTTTTTACTTTGGACATAACTGTTGAAGTGGATTAGTTCATCCCCACCCACCCAGAGCTGGCCTGTCTGAACCCCTCATTCCACAATAGAGAAGTAGTCCAGGTATCTAGGGATCCCCACATATAGAAGCCATGCTAAATGGGGGTGCTGCTGCACTCAGCAAAAGGAAAGCTTACTGTCATGGGCTGGATGTTTGTGTCCACTCAAAGTTCATATGTTGAAATCTAATCCCCAACGTGATGGAAACGGGGCCTTTGGGAGGTAACTAGGTCACGAGGGCAGCACTCTCGTGGATGGGATTAGTGCCCACATAAGAAAAGGCCAGAGAGCTAGCTTGCTCTCTGCCACCATGTGAAGATAAAGCAAATCAGCTGTCCGCAAGCCAGAAGAGGACTCTCACCAGAACCTGACCATGCCGCACCCCTCCCCCCACCGCAAAAAAAAAAAAAAAAAAAAAAGGAATGAGTGTTTCCTGCACAGGCTCTGCTCTTGCACTTCCAGATAGGGGTGCACACTCTTCCTCCACTGCAATGCCCTTCTGGCAGGCCCTTCACATCATCCTCTGAGAAGCCTTCCCAGAGCCCCGGTTCCTGCGCTTCATGGGACAGAGGTTAGAGGCCTCTGACTAGCCCTTTGCCCTTTGGTTTAAGAATCTCAAAGAAGTGCGTGTCACTGCCTCGCTTAGTTGCAAGGGAGGAAAGTACAGTTCAATTATTCAAACAAAATACCCAGAAGAGACTAGGATAAATGTTGAAAATACATGATTACTCACTGTCACCCCCATTTCAGGAAAACGAAAAATAGAAAGTGAAAAATTCTATTACAAAACTGGTTAAATTCATCTCATGGCCTGGAATTTTGTTCTAGCAACTACTGCTTAAAATAGCAAAGGGGGTGGGAGGAGGACAATGTCTTGGACTTGAGATATTTTTAAAGTGGGAATTACAATAGTATTTGTTTTTAAAGGATTGCACCTGTAATTGAGACTATCGGGGGTGTAACACTGTCTTTTTCCATTAGTTTAAAAGATACTTTTGTACAATATGATTCGTAAACCCCAAGGGTTCAGAGAATAATGGTGAAAACTTAAGCTCCAACATGCAGCAGCCTCACAATTTACCTAAGGAGATCACAAGTGTGCAACTCTCAATTTCAAATGATGTCTTTTCTAAATTGCTGCTTATTAGATCTTCCCCCTCGGGGGTGACAAATAATGCACAAGCCACCCGGGGTCCGGGGCCTAGGCACTCACCCCATCTCCGTGACTGAATAGGGGCTTCAGGGGAAAGAAACTGGGTCGGGAGCCAAGCATCGCAGGCATCCACTTTGCAGTTTTGTTATTTTCATTCCAGATTGCAACTCCCGTCTTAACCTTGCCAAAGCTTGTAGAAACCATTCTGGGCCCTTAGCTACAAGCAAACCTGCAAATGGCTTGACCACTCTCCTAGGAGAGTTTTAATTCTTTGTCTCACTCACCAATTCCTATAGTAAGGTGGGGAATTATTGAGATGTCAGTCCTTAGCTTGGTGGTGTGGAAATTTACAGAACATATTCAAATTCAGTGAGGGCAGTTAGTACCCTCCTGGCTGACACCTGAAATTTGAGGTATCAAAGGATTACTGGGTGCCTCACTAGTAACCTTTCACCCAAACAGAACTGTGGATGCCACCATTTGATATTTTCAATTGTAAAACTGACTTTTATTCCATCAGGTTTGGGTCGAAAGCATGGAGGCATCACGCATCACCGCACATCCGGGCTCTCCAGATCCCGGAAGCTACAGACAAGAAGTCGGCCAGGGCTGCAGGGACGTGAGGGCTTGACTAGGGCTAGTGGGTCACTTCCAAGAATGCTTCCAAGATGTGCTTCGAAAATCTTTCCCATTCTGCAGCTTGTCCTTTAGCTTTGTTTACATAGGCTTCTTGTGACATATAAGAGCTTAAGTACACACACACACACACACACACACACACACACACGCATGCACACATACATTTGTATATGTAATTCAACATGGTAGAAACTCTCCAGAAGATTTGCTGGTTCAAAGATGGGTTTGGGGGGACAGGAAGGTGGTGGTCCATGAGAATCCTGGCATTTGTGTGAGCATTTTTCTCAGGAGAGGATATGATATTCGGCCCTATTCAAAGTCTCAAAAGGGCCAGTAGTCCATTTGATTAAGATCTGTGTCTCTAAATTTAGCTTATGGACATTAGTTATGTTCTCCCTACCCATTGTGAGGCAGATGTGCGATAGTTACTTCACTAATAAAGTGACATGTAAATGCCAGTGACAAAAACAATATGGTACTAGAAAACTGAATGGAATATTTAAAGAAATAGCCTAAAAAGTTTCACTAACAAACACAGCAAGGAGAATGCAACTCTGGTGTGCACAGTGACCTGGTCTATTTACAGTATTTATCTCCACTCATCTGGCCTGGCACCAACAAGACAGCGTGCTGGAC